ACTGTTTTGTCTCGTCATTAATTATTATTTTTTAACAACAGTTAATAATATTTATTCATTTTTAATAAAATTAAAATTTATTATTTATTTTATATTTTTTTAAAATTAATATTAGAAATAATATTTTAAATAAAAATGTGATATTTTTAGCTTTACATTATACGTTTATTGAATTTTATCCATTTTTAATTATTTTTTATTGTATTTTTAATTATTTTTAAAAAAATAAATAATAATTCATTTGATCTCTCGATTGTAATAAAAGTTTATTTTAATATTTTAAACAATTAATTGTAAAATTCAATAAACATTATTAACTGTTGTTAAAATTAATATCACAAAAAAATAAATAGATAAAGTTGGTGTTTTTACACAAATATCACCATAACAGAAATTAATTACATATTAGGCACAACTTTAAAAATATTTACAAAATTAACACCTGAATTTTTTACATGTTTAACAAGGCGCGTTGTAGGGGGCGCACCTTTCTGCAAATGTTGTTAGATCGGGAAATATAGGTTGAACGGTGTATGACAAGGAAATATATAGGTGTAGGGTGATTTTTTTGGGAAAATCGCTTAATTTTTAAATTTTGTGAGATTTTCTTTTGGAAGGGATGATGTAATCAGTAAAATCAACCATTCAGACATTGCCACGTTATTTTTATTTCATTTTAGTTGCGTTTTGGATCTCATAAAACTGTATTCTTAAATCGTGACTTGAATACAGTGTTTTGAAAATCGGACCGGATCGGTCGGTTCAACCGGGAACCGTTGCCTAGTCCGGTTCAATCTACACCGGTTGAACCGCTACTAGTGAACTGGCCGAAACCGCTAAACTGTTCGAACCAGACCGACTGAAAACCAGAAAAAATCGAAAAAAAACCACCAATTTTGTTTTTTTTTAAATTAAACCAAACTACGTCATTTGTTAAACGAGCCAAGTCGAATTCGAGTATTACTGAGCTCGACTCGAACTTGAAAACTTTAACAGTAAGCTCAACTCGACTCAAACTCACGACTAAAATTATCAAGTTCAACTCAAACTCGAAATATAATATTTAAACTTGAACTCAAAAAAAATTTAGAAGCTCGATTGAAGCCTAAAATTCGAGCTTGATTGAAGCGAAAGAATAGTTCACTCAATGCTCACCAAAAAGTTCAATGATTTTGAATGCCAAATTACCTCTATTATTTATAGAAGTTAGTTGTGATGCTCTTCTATGTTTCTTAGCCATGTGGGATTGTTTTGTTCTCATATTTTTACTCTTTAGACTTTTGGGATGCTCTTCTATGTTTCTTAGCAATGTGAGATTGTTTTAAAAAAAATTAAACCAAACAATATCCTTTTATTATGATTTTTTAGCCCTAAATTTATTTTTTAATTATAGTTATATAATTATAATTATTATTTAATATGTTTTACCTTAAATATTATGTTGTAGTTAATTTGAATCATTTTGTTTCACTTGATTTTATGGTTTTTAACTTATATATGTTACGACTTGCTTTAAATATGACTTATGATATAAAAAATTATTTTTTATTAAATATTTTTGGTATTTTTATTTATTTTTTTAAATAATTATGATGTCGTCTGGTTCTTCCGACCGGTCAAACCGGTTCGATCGGTTGAACCAGTGAACCGGTAGCATGGTCGGTTCGCTAACCGGTCTGGTTCTAAAAACCATGCTTGAATGTGGAGTAGACCGTTTCAAGTAAGGGTAAATTATAAGATTTCATCACTCGATTTATTCTTACTTTTATTTAGGTCACTAAAGTTTAAAAAATTTCAATTTACTTATTTAACTTTCTATTTACTCCTATTTTGATAATTCGAGTATTAAATCAAAAATAGAAAGTTGATATGACAGTCACATGCGCTGGTTTGAACTGGTTTTTACTGACATAAGATTTATGTTTTTTCCACGTTATTTTCCTTTTTTTTCTTTTATATTTTACCATCTTCTTTCAAAAATAAAAATTTACAATATTATTATTGTCTCACATTAGTGTTGCAATTTTTTTTGGGTGTCATCTCTGGCCACTCAAGATGTTGAAAAACTCGTTTCATCGTCTTCTATTATTTCATCAAGTTAGATTTTATTCAAATCATTTTAAAATTCATAAAACTCACCCCAAATCCAAAATTTATATCGTAAATCACTTTAATCTATAAATATTCACTATCCATTCAGTGTAGAATCAAAATATGTAATTTTCATTCTCATTCTCCACCTCCCACCATTGTTATTTGGAAGAAGATATTTCATCATCGATAGATCAAAAGAAATTCAAAATTATGAGGTTTTTCCACAAAAATAAATAAATTTTTTGGATCGTCTCATTATTTTTAAAAGGGAAATGTTCAATCATAACGTGTCGTTAAGTTTTAACGATAGGAGAATTATCAGATAATAGCAAATAAAAAATTTCGTAAGTTAATTAAAAAATGACTAAAATAAGAGTGAGAAGAACACTAAGTGATAAATTTTATAATTTATGATTTGTATAATATATGAGAAATTATTTCGGTTCTTTTTCGCTTTTAACCTACTCTTAATTGTTCCTTTTTAATCTACTCTTAACGTTTAGATTATTATATATTTAACTCAACCAAAAACGATTAAATTTTAATTTAATTGATAACACTATTAATACAACATCTCGAAGGCATAGACTAATAATGTTTACATTATTAATACAACTAGGCCGGACAAACAAGTTGGCAACTATATTATTAATTCTTAGCTTCCCTAAGATGAAGGGCATAGAATAATACTTAGGTGAAGTATATCAAATGTTATAAAATTATTTTTAAACTATTTTTTGTTCAATAAATTATTTAATATTATAAAATAGTCATAAACTTTTCAAACATTTACAAAATGATTATTAAATTTGTCAAATGATTATAAAATAATCATTAAACTTGTTAAAATTTATTATTATTTATGGCATCACTAGGCTATTTTGGAGTAACTCCATAAATTTAATTAACATTTTATAATATTTCAAAATTTTATAGAAAAAAGGGACTATTTTAACATATATTTTATCTTGATGTTTAAAATTATTATATGACTTTATTTATCTATCAAATAGTTAAAAGGTTACGAGTCAAAATTGGATATACGGATGAAATCAATGAAATAAAAACATATATCAAATAGTAGATTTATTCATGAACTAAATTGGAACAGACTATAATTGAATTTTAAAGTAAATTGTATCCAAATTTAAAACTAGATTTGTTTCACTTATTTTTATTATTTAAATAATAATAAGATATACTAATATCTATATCTTCTGTAATTAAATATGAAAAAGTTTACTTAATCCGATTTATACTGTATGAGATTAATTTAAATTTAAAAATTATTAATATGATTGAATCTAATAAGTTAAAACAGATAAAAAAAACTCGCGAAAATGTCTATCAAGATTTATGTGTACGTATGAATGAAGAACAATATGCTAGAGAATGAGAAATCCAGATTAATTAAAAATGCCAAATTTGGAAACTAATTGAAGTTTAGGGATGAGGCTTCAGGTAAATTTATTTGAACAAAAAAAATTTGGAGAGATTAGGATGGGCTACATTTGTAAATATCTTAAGCTATTGTTGGGAATTTCAAGGCTCATTAAATATTTAGAAGGGTAAACTGCATAGTTAGTCACTACATTTTAGTCTTTGTATTAATTCGATCATTGAACTTTAAGAAGATTTTAGTTTTATCACTAAACTTCCGATTTTTTTTATTAATTTGGGATAAATACAAGATAATATATGTTCAACTCTCATTTTGACATTAAATGCTTATACTCTTGACATTTCTTTACCTCCAAAGTCACTGAGTTCGTGCCTAAACTTCCAACCTAACTTTTTGTTAATTGGGTCATTAAATTATAAACAATCAAATGATGTGACAGTTTAGCATTGATATGTGTTGATGTAGAAACTAAAAAATGTTTTATTTAATTTTATATCATCTCTTTCATCGTAACTAGGATTTTTCAATAGCAATAAAAAATCATCATTTTTGACATCTTTTCCAATCATCCATTCATCCTAGACGTTCAAATACCCATCTCATTGTCAGCTACCACATTATCAATTTTTCTTCTTCTAAAACCTCTATAACACAAAATTAAACACTTGTAAGGTTTAAAGGCTCTCTCAATTTTGAGAGGTTTGAGTGTTAGTTTGAAAATCTGAATAATAAAAATTGTTATTTAAAAAAAGATGAATAACATACTTTAAAACCAGACTTGATGGATATCATAGGAAGAAATGAAGCATTAGAATGGCAAATCTCAGTTCTATGACCAAACCGATACAAAAAATTAAAAAATAGTATCTAACGATGTTGTTTACCCAATATACAAAATGTCATGACTCGAAAGTGGGAAACCAATGTGGTTGGTTGGTTTGAATGGACCTCAATTGTTAGCACTCATAATTCAAGTTTTAAATTAAATTTATATCACGGTGTTACATTAATCAATTTTCTGATACTTTAATATACCTAACACATTCACACACGTCCACGCAAATTCCAAGCTCCAGATTCGGCAGGTTTGCTGAACATAACAAAGTTGCCTCCTATATTAACTGGATACTTCGCCGTCAACTCTGCTATTTGGTTTGCCTCTCGGGATGCATCACAAACGTATTCCCAAAAGTTTACTACACCGTTTCTTTCATGCGCCTCCAAAGGTCAATTCAACAAGGTATTAATATTTATATATTAAAAAACAACCATTAAATAATATAGAAAAAATTAATAAATTGATGAAGTATCATTTTCGATTTGGTCCTTTTTTTCCTTTCTTACTTGGAATATCATTGATTTTTCAATTCACGGGAGCTTTGGGTTGGTGCTGCCAGCCAACAAATCTCAATGTCTACCAACCAGATACAAGTAAACATGTGTTCGATCAGGATAAAATGGAGGGCCAACGGAATGGCCATTCCAGCCACCAAAGAGTGCATTAGTATATCAAAATTTCCAGAATTTTACATCACTATAACATCGGACTGGAACGCTAGCAAATGAAAAATAAACTGAGTTTAAAAGTCTGGAAATCAAGAATCTTGAGAATCACTTGGCTTCGTTCAATCCATCCTTCCCTTCAAGATTCTTTCCTTCACTTCTGTAGGCGTGCCGCCAATTTATATATCAAATACAATTACAATGCCACCAATTATCTCTACAATAATTATTACAGGATATTCACTATCCAAACTAAGGTTGTAAATGCGACGAGATAGATCACGAATTACTCAAATTCAACTTGATCAGAGTTCGATCAACACTCGAATCAAATGGACTCTACTCGGACTCCAACTCAAATTCTAAATGAGTCAAAACAAGCAACTTCATAACCGACTCAAAAAAACTCACAATTAATTGGAAAAATAATTTATTACATTATTAATAATATTACACATTTATATGTTGTTGTCTTTTTTTTTTGTTAAAAAAAATACAATACAATACTTTCATGTACTTAGGTTTACGTTCAAACTCAAGTTTAAACTTCAATCGAGCTTTGAGAATGTTTCGAGTTCAAATTTTTTTGAGCTCGAATTAAACTTCAATTTTTTTATTTTAAGTTAAGCTTGAAAAGTTTAAGCTCGCGAGGTTTCGGATCGAGTCAAGCTTCAAATTTTGATTTCGAGTTTGAGTCGAGTTTGACAATTTCAAGCTCTCGAGTTTTCAAGTCGAACTCAACTTTAAACTTTTCAAGTTGAATCATCAATATTTTAACTCGGCTCAACTCATTTACAACCCTAACAAGACATATCAATATATCAACATTCAAAGGAACAACCAAATCTTAATGGGTTAAAATATCTAGATAGGCTTTGTATCACAGACTTGACAATTAAAATCGCAATTTAGTCGTACCATACAACTGAGTATTTAATCTTCGCATGTTTGAAATTGGTTAAGACTTGCCCATCGGGTCGTTTGGAAAAATAGGGGGAAATGGGCGGGCCTAAATAGGCTTCGATTAGCCATTTTCATGGGAAATTGGGGCGAAATTTGAGGTCCATATTTGAGGCCAGGCAAACATTTATGGTGTTGATGCCATTTATAGGCCTGACCCAGTCCATGGAAACCTCTAGTATTGGTGCAAACAAGTAAAATTGATAACAGCAATAACAAGATTCTCTTAGGCAAGCCCTATAACAAATATGACCCTAGGAAAAAATTACTAACAAGAACATATATATATGAAAGTAGGTAATGCTTACACAACATATACATGTCCTCCCCAAACCACTAGACAGTCACGATCTACTGATGAAAGGAGAGATTGTGAAACCGTTTCAAACAATTCCTCAGGTTCCTGAATGGGACGAAAATGAGCTAATAAAGCACAAACCATATTCATGGCATGAATAACTAATTTAATAGCCAACAACCGTGATACTTTTAACATGACTAAGTAAACTCTAACCCTTATATACTCCAAAAATGGGAACCCTTTCTAAGCTTTTTGGTTACAAGCACATAAGGAACCAATTTTATGCTTCTTAAAAGGTTTCATCACTACTGTGGAAGTGTTCCAATTTGAGAATAGGAAAATAAATGAAAAGACAAACCATGTCCTCCTTGAACATTGACTCACAGGCACCATAAAGAGACTCTGAGGCAGTGCCAGCTACAACAAAATCTTTTGCGAGCTCCCTGCATTCGGAAGAAAGCAAAAATGGCAACTGAAACATCATCAGCATTATAAAATTTTAATTATAGATTTTTTTTTTTTTATAAATTAAAATAGTTTAAGGATGAATTTGTAATTTAACATTCGTAGAATTTTTATTATTCAATGACAGAAGAATGATATTTTTGAAAAAAAAATTAAGGGTATTTTAGTCCAAAACACCAGTAATCTAACAATACCTAAGGAAATGGAGGTAATGACATTCCTAGTAATATACCCAAAAAATCTACTATTGGTAATAAAACATTATCGGGAATGAGATTCTCGGCCAACCAAACATGAGAATGTGAATTCCATTCCTTAAGAATCTCACATTCCTTAAACTAAACAGCCCCTAAAGAGATTTGAATAGCAATGCTTATCTTTGCCAAGGGAAAGTTACTTTCATTTCTTTTACGATTAAAAGCCTCATGATTACTCAAATACTACAACAAGAAAAATAAATATGACTCTATACATGAACTTGAAAATCATACATACGTTAATATAAAATTTATTTATATTAAAATTCTATCAATTGATGTAGAGAACTATTTTTAAAGACATCACATTTATTGATTAGACATAGATACATTTAATAAAAATAACTTTTTATTAATTTATATGATTTTTAAATTCAGATATTAATAAGTATATAAAGTTAAATTCAAAGGGTTAAATGAGTAAAAAGATCAACTTAATTATATCTAAGGCCAGATTTAAGGGTCAAACGGGTTTAAAGGAAAGCTTAGGGGTCAATTAGAACCATAAGGATAAGTTTAGAGCAAAATATGTATTAACCTAAGAATAAGATAAAACAATACTTTATTAAATTGATGTCTCGAGTTTTTGTTTGAAATTAAAAACTTAATTATTAAATTTTATTACAAAACTTACAAAATTATGATATAAATTTAAGTATATTTAAATAATTTTAACCTTAAAAATATTTATGTATTTTATATAAGAAAACTACCCTCAAATAATTTTCTAAACAAATGTTTTATTCAGTTTTTTTCTTTTGTCAGCCATATAATGAGTGTGCTAGTCATAAACAGACAGTGATGGATGGGGCAGATTCTTTTATTAAATAAATAAAAATAATACAAGTAAGATAGAATAAATAATTATATAAATTTATTTAATTATAACGTTAATAAATTTTAGTTCAATAATCAAAATAAAATTTCTCCTATAATTTAATGACTATACATTAGTTTACCCAGAATACAAATCCTTATTCTCGGGTAATTATTAAATGGTTCGTTTTTGCTCAGTGAGTCACTCACTGTTTTATCTGCCCTTTCCTCTTCCTGAAATTCCAATTTCTCTTCCTTTCCGACAATAAAACCCCACAATTTCTCCGCGTTTCTCTCTCTCTCTCTCTCTAAATTCCCTCTTGCGATAATTCAAATCCAATGCCAGCTTCTTCTCCTTCAGGCAATCTCTCTCCTTTAACTCTTCAATTCAGTTTCACCCCCCAAAAAACCTTTTTTTTTCTGCAATTGAAACTTAATTAATATAATTTCCATTTCAACAGATGGTCGAGGACGATGTAAACGACGGAAGCGAGACCGAAGGCCCAAACATCTCCAAGAAGAAAACGATGTTGTTCATGAAGATGATGCAGAAGAAGAAAATAACAATGACGATGATATCGATAATCACCGGGATAACAACTCCGGCGAAGATACCGGTGGAGGAGTTGCGGATCCGTCTTTGGCGAGGTCCGGAGACAGTGAGGTTTTGGCTGAAGGTGGAGTTCGCGTCTCGGAGTTCCCCGCCGTGGTGAAGCGAACTGTGAACCGTCCTCACGTTTCTGTAATGGCGATCGTTGCGGCTGAACGGGCGGGTATGGTTGGGGATAGCAAGGCCCACCAGCAGGTGGCTTTGGCGGTTTTGGAGAATGTTTCTTACGGGCAGTTACAGGCGGTTTCAACTGAAGCTCCCATTGTTGAACCGGAGAAGTATGTGATTACACCTCCTCCAATAATGGAAGGGCGTGGCGTTGTTAAGAGGTTTGGGAGTAGGGTTCATGTCATGCCAATGCATTCAGGTTCTGTTCCTTTCTTTCTTTCGATTCCAAGTCTAATTAGGGAAAAAAGGGAAAAAGAAAAACAATAATCTGTAGATGACTATCGGGTTTCCAAGGAAACTCCTGGTTTAATTTTCTTGAGGGTTTGATGAAAAATATAGCTAGATTGTGCTTGTTTATGCTTATTTTTTAGGTTACATTTAGACATTTCTATGATGTTTTCTTAAAATTTGAGCTTTTACCCCGTAGTGCTTAGTGTTACATGGGAATAGTCTCTTCAAAACCTGTTGCTATTAGTAGGATTTAAGAGTCTGAAAATTTTGACTGTTGTCAAATGCTGAACTTACCCTTTTTATGTTTCGTGTACTATATGTTTTATTTGCTACCTTGTATGTTAAGATGCACTGGTGATCTGTTGGGACTGGGAACATGTATTCTTATGTACCTTTCTGTATTTATTTGGGGAACTTTATACTAATTTTTATTTTACTTGATTTTAATTGGACTCTATTCGGATGAGAAATGCAATCCAAACTAGAGTAGAAGTTAAGCAAATTGCACTTGGGTTCATTCTATTTACTTGACATGAGTTTCACGCTATGCCTATTGTTTAAAGAGTATGGACAAGATATCACACCTCAATTTCATTTTTGTTCTGCGCTGACCTTATCTTGCACCCTGTCTTTATCTGCACTCATTTTTCTTCTTACTTGTGTATTAATATTTGGTTATGTTTGTGGGATTCCCTTGTGAGCAGAGTGGTTTTCACCATCCACAGTGCATCGACTAGAAAGACAAGTTGTGCCACATTTTTTCTCTGGAAATTCACCCGAACACATGCCAGAAAAATATATGGAATGTAGAAACCGCATTGTTGCCAAGTATATGGACAATCCAGAGAAGAGAATTACAGTTTCTGATTGCCAGGGGTTGATATACGGAATCAGTGATGAGGATTTAGCTCGAATTGTTCGGTTTCTTGATCATTGGGGAATTATTAATTATTGTGCAGCTGCACCATGCCATGAGCCATGGAATGCTGAGTCCTACTTAAGGGAGGAACCAAATGGTGAGATTCATGTGCCATCAGCTGCATTAAAGTCTATTGATAGCTTGATCAAATTCGACAAACCAAAATGTAGGCTCAAGGCAGCTGATGTTTATTCATCATTGCCATGTCGTGATGATTTCTATGACTTGGACAGCAGAATACGAGAGTGCATATATGAAAACAATTGCACTTCATGTTCTCAGCCTGTTCCCACATCATATTATCAGTCGCAGAAGGATGTATGTGATTTTTTTCGCCGTTAATCTTTCTTATTTTTAAGCTGAGCCTTAACGATCCCCCTTCTTCCCATTGTTCATCCAACAAATATCTTCCTGCATATCTATAACTTTTACCTTAAAAATTTAGTGAACTGCTGAAAACAAATTGAATAAGGACCATTTAATATAACAAAAAAAGTGAGCATGTTTGATATGAAATAAACTCAGAATTAACATATATGAAGGAATAGGCTCCTGGTATGTAGTTACTGGCCTTCTTACTGGTTTTGGGGAAAAAATAATCCCCTTCTAGATTTTCACAGAGAAAACCCTTTAAGGCTTCAATATATCTGCATGTTGACTGCCTAGCTCACATGAATCTCTGAGATCAGGCTCAATTGTTGTCATTTTGAGTTTTATCTAACAATACATACCTATTAAAAATCAGTGGTACATGCAAATAATGTCCAAAATGTTAATTATCTGATAAAACTTTAATACTTCAGTTTTTGGGAATTTTTCTATTGGAAATTGCTATAGCTACAGTTTTGTAAATAACTTAGTGATAGCATCTCTAGATGCAGTTCCATAAAGTTAGAAGAATTGGGATCTATACTTGGATTTTCCAAATCTCTTTCCTATCTGATTATATTCATCAACAGAAAGGAAGTATGTACTTTAATCTATCTTGTTGAGAGTATATTTCTTTTGTGGTAAGAGTGCTTGGTGGTTTTTTATTTGATATTGATGGTCAAGAAAGGCCAAGTCAATTTCTATCTTCATTTGTAGAAAAGAAATTTTCTTGCTAAAGCTTGCACTTTTAGCAACTATGAACTATTAGATGTGGTTTAGAAAGCAGACTTGAAGGATTGTCTTGATTCGATTCGATTCAGTTTGGTTTTTCTGAGCATCAATTAACTGTTTCAAGTAAGTGGTTTAGGTTTCTTTGGGGTGTATTTTGGATGTAATAACTGATAATGGTGATAAGGGATAAAGTAAGACATTCAAATTATGAAAATTAGTTGGACAATATCTTAATAAATACTTGTTTTAAAATATTCAGAAGATGGAATCATGAGGTGAACATTGATTTTGTTTCCAGTGCAATAAGAACTACATTGGATAAGCACTTGTAGTGGAGCCGAGCGCTGCTCCTGGACTCTGAAATGTCACGTTTGTACATGAAAAATAGACTGATGGAAGAATTTGTAAATATTTCTAAATCTTGGTATTAATGATAATCATTTGTTTCTATTTTGTCTTATTGACAGTTTGATGCTCTGTTGTGCTCTAATTGCTTCCATGATGGGAGATTTGTTTCTGGCCATTCAAGTATAGATTTTGCTAGGGTAGATTCAACAAAAGATTACTGGGACCTAGATGGAGATAGTTGGACTGATCAGGAAACATTACTGTTGCTTGAGGCAATGGAAATTTACAATGAGAACTGGAATGAAATAGCAGAGCATGTCGGCACTAAGTCTAAAGCACAATGCATACTTCATTTTCTACGTCTACCCATGGAGGATGGCCTGTTGGAAAATTTGGAAGTTCCAAGCATGCCCAAGTCAACCATTGTTTCAAATGGAGACAGCCAAAGATTGCACTCAAACATGAATGGGAGTCTACCAGGTTTTTTGTTTATCTAGTGTCTCTACCTGCCATGGAAATTAAGAAAATAAGATGCTATGCATGTAAACCTTTAATCTAAGTTTTGCCCTTCTTTTCAGGACCCAGCCTTCAAGATGCAGATTCTGAAAGCAAGTTTCCTTTTGCTAATTTTGGGAATCCAGTTATGGCTATGGTACACTACTACTTTTTTCAAACACCTCATCACTCTAAACCTTTTATTAGTCATTTAAGATTTGTAATTGTGAATATATCATTTTGGAGTGTGAGAATTGCATCAGTTATTGTTTATTATCTTGTAATGCTCTCAATTTTAAGTTCATTAAATCATGACATTTTCATGTAATTTTCTGGTATTGTAGTAACCATATTTGGCACTAGAAAAATAGGGAAGATGGAAACTCTTCTAATATTGGAATTGCCTTTTATCTTTTTGGTCGGACAAATTGTGGAATTTCTTTGGCCTCATGTCAAAGACACGCTTAAGTATTATTTCTTTATTGCAAAGGCAGTAGGGATCAGAAAAATGTAAATGGATCCAAAAAAAAGTTGTTGAGGGTTGATTGCTTCTTCAAATTGTCACCAATTAGGGACCTTTATTTTTAAAATTTCAATTTCAACAATAATGAGATTGTGATGAAAATGCAAAGATGGATCTTCTGGTACCGCAAAGATGGACCCAAATTGTGCATTTTTTTTTTTTTTGAAAATTGCTTCTTAAAAAATGCAAGAGCTAAACTCTCCCCCCAGAGATTTGTGATGAAATTTTAGTCAAAGATTGATCTTATAATATAGCTAACTTTTTTTTCATACCTGAGTCTAACTAGTGGAGAATATTCTAGGTTGCATTTTTGGCGTCTGCTGTTGGACCAAGAGTTGCTGCTGCTTGTGCCCATGCATCCTTGGCAGCATTGGCTGAAGATGAACATAAGGAAGGTTCTGGACATGGTAATAGGTTAGTGCATAACCTTGTGATTCCAAAAAATAAAATAAAAATGTTCAATGTTATTATTATGCGGTTCCTGTTTAGTATCACTTTTTTGCACACATCGTGGCTTCTATCCAACTCATGAAGATTATTATTTGAATTGAATATTTGAGCATTTTATTGCTTTGATGGGATTGAATAATTTGCTAATTATTATCCATTTTGAACTGTGAAGGATGAAAACGGAGAGTGTACATGGTGGAGAAGGTAGTTTTCATGGTTCCATTCATCAAAAAGGTAGGCCATAAATTTAACGTATACTAATTTCACTATAGTTTTAGTTCCTTTCATTCTCCCATATTAGTGTTGTGTATTTTAAATTGAGAACTCAGAAATACAAGGTTCATTTGGTCAAAACAAGGCCGAGGTTCATTCACTATCTGCTGAAAAAGTTAAAGCTGCTGCCAAATCTGGCTTAGCAGCTGCAGCTATGAAGGCAAAACTTTTTGCAGATCATGAGGAACGAGAAATTCAAAGGTTATCAGCTAATATCATTAATAATCAGGTATTTTTCTTTTCTTTTTTGCGTGTGTCTGCTTTTTCAGACATATATTCCTGGTAATAACTATCAGCAATTATTGGCCAATGTGAGTTCGACCTCCTTTAAAGATTTGAAACCAGGAATAAAGGACTTATACTGTTGCATTAACTTGCATACCTTTGCTATTTAACGTAGAAAGTGGAAGAAGAAAAAAGCCAATGGTGCACATATTTGCTTTTGAAACTATAAACTCATCCTTAGAGATATCTTAAATTCCAAGGATTCATTGCGATGTTTGATACTTGTCGAGATATGTTTCTAGGATGTGTTTTATATCGTTCTTGACCTTCAATCTTCTATGGAGCAGCTTCTAAGTTGAAGTTACTTCCTTGTTTGGTTCTTGATTTGATTCACATATCTGTTACACTCATGTATATTGGTTATGTTACCGGCTTATTGTGACTCTTCATTTTCCTTAAAGCTGCTTGTGTCCAACACCTATATCTGATGCATTTTCAAACATGGTTATGGGACTATGTTGAATGATCCTCCAAACATAGAGAAAAACTTAGAAAAATAAAATTTATCATATCCATGTCGAACACATACCCCTGGTCCAGGTAGCATTGGATACTGGAGTCCTGAGTCCCTAGCTGGGACTTCATTTCTATAAATCTTGTGAAATGCGTGTTTCATTTATGCTTCCTTCAAAATTTCATGCTCAGAAATTCCGCTATGTTCTGTTTTGTCTTCCCTTTCGTCTGTATTATAGATTGTAGATAAACTTGTTTTCAATCTGTATCTCAGTTGAAGAGATTAGAGCTGAAGCTGAAGCAGTTTGAGGAAGTCGAAACGTTACTCATGAAAGAATGTGAACAAGTGGAGAAAACGAGGCAAAGGTTTGCTGAGAGGGTTCGCTTTATATCGGCCCAATTTGGACCTGCTGGAGTCACTTCACAAATGAGTCTACCTGGGATTTCTTCTCCCATGGTTAACAATAACATCAACAACAGGCAACAGGTAATATCAGCCTCACCTTCCCCATCGAGCATTGCCGGATATGCCACCAACCAACCATTACATCCTCAGATGCCATTCATGCAACGCCAACCAATGTTTCCGATGGATCCGTGGATGCCCCTTACAGCCATGCAAGCATCCACGTCAACTCCTCCAAATGTCATGTTCAACTCCCCAGTGAATGTGCAACCCGCTCATAACAATCCACTTATGAGGTCGGTTTCGGGGACTGGGTCGGTCTAGGTTGAATTGGAAGCCTCAAATAAATTTTGGATTTTTTTGGGTGAATTCCCTCGTTGTTCATTTTCTGCATTTGTAAGACGACCAGTAGTCTGGACAAGCATCTTCAGACTTCAGCTTGGAAGTATAGTAACCTGAAGCGATTTAGGGTTTGAAACATTATACAATTGATGTAGTTGCCTGGTTTAATTATGAACTCTCGAGACTAGTTTCCAAAAAATAATTTTGTAGAAACGAATTATTTAAAAAAATATTCAACAGTGAATGAAAATTAATGTGTTTTTTTCTTGCTACTTGTACTCTTCCTGTTTATGTTACGCTTATTACTCTTTCTGACCCACTAAGGTTTCATCAATTTTTTGGTAGTTAATTTTCTTAATTTTGACTATTATTTATTTTAAATAATTAAATTTTAAAAAATATATTTAAATTATTATTCGATTGAAGAATTTTAAAAAAATCATATTTTTATTAATAATAAAATTTTAAATAATAAGAAATTAAAAGTTATAAAATTTTAATTTTAATAAGATTGGAGGAGTATATTTCTGGTACATCAAAATAGGCTTGATAGCAAGAATGTGAGACCAACGAAAGTTCACAATATGTATACCTTATTATCCATCTAAAAAAGTAGGTTATCCAAAAGAAAAATGTAAAAGGCTACCTTATAGCTTATTTTTCTTGCAGAATATATATTTTTTTCTCCGAAAGCATATTTCTTTCACCCCATATTCCCAGGAGACTGAGGTAGGGTGTTTCGCTGCTAGGGCTTTTGTCATGTTTAACAAATGTAGCAGTCACAACATATTCCTACTTACAGTTCAAGATTTGAGTCCTTCAATCCTTCCCACGTCTGATGTGATGCCATGATTAGAATACTTCATTAACCTCTTAATAACTTATTTAGCAAGCACAAACGGCACCAAATATAAATGGTCAAGAAAACAACGTATCACCTACAACTTGGCAGCGGATGATGCCATGAACATGAATATGAACATTCACCAACATTTGCATGCACAAAAACTTAATACTTCATGTTCATTAACGTTCTTTAGAATACTCCACCAAAACCAACGTATCAAGTACAGATGGCACTAAACTAAATTTGACAACCATAATATTACGGTTCTCAAAATTCTCCGTTCAAAGGGATCCGTCGCATGTTGGCCATGCCAATTTGAACATGAAATGAAACACCAGTTTGCTTGCATAAAACCCGAAGAATACTACTACTTTGTGTTCATTAACATTCACTAGAATACTTCAAAATTAATTTAGCAAGCACAAATGGCACAAAGCAAAACCAACAAAAAAATATTAGCGATTCTCAAAATTCTTCATTTGAAGGAGATAAAGGGTGAGGGACAGTGGGAGGTGATCTTAAATCCAATTATTCATGTATAAGTCCTTTAAGCTACAAATAATTACTAGCAGTAATCTCTGCAACAAAAATTTTAAGTTCATATCATATATCCATTATGGTGAAGAGTAATAATACTTTATCAGATTGTTGTTAAAAAAGAAAAAAGCTTTACCAGATTGATAGAAAACACATGATGGCTTTTCCCCGTTAAAAAATTAGTGTCAGGTTCTTCAGTAACTGTTAACAATGCAAGGAAATAACAGCTTTTGAATAATAACCTTCCGAGCTTCTTACTACTGTTTAATACCTCAGTAGCAAACCTCATGAAAGATGAAAGCGCAGCTACATGTGCACGTTCTTAATGGCATCGAATTAAAGATCGTCATGTGCATGCTACATTTTCATCAATGAAAGAAACGGCAAAATCGCAATCCAATGACTCACACCCTAAATTCGCGGCACCTAAGCGATCCAACGACGTGCACGACGACAAGGGAGACGACTTCCGACCAGAGATATGTCAAGGGCGGCGGCGTCGATGGCGGTCGTGGTTGGTAAAGGAGGTTAGGGTTATGGTTAGGATTTGAGATTTGAGATTTTTAGGGATTTGGAGTTTTTTAATTTTAGAAAAATAAGATTTTTTTGTAAATATAATATATTTTTTTACTTTTTTTAAAAAAAAATAGAATTACCAGGCCGGTGGTACTTTTTTTTTTTAATTTTTTCTTTAAAATATAATATTTTTATTATAAAAAAAATAAAAAATATAATGGTAGTCACCAAATAGTATAACGGAGAAAACGTTAATCACTTATTTTTAACAAAAAAAGTCTTTAGACAAAAAAAAATTCATTTGAGATATAATTTAAACACTTAAAAATGTATTGAGGTTTAATATAAAAATAATACTCATTTTAAATTATTAAGTTGAAGTGAGAAAAGAAAGGCTTTTGAAAATATTTTGTAGGACACATCTTTTATTTACGTGGCCGTAACACATACATATATTAAAGTGAAGGGAGAAAAAATCAAAATAATAGTAAAATAATTATAAAATGAGGTTAGTATTTACATGACAATTAAAAATAAAAATCATATATAAGAATTTATACACTATCTTAAAAATAAATTAATTTCAATTGATATAATCATTTCGCTGAACAATGCTTCTCCAAGTTAATACATTATTTCTAAAGTTTGTACACATGAAGATTGAATTGGACTATGTGGTACTACTCTTCTTAACAGAATTGGGAAAAACAAAACTCTGAGTGAATGAAAAACTTAGAGAAGTGATTTAAAAATGCTTGAAAATACTGAAAGTGTTAGGTATTTATAGACAAGATCCTCCAACACATAATGGATAACGAGATTAAAAAAATGGCCTATAAATCTGCCCTCAAAATATCTGAATATACAACTAACATAATAGTTATAATAACAGTAGAAATTATGAACATGATTAAAACAGATTAAATACGGATAAAAGCGGATGAATCTCACCCAAGTATGAAATAAATTCAGTTTATTCAAACGTAATATTCAAAGGTAAAAAGAAAAGTGATTCACCACGATACAATTTGTAAAAAAAAAATTCTTGTGATTTTTATTTAGATATGTGAATTTCCAATTGTTTAAATACAGCATTGTAAATATTTAATTTTTTGTATTTGTACTCGTGCTTTTTAACATGCACTCTTTTTGAATATATATATATATTTAATATGTTTAGCCCCTCCTTTAATTTCTCTTAAGGATGTCAATCGGAAAAATAATAAAAAATGAGTGTCGGGAAATAATTTTTAAATGAATTATATTTATGGAAAAAAAAACCCATAGATTTTTTGGTGCTGTGTGGTGACATCCTTTAAAAAAATTAAATTTTCATAGTTTAGTTACTCTTTTATTAATTTTTTAATCTCATATCTTAAATTTTTAATATAAATTATTTGGTTTGTATTTCTTATTTAACTTCTTTCTTGATTTCAACCCACAAAAACATTCTGCTTGTATTGACAGATATTAGACAAGGATCAGGAATCCTTTTTCAAATCAATGAAGGATGGCGGTTGAAGTATTGAAGAGCTGGTGAATTTATGAAATAATGACATATCCTTTTTCAAATTATGGACGAATCTATAATTTTTTTCAGGCAAATCAGAATAAAATCATAAAACTTAAGAGTCAAATTGTATTTTTTTCATTTAAAATATGTTTAAATATATAGTGTTTTAATTTAAAGATTTGGAGGTTATGAAATACATGTTTTTTTATATATTAATCTAGTAGGATTACAAGTTAATATATATTATAAAAATTCTCAATCATTTGACAATAAAAACTCAAACACTCTGGCAATTGATGTTGTAAAGATTTGAAAGCTATGAAATACATTTTTTTTAGTTTCTCTTAATTGTATATTGGAACTTAGATATAGTTTAAATTTTAAAATTATTATTACCAACATAACATCAATTTGTGATTATATCTGTAAATATACATAATAATATTATATCTGTTCGGTGTTGAATGCGGAACTATGGAGTGTGCCGGAAGGATTAAGACTAGCCTGGGATATGAAGTTGGGGCGGATTACAGTCGAAGTTGATAATAAAGAGGTCTGGCGCTTTATGGAGCAAGGAAAGGAGATGGGTTCTGTATCTCCACTTGTCCCTCACGTTGTTGAATTTCTCAGACAACAATGGAGCTTGAAATTTAGACATATCCGGGAACAAAGTAGCCGATAATATGGCAAAGCGAGCATGGCAACTACCACTTGGTGTAGAGATTGCCTAGGCACCACCGATTGAAGTAAGAGAGCTTATACAGGGCCGATAAGCAGGCTGGAAAAGATTCTTAGTGTCTTAAAGCTGTAGCTATAATAGTTTTTCTCTTCTTTTTATTAAAAAAAAATTAAAATAAATGTTTATTATTAAAAACTATTAAGTGCATAATTATATCGGATCAAAATTTATAATACCAATCAGGGGTGTGGCTGAGGGTGTGCGAGGGTGGGCGACCGCTCAGGGCCCTCAGGCCTCGAAATCGAGTATATCTATCTGTTGTTGCCATTAATAAGCATAAAAACAGGGCCCCCGAAATCGAGTATATCTATTAGTTGTTGCTATTAAGAAACATAAAAATATAAACTCCGAAATCGAGTATATATACCAATTATTGCCATTAAGAAGCATAAAAATAGGGGTCCAGAAATCGAATATATCTAGAAAATAGGGACCCCTTTATAAGAATTTGCACAGGACCCCCGACAACCTAGTCACGACCCTGACACCAATATAAGTACGAGGTGTGCTATGGTAGTTATTTACATTGTTTCTTAATAAGTTAATATATGATCGAGTGTTTGATCACTATCTACGCACTTAGTCACTCAACTATTATTTTAATTTTGTTGGTCATTCAATTATTTCCTTTCGAAATCATACTTGATATTATGTTTTAGTTCTATTTTAGTTACATACCATTAAAAAATAAACAAAACTATTGACAACATGCTTTTTTTTCAATGATGATACGTCAATATCACCGTTAATTTTTTAACCTTGAGAGATCAAAATAGAACCAAAACATAACTTTAGATATGAATTTGAAGAAAATAATAGTTGAGTAACTAAAACGGAATCAAAGTGATAGTTGAATGACTAAATATGTAGTTTACCCTATATCAAATTAAAATTAATGTATAAAGATATTTATTTCTATCAACAATTGGGTAAAGTACACAAATGGTCTCTCGACTATATGATGCTATATTATTGAGTCCTCCAACTATTAAAAGTTACAAAATGATCCATTGAGAATTATTTTGTTGAGTCTCTCGACTATTAAAAGTTACAAAATAGTCATGGACTATTCAATTGTTCTAAATTCGTCATTTTATGTTAAAAATTAACGATCGTATAAGCTAGACGTTAACATGTTGATTGAGATGTGATAAAATCATATTTTAATGATGCCTATTGACATCATTGTTATTTTTAAGCACTGACTCGGTGGTATAATGTTTTAAGCATTGACCCGATGATGTAATGTGGAGAAACGATCCATAAAATACAACTCAAATGATTCTGAAATCATATTTTATCATATCACAATTAAAATGTTAACGTCTAGCTCAGATGACCGTCAAATTTTTTAAAAAAATGATTATTTTAGAAAATATGAAAGTCGAAAATTATTTTATAATTTTTAATAATAAAAAAATTTAACAAAATAATATCTTATATCAAAAATTAATTTCTATCTTTCAATAGTAGAAACTTCAGCAAAATAACACAATTAATCAGAAAATTATTTATGTACTTTACCGTGAATAATTATCAATATATGTGTTTTCGGGTCGGGTGTATAGGAGACTAAGTGACAGGGCGTAGACTCATTTGCCGCCTTTCAGAAAAGAAAACACGGTTTCTTTACGCAACCCCAAACCCAAAGTCTCCTCCTTTTTTATTTTAAATCCCGTGATTCCCTGCTTCGCATCTTATTTTCCTTCTCTGTTCTACGTCCACGAAAATGGACTCGCCGATCAGCCGTCTCCCCGAGGACACTCTTCATCAGATCTTCTCTTCCCTCTCGCTTCGAGAAATCATGATCTGCCGCTCCGTTTGCAAGCTCTTTAACCAAACCCTGACCTCACCGTCTTTCGTGCGCCTCATCTCCAGCGTATCCCATCTCAAGCTCCTCGTTCTCCGCCCCCCATACCACCACCATAATCATCACATCCGCCACTTGTCACTCCATTCCTGCATCCACGTCTACGATCCCGATCAGAACCAATGGCTTCGATTCAGTCTCGATTTCCTTCCCTTCCGATCTCCTCACCCCGTCGCGTCTTCGCTCGGTCTGGTTTACCTCTGGGCTGATTCAATCGACTCCAACAAGTCGCTCATCGTGTGTAACCCCTTGACTCGTCAGTACAGAGTCCTCCCCCAGCTCGGCTCTGCTTGGTCACGCCATGGCTCGGTGCTAGTTGACTCAAGGAACCGAGTCATGGTCTTAACAGAACTCGCTGCTCTTTACTTCTCTTTTTCTCAGAAAACCCAGCAATGGCTTAAATTCTCTTCGAATTTGCCTTCAAAACCTCGAAGCCCAATCGTGATTTCCAACTCCGTTTTCGCCCTATGCGACGTGGGATCTCCGTGGAGAAGTAAGTGGAAATTATTCTCTTGCGCTGTCAAAAATTTGTTAAATTTAAATTTAAATGTGATGAACGATAACTGGGAATGTTTAGAAAGGCATGAATGGGGGGATATTTTCGATATAATGAAAAGACCGTGTTTAATACCTGGTAACGGGAACAAGATCTTGATGGTTGGCGGTTTAAAATCGAGTTATTCCTTTAACCAATCTTGTTTGACGATATTGATATTGAGATTGGATCTGGAAACAATGGAGTGGGAAGAGGCAACAAGGATGCCGGAGGCGATGCACCGGTGGTTTCATGATAGTAAATTTAAGGTGTTTGGAGGAGGGGATAGGATTTGCTTTTCCGGGAAGAAAGTTGGGAGGCTGGCACTTTGGGATTGCTGCAACTGGCGCTGGATTGATGGGGTGCCCGGAAATGGGGATGAGCTTTTCCGGGGATTTACCTATGAAGCTCGGCTTACCACAGTTCCTTAAATTGATGCTCAGCATGTTCTTACGTTGTTTACTACTTTGAATCGTTGTTGTATTTCAATTGAATCACTGCGAATGTCAGTGGGTTGAGAGGGTATGCCCGGAAACGGGGGCAAACTTTTCTGGGGATTTACTGTTTGAGTTCGGTTACTGTGGTTCCTTAAATATGCACGGTATGTTCTTCCAATGTTTGCTACTTTGAATCATTGTCGTTTTTCGTTTATGTTGTTCTCCTGAAATTAATGATTCAGGGTACTGCAAAAACACTGTAACCTATTGTCGAAACCTCACGGATTCAAGAGCCAAAAGTGGGATATGTTCAATTTGTTCTTAGACAATGCAACTTGTTAATTAAGATGAAAACAAATCCCCAAGAATTTTACATTTCTTCTATTACTATTTTCAATGCTTGATTTAGACCTTGAGTGTTTTTTTAATATGAAATTAATGGAAGAAAGCGAGGCTTACGAGATCGCTGTATGAGCCATTGTCAACACTAATGGCTTTTGTCTTCATTTACTAATCTGTACTTTAGATATATAGTGCAATTGCTAAGAAGAACGCAGCTAAGTGCATATTGGAATGTTTTGTGATTTATGGTAGTTTTGGAATCAAAAGTCTGGAATCATAGTTTCTGTTGATGTTGTAGTTTTTTTAAGGATGTATCATAAAGGCTCCAGCTGGAGAGATCTGAATTAATTCGAATGGTGCTTTAGATATATTCTTTTGGCTGAGATATTGCTCTTCTATTGGTTTCATGATTAGAGGTGGGGGTGGCTGTGGGAAATAAGAATTAAAATACTTGACTTTAGTCAAAGTAATGGTAGACTAGAAAGGATATATTTTGAAGTTTCTAATAACTCTCTACTCTTCCTCTCTTCTCTCTGTATTCCATCTTCCTATCTTCTTTCTTTCCTTCTCTTATCCTATATTTCTTCTCTATTTCCAGGTTCCACGTTGATTTATATGAGAAGGAAGATTCAAATAAATCCAAAATATAAATTGCAGTTTAAGTGTGAATTGGAGATTAGCATAAATATTAGTTCCAGCACGATTAAAAATCACTCTTTTTTGGTACAAGTTAAAGTGTACGTGCAAATTCATACGCAAGAAAGAGGAAAAAGATATTTGTTCATATGATTTGGTCATATTGTTACTATTACTTTTATCTCATTTGTTTTAAATATGATCATTTACAACATTAGAAAGAGTTCATAGCATACAAATAAAAGCAAACATAAGGCCTGTTCCTCACGACAATTCAAGCTGAATAAAGAAGTGCATGCTTTAATAGTAATGAAGCTAGTAATACAATAATGCTAGAAAAACTATCCTTCAAGATGCATTTGAAGATTGCCTTTAGCATAATTGTTGTGGGCAGGTGAGTATTAATGGTTCCGCTAATCCCTGAAGATTCTTTATCTTGTGAGCATTTGCTGTATAGTAAATCTTTATAATGTTGTCTATATATGATAGGCAGCCATTGTTACCTTCTGATTTAGATACTAGTCACAGTTAGCTTATTCTTGTTTCCTGCCCCTACTAATTTTTAAGATTTAATTACTTGATAGATCCTCATTCTGTTGATTTAAAGTGATTTAACTCCTACTTTTTGATCTTAGCTTTGTTCCTGATCAAATTCCATATATATGCCAAATATGTGCTGGGAACTGGTATCAAATATTGGTATTTGAAGAGAAGAGTTTGGTCAAAACAAGTTTGATGTTAATATTTCGTTTTGAAGTAGGTGGAAAGAAAGTGGACGAGTATAAAGGGCCGGGACTAAAGCACATAATTTTACATGTTATTGCGAGTGGGTGCATATAGGCTTGTGTTGGTACAAGTAAACCCATGGTCCAAAGTTTGCAAGTTTAGCATGGCCCTAGAACTAATATTAAACCAAGCGTCTTCTTTGTTAGAACTTCCATTTGGCATTGCCACTTCCTAACTCAGTGCTGCTATTGTAAATAGTGTAATATATGCTTTGAATCTGTAGAAACCGTATGTTTTTTTTGTCGCAAGACATCCAGTGCATGCAATAATCATATTGGGCCTCAATGAAATTTTGTAGTATATTAATTGAAGATCATCTCAACCCTCATTTCTTTTCATTTCTCTTACCGTTACTATGGTGATAATAAAGTCATGTGAAACCTATGATATGGACTAATCCAGCACCATTTCACAACCCTGACCTACCATACATTTACATATACTTTGTACTTTTTATGTTTTTTGAGCATTCTCTTCCCACATCAAGCTATGCTTCCTGGTTAAAATCCATGAACCGAGGCTGCAAATGCCCATTGTTGGTGGATGACTGAGGCATCTGCTGTTGTTGCTGTAGGGTCTGGTGGCCGCTTAAGTGTTGCGGAGATGGATGGTGAGGGAAAATTTGAGGCAGTCCGCCATTGAAATGTTTCCCATTCATAGCTGACATTTGGCTGGCTTGTATCTTAAGCCGTTGCACTTCTTCCCTCAAAGTTTCATTTAGAGCTTCAAACCGTAGAATATAAATGCTAATTTTAGCATACGCCTAAATTTGGTATTGGTGCATATGAAAATCGTATGGACATCGTAAGCAAAAATATGACATTCTTTCTTAACGAAGTCAACTGTACCATTGAATTAAATGCACGAGTCCCAAATTATGCATCATTTAAGTATGAAACGGCAGAGTTTTGATACTTTTACCAGTTTCATTTTAACTGACGAATGACCAAAACAATGTAATCAACCTCATTAACGCTTCACCAGTATAATTGCAGTACGTGATGCAAAAAAAAAGGAAACAGTATGCCATACCGTCTCTAAGCTGAGCTTGTTGCTCCATGGCCTCTAGCCGTAATTTGAGTTCCTTATTCTCAGTTGTCAATCCAGTAGTGTCTCTCTGCATCATAGGAGAAATATATTAGAATAGGTTCCCTTCCTTCACAGTGGAGGCAGTAGACAAATATTAGCCTACTCAAAGATGCAAAACAGGTGTTTACCAGGTTAGCAACTTCGGCAGAAATAACTAAATGCATCATTATGTGCATGATATTTTGTGCAAACTATCCCCTGATATATCATATGTTAAAGGTACACAACTACTTCCTATATTACTTGAATTTGAAGGTAAGTGCCGGATACCAATATGTGTCTGACACCGTTATTCCCTTGTACCCATGTCGCAGAAGTGTCGGATATAGATGTTTGACACGGATGATTTAGGAAAAAAAAGGAAGAGTCGTACAACATAGACTTATCAATTTTCTTTCCACGTCTTATTCAAGGATTGATCAGTGATTGTTATACAAGGAAATTGACTTAGAAAAATATCTGTAAAAGAACAGATAGAACAAAACTTCTCAAGAAGGTGCAAAGTGGCCAATCCATGTTACTTGGACCGAACATGAGTTAAAATTTGAGTGTACAGGGTTATGGGTATCATCAGATTTTTCTTGCATATGGAGGATCTTTGAAGGTCATATCCTCTTACTCATGTTTCCGGACATAGGTATTTAAAAAAAAGGGAAAAGTTTGTTTGTTTATTTTAAAAGGTAAAAAGGGAGGGAAAAGTAATATAGGACCTTATATTACGTTCAACCATTCTTCCATTGAAGAGAATTCTATGCATCTATACAACAAAGAAGTATTTTAAAAAGGAGAAAACAATCTAGGGAAAAAATTCTCTTAAATTCAAGCAATAAATTAAATAAACTTATTCCGATTGTAACAGTGGTTCAACCCATAATTGAATATGCAAGCATGCGTTTCATATACACAAGATTCCACTGGCAGTTATAATCTTAAGATTGAAAAAAAAACATTTGAATGAATAAACCTGGAAGTTAACAAATCTGGAAAGCATCAAAAGGATCACATTTTATGGGGGAAACGAAAAAATATAACATTCTTTAGATGTATACAATAAGCTAAACCAAAGAGGCGTAAGGTGCATTTACCTCTAACATTGTGACCTGAGCGGAAAGATTGGTAGCTTCTGTTTGAAGGGTCTGAACTCTCCTCTGCAGCTCACTGGTGTATCGAATCTTCCTCTCCTTTGAACGAGCCGCGGATTGCCTGTTGGCCAGAATCCTAAAGGACGCAAAGCAAACCTAATTTACTATGGAAATTAAGTAAAACAACTAATTTAGATATATAAGACAACGCTGTTCCAACTTCGTTTCAAGGTTAAAACCAGCGCACTAGGCTCCCGCTAAGCGAGTAGTTCTTGTGCGCCTTCTCAACAGAGAATGGCCATCGAACACTTGTTCAACATGCTAGGCAAAACCTTCTTCCCTTTTTTTGGTAATTAAAAGAAAGTAATTACCTATATATTACAAGCATAAAAGAAAAAGAAACTGAAAAAAAGATGATTGATTGAATTAGGGACAAACATATGATTTTTTGTGAGAACTTAAAAAGTACATAATTATAAAATTTTGAGGTATGAAAAATTAGATTATCAAGAAAAAAATATAAAGAAAATAACTAAATTATATTAGAATTTGAAATTTTGCCACTGCACTCTCTCAATTCATCTGTGATCATTGAACCATTGGTAAAAAATTGTGTCTAATTGAATTGAATAAATTGAACTCAAACTCAAATTGTAAGAATTTGAGTAAAATTTAAGATTTGAATCTAAATTCAAGAAGAATAAAAATCAAACTCCTCGTGTTTGGTGCTCAAATTAAAGGTTTTTTAATACTAATTATATATAATAAAAAAATAATTAAGCTTGTAAGCTATTCGAATCAAGTGTGGAGCTCGGCTCTGTTCAATAGTTCGAACTCAACGACGATTAAATCTACTTCAGATCAGTGTTTGGTGAAGAGAAAATGAAGACTCCAAAAAGAAGAACAAAAATAGTCTATGGAACCATATTTAACTAAAAATAAATTGTATAAAAAAATCCAGTTAATTTAATTTAATTTAATTTATTTTTTAATAAAAAAGTAGCAGAAAAGGTAGACTATCATAAACACAATTCTACCTTTTAGCTCTCTTGGGATCAATAAGGGCAAGCTCAGCGAGTTTATCAGGAGCAATAGCCTTCTTAGCACCGTCAACGGCGATCAAGGACTCCATCATGAACGACGCCGTACAATCCATCGAGTTACTATGCCTATGGTGAACCCTCTTCTCTCCCGCCCCTTCTTTCCCGCCAATTTTCTCATCTCCAGCTCCTCCGGAATTTGCGGGCTCAGTCAATCCGAGTCCGTCGAAGAAATCAGAATCAAAAGAAAGACCACGGACATGGGAAGATATACGCCTAGAGTTGCTGCGGGAGGAGCGAGAGGGCTGGCCGTTGGAAGAGGAGTCATCGGAGGAATCGGTAGGAACGGGGATGACTGGGGGCGGAGCGGGATTGGAGGTGGAAGGCGGGAGGTAAATGGAGGAAAGATCGAGATCGGGTGGGTCGAAGAGGAGAATATCGTCGAAACGGAAAGTAGTATCGGAGTGGGCTCGCCGATGGTGAATTCCACGAGGAAGCATTTGGTCCATCTCCACCGTCAGATTTTGCTCCGCGGTCTGGATAGAGCAAGGCGAAGGATAGTAAGCGGTGGTTGAATTTAAAAGCAGAGCGACATATGGGTTGAGAGAGAGCTTGGGGCAAAGGGATACTTGGGTGGTGAAGAACAGATAACAACTTGTACAATCAAAGAGTTTTGACCTAATTATTTTAATAAACTAATAATAATTGAAATTATTTTCTATATATTAACTGGGTTGCCATAATTAAATATGATAATTAAAATGTTGTTAATAATACCATATAAAATAAGGGTAAAATATACAAAAAAATTATGACTATATGTCGTCGTTTCATCGAGTTCTTCGATAATTAAAAATTACAAAATGATCTCTCAATTCTAGTATATTGTTTTGTTGAGTTCTCCGATTATTAAAAGTTACGAAATTATAATTTGACTATTTATATATTTTAAACTCGTCATTATTCGTTAAAAATTTGATAGTCGCCTAGGTTAGATTTTAACATGTTGATTGGATACGATAAAATTATAAAATTATATTTTAATGATGTATATTGACATTGTCACAAAAGCGAGACAAGTTCCATATAATTTTGTTTCATATTATGCGATGAGTTCTAATTGTTCTATTGTGAAAATATAAGATTAATTGAAAGCAAATCTTATCGAATTTTCTTTGTAATATATTTTCTTTTTAATAAGCTTAACTTTCAATATTAAATTAAAAATATGTGCATGGAAATTTAGTTACCAACGGCATTTTACACATCTATACTTTATTTTGTTAATCTAGGATTTTATTTTTTTTTATTTAATAAGTGTTTCTCTTTTCTTATAAAAACTGTGCAAATTTTTGTCTCGTCTCGTACACATTTTGATCATAAATTATTATTTTTTTTCTGTTGAAACCGATTTTGTTATCATCTCTCCAATTGATGGATGCTCAATTTTTTTAACATATCTATTCTCATCTGATCCGGTGAGATACGAAAAGGACAATTTATTGTCTTGCCAATGTAGCATTACCTCACATATATTGTTTTAATTGAAAAATTATTTCCATAACATTTCGGTTATTTTCAGCGATAATAATTGATAGAATAATGTCGATTCTTTATAAGAATTTAGATGGATGTGTATTGGATAAGTTTATTGACTTTGATATAATAATATTTTAATTTTTTTTATTGTTATGTTATTAAATTTTATTCGGTGAACGAAATATAGTTTCAAATAATTTTTTTATGATAAAAGTTTTAAACTCGGAGTTTAAGCTCGTATTGTTATTCAACTGTTATTCTTTTCTCTTTCCACTCTCTCCTCTTCTTTTATTTCGTTTTTTTTTTATCTTTCCACCATTTGACTTAACCATTTGTCTATCAAAACATTATTATATTTAAAATCTTACTTGAATCTCTTAATTTTCTCTAAATTTCCCCACTGGGGAGTGAAGAAAATAGTGGTGACCATTGGTGCGTCTCCCTCGAAGCACTGCTCTGTTCGCCTTCGAGCAGTGTAATGGAACTGGAAACGCTCTCGCCGATCTCCATAACCACCTCGTGGTTCAACCAGCTCATCGGTTCGTAGATAATCACGGTTAATGTTAATGTGAGCTGGAAATCCAAAATACTTTTTTTCTCATTTGTTGCCATAAAATATGGCCATCGTTTGATTGAAACAAAATAAAATGAAGAAGACAACAAAGGAAGGGTGTACACCAGACGACAGTTGTGAAATAGATTCTGTGGCCCGATAAAGTTTAAAATTTTGCGACACGTATTAATCACTAATGAGCTACTCCACTCGCGTTCGACTCTTCTGCCTCAAGATTCCGGCCAGCAAACAGCTCTACCACCATCAAATGCTTCTATTAGTACGGACAAACAGAGAAATTTATACTAAATCGAATGATAAATTTATACAATTTTAGAGAAATGAAAATAAAATTTTTAATTGAAAATATAAAAAATATTTAAAAATTTAAATTTTTTAGAGAATGACTACATCAACCGCTCTCCTCCGTCCATCCTTGCGTACCAGTCCTCTCTTGGTTGGTAATATGATTTTCTTTAGGACATAATGCAGTGGAGAAGAGACACAAATCATTACAATAGTTTTAGAAATTACTAGAGATTCATCACTGTAATCAACCACTTATATTCGAGTATAATTGACATCATAGTGACGTACTCCATTAAAAATGTTGTCGAGGTGATTTCTCCCACTAATTCGTGACACTGATTTTGATACAATGTTTTGGACCCAAAAAATTAGAACTTTTTGACAAATCCTTGAATCAAAGGAATCGCATCACATCTGCTCTTAAGTCCCTGTCTATTTTGTTTGCTTCTGTCCCTATTCCCAGTGGAGCATTTTCTAGTTGGTCGGGCCATCTCCTGTCCTCTTTCAAATGAAGTTGATTTTTATTTCACATTATTTTTATCTAATTTTTTAAAACAAAATGGCCAAATTTTATTAAACAAAATTAAAAGTACTGTGACAACTGGGCATCATTTTCTTTTGAAACAAAAGAAAAGGAAAATAAAACCTAAAAAATGATATTTATATATAATTTTAATCATAAAAAACACAAAGATTACTTCATATACTTCTAATTACTAAAAACTTATTTCAAGTTAATAAAAATATGATCTCAGGCATTGCTATTAATTTTTAACGACTAGTTTTTATAATAGAAAAAATATAATATCAATGACGATTTTGGTAAAAAAAAATTAATGACTAAAATGATAAAAGATAAATAGTCTGATGACTAATGGTGTAATTTACCTTTAAGTTTAAAAAATTTAAAAACATTATGATTAATATAATAAAAAAATTAAAATATAGTTAGGAAAATTGTTGAGGATTAATTTGCATTCATTAATAAATTATCCTTAAATCCCCAAATTTATAATTACTTGAATGCTTGAAGAATGTATATATCCAATTCTACTTAAAATCTTTTAAATCTATAATTTTATAAAAAAAAAAGTATATATTTGATCAAACTCGTGTTGGACATATACTCGCATCTAATAATTAATACAGAAACAACAGTGATATATTAAAACTTGACCAATATGAAACCTAAACTATGGAGTTGTAATTCAAACTCCAAATGATTCATACTAATCAAAATAACTGTTACCGATAAGACACCAACTTCTATGGGTATCGGAGGTAGCTTGGTTCAAACACAAATGTATGAATAACGATGAAATGAAAGCAGATATGATTGATGAAAGAGATTATATAATCCTTCACCTTTAGTACTTAAAATATGAAGATTCAATTAGAATTTCAATGCTACAGCAAATCAATACACCATAAAAATGGTGAAAGCTCGTCCGCTAGAAAAATAGCATCTTCTCTAACTTACCCAAATGTTATGAGAAAATCAACCAGGTCTATATTTTCGATGTCCCCCACCGAGTTCAAAGGGGGCCTCAAAGGATCCCAGATATGATTTAATAGACATTCAGAATTTCAGACTATACTAGGGGGGTCCCCCACCCAGTTACACACAGCACGAGGCCATCGCGTTCTAATGCAGTCCACCAACGGCGCATGTTGAGAAGGTTCGGGTTTTACCACTTCGGTCCCAGCAGAACCAGATGGAACTGCTACATCTGCCATGAATTCCTCAGGTGTCCACCTTGGGGGTACTGAAACCCTTAATTTTGTAAGCCTTGGTCTTTGTATCGGAGTCTCACCTCCAGAACTCGATTGGCTGCCATTCAAATCTGATTTTGCTATCCCATTAAAATGGAAAAGATCGAATACCTTTTGACCCATTTTTCCTGTCGAATCCTTAAGACCCCCCAAGCTCTTGTCTAAATCCAAAATGACCTGCCAGAACTCACTCCACACAATGAAGCCTGAGCTGCAAAGACTATCAAGTTTTTCGGGCGGAAGTCTAATATTTGTCTCTCTAAGGACTTGATGGAAACCTTCCACACTAATGAAGCCACCACCTCCACTCTGATCTTGAGCATCGAAAGCTTTCCGGATCTGCGATTCCCTTTCTTCCAGTTCATTCTCATCTTGAACAGACGTATCCAGAGCAAATAAGACCGTATAATGGGATTCACTCCCAACAACCCATATTGGCCATTTTGGGCATTTTAGGTTTTGGCCAACCTTACAGAAATTAAGCGATTCCAAAAGAGTTAGGAATCCAACTTCCACATTTGTAGATACACCCTTCAAAAACATGCCACCACCAAAATCCATCCTTCCATCGAATACATTCGGCACAGCTTGCCCGCATAGCAACAGGTTCACAATTTCCTGAAATATTTTTGTATAAATGCAATTCCCAAGCAAAACATCAAAAGAGCAACCCAGATTCTTATGGAAGTGCCAAATTTAAGATATTGAAGTCCCATCCATTAGATAATGAAGAGCAATTTTATGTACCTGAGAAGCATGCCCAAAAGGTGCAGTTACTAGAGGAAGGCTAGGGTCATCCCGGTCGGCTTGAACACAGTCCTAGATAAAATTTGGTTGCACCAATGTAATTATATCCTCGTTCAACAAAACAGTCTCATAAATTTAGATATAAGTAAGCCTGTTCTTAAAACCATAATATAGCTATAAAAAATTGACGCATAAATAATGACAAAATTGGAGTCTTCGAGTCCAAACAAACCTACCAATCCTCGAGAAAGCAAGGCAGAGATAAGGAAAAGCAAAGCTCCCATGCGACTTTGAAAAATGGGGATCATTGCTTCAAGCCTCTTAGAGACACTTACTGGAGTTGTGTATGTGTCAACTCTTAAAATTTTATGCAAATCAGAAGCCGATCCAATTGAAAGACCTTCAAGTGCTTGTGCAATGATCTGTAAAATAGAATAAATACTTATCAGCAAAAAGGATTATAAACACTAAAATATTAACTCTTAAAATTCACATCACATGCATATTTTACATCTTCAAATTCTAAATCGCTTTTGTTGTATCACAATAATTTGGATTTCTCCTAAGGCCAGCAAGCATTAGAAGTTGTTTTCTGACAACTGTCAGGCCTATATTTATCTGGAATAACATGTTTTGAATTTATTGTTTGTTTTTTTTTTAATATTAGGACTTATATGTGTTTTCTTGCTCCAACAGCAGACTGTAGTGAGCAAAATAATAATAATAATAATAACATATTCAGGTCAATCGGAATCCACTTACAATGTCTTTTAGACTGTCTTCAGATCCTTCAATGCCATCACCGATGGAACTCAAAGTTGCAATCACGGCTATTTTATTATTTCCACATAAAAACAATATCTCACCCATACTTTTAACTAGAGCTCTGTGAACAGAAACAGATAACAGGACAACAATTAATTAATTGCAAAGCAGCTAAAAAAAGGAGCAATAATTATTCCAGAAATGAAGTAAACATAACAAAGGCCACTACCAGTTCACATCATAAATACTCATGAATATCCATTAAGATATGTCCCAAGTTTTAACATCATATCAGATCATGACTTTGCTCAGTCATTCATAAAAATGATAACACCTTAAGCCAAACTAAAACACAATGAATATGCACAAATGCAACCTTAGCCCATTAGGCCAAATTTCGTATGTAGACGTGACCGAGCAAACACATATAGGAAAAGAAATTGTACATGCAACGTGACTTCTCAGCTTGAGATCAAAGAACCACATCTTTTTCTCTGATTGCATAATAGAAAACAAGAAATTAGCAACCATAAAAGCAAACAATTAAGCTGAATTTCAAAGAAACTCAATAGAAGGGAAACCCAGGACAACTAAGTGGTAACTTGAATGATCTAACACCTTAAACCAAACCAAAACACGACAGATATGCAAATACAATCATAGCCCATTAGGCCAAATTTGGATAAGAAGATATGCCTGTGCAAAAACATATAGAAAAAGAAATTGTACATGCAACGTGACCGCTCAGGTTAAGATCAAATCTTTTTCTCTGATTTTTCTAAGCAAACAAGAAATCAGCAACCATAAAAATAATCTAAGCTGAATTTTAAAGAAACTCAATAGAAAGGAAAATCAGGACAACTAAGCGGTAATATGACGATTAACATAAAAAAAGGCTTCTATGCGACAACTGGCAGGAAAGTTTTTTTAACATTGTCATATAGACGTAAGTTCAACTCCATTTTTTATACGAAACAGAGCTATAAGAAATTTGAAATGCAATGTATCCTTTTTACGAACAATTCAATGCAATAAATCCAATCACCTTGTTTTTACATTTTCAGTAAAAGCAGCAAAATTATTTGATGCAACACATTGATTTTTGGATAATCTCCTGGAACTCAAATTCTGTGGCATGCTTTGTGCAGCTTTAACCAGTTCATCCGGAAAGAAAAGATGTTTGAGAACGAATGCCTGTTTAGATAGACAGATAATATTGTCAGCAGAAAGAGAATTGACAATTTTCATGAGGTACAGCTTAGCTGAAATAAAGTTTAATTCCGAAATTTAGATTTATGTAATTATGGTTAAGAGACAGAATTTTCCATAAAATATTGAAACACCATTCGATATAATCATTATCATGTTAACAAACTAGCAATCAAAATCAGTGATGTTAAGGTGAACGCCTAGGCGCAATAAAAGAAACAGAAACACTTTGCAACATATCAGGCAATGCTATTTTAAACAGGTGGTTGCTTTACTGTGTTTTTATTATGTGTGCTTCATTCTAGGCATACAAAAGCCAGCTTCACAGGCCCTTCACTCATCAGTTTCTTTCTCTTTTTTCTAGATAAAATACCATAAATGTCCTTTATCTTATTAACTAGAACCCCACCTACTGACTTAATATTCCGTTTCTTCTAGCTTTTACTTTTTATTTTGAGAGTCAAAATACAAAAAATGCTATTTATTTTATTAAATAGAATCTCACCCCCCCAACTTTATTAAGTTTAAAGTTCAAAGCAAATTTAAAAGATTTAACTCACCTTCGTACTCTCTTTAAACCTTAACGCTGTCACCTTCACTTTTTTTCCTCCTTGAGTCTCTATCTATTCTCCTATTTTTTCTTCTTTTAGTTCTTTTATCCCTTATGGTTGCTTTTAAAGTGTACTTTGTTGTTTAAAAACAGAGGAGAAGTTGCTCTGTTTTAGTGTTAAAAAATAGAGCTCCGTTTTTGGCTTTGAAGTTAGTGTTGTATTTCCTTTTTCATTGTTTTCCTAAAATGTACTTCGAGCAAAGGCTTTATCTTGTTATTATTATTTATTATCGTCTACATGTATGATATATATTTTTATATGTATGCGCCTTATTTTAATAGGTCAAGCACTTTTTAGCACCTTGTGCTTCATGCTATATAGAGGTCTTAGCGCCTTGCACCTGGCGCCCTTGACAACACTGAATAAAATAAGCTATACCAATGAAAGAACAATATTAAGTTCTAATAAATTAAAAGATTTAACTACCTTCGTACTCTCTTTAAACCTTAATGCTGTCACCTTCACCTTTTTTCCTTGATTCTCTATCTATTCTACTATTTTTTCTTATCTTAGTTCTTTTCTCCTTTATGGTTGATTTTAAAATGTACTTTGTTGTTTGATAACAGAGGAGAAGTTGTTCTGTTTTAGAGTTAAAAAATAGAGCTCCATTTTTGGCTTTAAAGTTTGTGTTGTATTTCTTTTTTTTATTCCATTATTTTTCCTAAAATGTACTTTGAGCAAAGCCTTTATCTTACTTATTATTATTTATTATCGCCTACATATATGATATATATTTTTATATGTATGGGATTTATTTCAATCGGGCAAGTGCTTTTCGCACCTTGTGCCTAGACTATATAGATGTCTTAGCGCCTCTAGTGCACCTGGCGCCCTTGATAACACTGATTAAAATAAGCTATCCCAATGAAGAACAATATTAAGTTCTAATAAATTAAAAGATTTAACTCAACTTCGTACTCTCTTTAAACCTTAACGCTGTCACCTTCACTTTTTTTTCCTCGACTCTCTATCTATTCTACTATTTTTTTCTTCTTTTAGTTCTTTTATCCTTTATGGCTGACTTTAAACTGTACTTTGTTGTTTAAAAACAGAGAAGTTGCTCTGTTTTAGTGTTAAAAATAGAGCTCCGTTTTTGGCTTTGAAGTTTGTATTGTATTTCTTTTTTGCTCATTATTTTTCCTAAAATGTGCTTCGAGCAAAGGCTTTATCTTAGTTATTATCGTTTATTGTCGTCTACGTGTATTATATATTTTTTATATGTATGCACCCAACTTATTTCAATCAGGCAAGCGCCTTTTTGCACCTTGTGCCTTGGGCTATATAGAGGTCTTAGTCCCAATGAAAAAACAATATTAAGTTCTAATAAATTTTAGTGAGAGAAATGTGTTGCTGTAATATTTTAACATTCAGAAGGCATACTGATAAGTTCAGGTGTTACATAAGAAAACATGTATTTTTTAAATGGATTAAGAGCTTCACATGGAACAAAAAAAAAGTAGTCAATTCACATTCTGCATGAGAAAAGAAACTCCTATAACCAAGAAATTAAGGAATTACTTGTATGGCTGCTAAGACACCACAGGGTCCACCTTCATGCTGAACTAGGATCATTGATGTTTCTGGATCAGGGCTAAACCTACAGGATTTTTCATCATGTATTAGCCAATAAAAAGAAAACATATGAAACTTCCACACAGTTGCTGGGTACTCATTTAAACGAACTTACCAAAAAAAACACAAACACAAAATGAAAGAAGATAAGAACTAACATCCATGAGTTTTCAACGAAGAATAAAATGTCTACCAACTGAATATGCCAAATTGGTACCTATTTTACTTGGACTTGGGTGTAAGTGTCGGATACGGGAATGTATCTGACATGTGTATGGTTAGATTTTTCAAAGTTTTTCCATATATTCGGAGGATCCTTGAAGGTCGTATCTCCATATACAAGTGTCAGGAGTGTCACTGTGTCAGACACAGCTACTTCATGAAAAGAGTCCGAGCAAGATAGATTGGAACTACCAAACATGGTTCATGATAGTTGTAATAGAAAATGACGGGACATACAGCAAAAAAACAGTTTAAATCAACCAATTGCAAATCCACCAAGAGCCTGCTAACCTGGCTAGTGGCCAGTATTCTTCACCAATCAATATGCACAAACATCAGCAAATAAACCAAAATTCCCTAAGAATAATCTCTATACTTGGGAGTTGACAATGAAGAACATCAGGGATATTGTATTGCAATAGATAGGAATAAATTATAAAGGGCACTGCATTACATGAAAGAAATTGCCTCATACATGAATGATAACTCAATATTTTATCTCAGGCTCATCTACACTCCCAAACACACACATAAGGATTATTCACATAATTCTCATAAAAAAAGTTACATGTCAATTCATTTTTGATTTTGGATTCATTTCACCATGCACTTGCACTTCTTTATTGTTCCCTAACAACAAGAGACTTCATTCATGAATTATCTTCTTCATTCATGATCATCAAAGCACGACAAGGTTTTCTAAGACATATTTGATCAGTAACTGGTTTCTACTTGAGAGAAGAGAAAAAGGAAATTTCCATTACACAAAAGTAGCAACTTCATGCTGTATATTAATATGCATATCAAAATTCAGCTGTCAGTCTATTTTGTGATCATTATCCTTTTTTTTAATCAGTAAAAAAAATTAAAATAAAGTAAAAGACTAGCCTTTACCTTATGCCCTGATTACTCCACTGAGCCAGTATATCCTTCGAAACGTCGCTTCCAAAAACCATAAAAAATAACTGATAAGCTTCTTCCTCCGACAATTCATTTCCCAAATTCACTTCTTTAGCTTCTATTTCCATCTCTTTCTTTCCTAAATCTCCGCCACTGTCGCTTTTCAAAGGGGAACCGGAAGCAGGAACGCTTTTCGTTGCCGGCAGCATCCGTTTCTCAGCTGCAGCTGCCATTAATTCACGCTGCAGTCGTCGGCTCTCCTCTGGCGTCGTCGTCGTCGCTGAGTTCGTAGCTTCTTCCGGCTTGCTCCTCTTCGGCTCTGGAGGCGAGTTTTGCATGCTCATTCGTAAAGCCAATCTAAGGTCTTCTTCTTCTTGTTGATCCGCCATTCGATAACCAACGTCGGATCAAACTTTATGAATCAAAAATTTTCAGAGATAATTGAATCCAAATCAATTATTTTTCATGTCTTTGAACTTTGAATTTGATTCAAACTCTATAAAGAATAAACGAGAGAAAATCTTCAAAAACCCCTAAATAAAACAAATTAGGGTCTCGAATTTCAGGCCAACCGGTACCGAATGGTGTTAAGAGCGAGAGGAAATCCTTTTTTTTAAAAAACAACAACAAGAACGAAGAATTTAAAATTGTCGATAGGGTTAAAATAGGAAAGTGACTCAAAAGGGAGAAAAATGAAGGTGCTCTATCTTTCTCTGGTTAACTTTTGACACGGTGTCGTTTGGGTGATGGAGGAAATTAAATTACCATATCGGCCTTGATTTATTTGCTGGACTCGGAGGATTTGGTTGGTGCGTTAGCCGTTAAAGTCTGGAGAGAGAGATATGGGCAAAACGTGAGGGTATTTTGGGAAAAGCAATGATGCTCAGTCTTAGTAACGGTAGAACCAGACCGGACTCACCAGTTCGATCGAGATCCTGCCGGATGACCTCTCCGATAAGTTGTAATGAACCATTTAAACCGTAAACCGTCTATAATCGTTTTCTAGACCGTGAACTGGTTGGATGTTTTCTTCTTTCTTGCCCGAAAATAATTCAAAGAGTATATGTTGTTTTTTTCTCTGTCTGGTTCAAATCCTTTAGTGGCTGTAGAGTGATATATACTTTTTAATTTCATATTTGGATTATTTTATTTTATTACACAGGCATTTAATTTTATAGTTGGCCATTTGTTTTTTTTTAAATCAGTTTTAATTAATTAATGAAATTATTGAATATTTTTTTTGGATTTGATAGAGATATTACATTCTTAAGACAAATATAATGATGTGAATTCACATAAGATAATATAACGTGAACATTCTTAATCATTGGATCAATTAATAGATCTAAAATGAATATCTGTTTTGGTTTAATTAATTTCATGTGTTTATTTTTGTTTATAATTTTTCATGATTTTATTTTCTATATATGATTTTATTTTAAAATTTGTTATTTAAATAATAAATTGATTGAATCGACAATTAAACTGATTAAGTGAACAAATTGGTGACCTAATCAATCTAATCATCTGTCTGATTTCTGAAAATCTTGCTCTTTGCTCCTTTCATGGGAGTCAAGGCAAAATTATTAGGACTAGAGTGTCAATCATATAAAAAGTTCTTATTGAAGTAAAGGCAGAATTAGTGATACTTTTTAATTTGTTTTTAAGTTCATTAAGTAAAAATAATAATAATAATAATCATGTAACATAATACTGAAAAAATAAAAATACTAAATTCATGTTTTAGATAGAATTAAAATGTCAAATTATAAACTAAACCTTCTTTTTAACGTGAATACGTGATTTGTCACTAATGTAACAATAATTAACATATATCGGGAAATTTTTTAAAGAGTATCATATTTATCGGTGTATCCGAACTTTTAGTATAAGTTTATTCTATTGATATTCTTCTTGGTTGTTTGCTTTTATAAATTATGATTTATTCGTTTGTTTGTATATGACATTTCGTTAACTTTTAGTTATACATGTCGGATGAAATTATAATTAAGAAGATATTAATTTTTCATTCTTTAGTTTTGGATACTCTCCATGTTCTTATCATCTCTGTCTGGTATTTGTAGGGATGGCAAAAAAATCCGAACTCGATGGAGAAAATTGAAAATCGAATTAAACGGGGACGGAAAAAAACCGTTTATGCTAAATGAGGATGGGGACGGGGAAAAACCGTTTATGCTAAATAGGGACGGGGATGGATTTGGTAATCCCCGCCCCGATTACCCAGCCCGATAAATATTAAAAATAATTATTATATATATAATATTAATAAATTTAATTTAAATTAAATATATATATATATATAATATTTATATATTTAATTTAAATATATATATATACCTGGCCTGATACCCGGCCCGATACCCGTTTATGCTAAACGGGGATATCCGTTTCCCTGCGGTTTTCCCTGATTACCCAATGGGGATCCCCGTTTAAATCCCCGTGGTTTTTTAAGCGGAAACGAGTATGAATTTTTTAAACGGGAACAGGGACATGGGATCAATACTCAGCCCGTTGTCATCCCTAGGTATTTGGGGATGTTGGAGTGATATGTCTATGAATGTCATTGCCTTAACTATTTATGTTTTTACTCATAAGTTTGTTACTGGTTGTTCATCGGTACATTTTATTTATAATTATCCTGAATGCATATATAACATGATGTTTTTTATGACTAATTTAATCTACGTATGTATTTAAAAAAATAGAGAATGATAATTTTATGATAAATTGATGTTGTAGTTTAAAAAATTTGTACCCGTTCCCGCTTAAAAAACCGTGGAGATTTAAACGGGAATCCCCATCGGGTAATCGGGAAAACAGGTATCCCGTTTAGTATAAATGATTATTTAAACGGGTATCGGGTCGGATATATATATTTAAAGTAAATATATAAATATTATATATATATTTAAATTTAAATTAAATTTATTAATATTATATATATAATAATTATTTTTAATATTTATAGGGCCCGGTATCGGGCCGGGTAATTGAGGCAGGAATTACCAAACCTGTCCCCGTCCCCGTTTAACATAAACGGTATTTTCTGTCTCCGTTTATCATCCTCGAACCCGTTTAATTCGATTTTTGATTTTTCCGATCCGGTTGAGATTTTTTTTTGCCATCCCTATATCTCTTACCTCTTCATCCTTGAGCTCCTCTTCAACTCTGTCGTCGTTCTCTTCCATCTCCCATTTAAACAACGATCGATGTTTTCTTCGTCACCGACTTGATATTAACGTTGGGTGGATACCACCCCAAAAAAGTCACTGGTAAACTTGTTTTACCCTTACCTTCATCACGACCAAATAACCTCTTTCATCAACGTTCCAAAACAAAACCCATAATTTCCTTACACTTAATCAAGAAAATAGAAACAACCCAAAACTGTTTGTCTATGGCTTTATATCTGCCTCCGTTGGTGCTTTATTTTCAAATCGAATGCTTTTCTTATTATTCTAATCTATCGATGCTCTTGACCAACCCAACAACTCAAAGGGGAATAAACTTCTGCACCTTTTCTTCCTCAGGCATTATGGATGCGAGATTTGGGCTCTCGCTCCTTTTTGTGTTGGGTGCTAGCTGGCCATGTAGTGCTAGACATTTAGAAGTTTTCGATGCATCAGATATGTAGATAAACCTGGGACCAAACGAGGAAGTAATAGAAAAGGTTACTCAGAATGACAAGGTGTGCACCTTGTGTGAGGAATTTACTGTCAAGGCAGTTGAATACCTTTTGCAGAATAAGACCCAGACCTAGATAATTGAAATGCTTCACATGAGGTGCTCACAGCTCCCGTATACCAACTTATAAGAAGCAATGCATTACGTTCATGGGACTACTATTCTTCTCTCTTCTTTGTGGAAGTATCTTCTATTCAACCTCAAGATTTCTTACAAAGTTCATTCTTTGTCAAAAAGTTGCACTTATAACTTCACGAATCCGTGAAGATAACTGCGGCGTGTGCCGCCATGATGTTTCTGAAGTTCTAAATAAGTTGCAACTCGAGACAAAGTTAGAGATAATTCAACTCCTTTTGAAGGGATGCAACTCGGTGCAGATCTACGTGTAAAAGTGTAATCAGATAGTGTTTGAGTATGGGCCTCCGATCCTTGCAAATGCAAAGCACTTTCCTCAAACAAATGATGTTTGCACAATAGTCCATGCCTGTGATGGAGGAAAGCATACATTAGTGGCAAATACTTGGTCGTTGAATCATCTGTAATTCCACGAGCATCTGCTGTTATATATATATATATATATATATATATATATATATATATATATATTTAATCTTTTTGATTTGCAATTGCGTGTATAAGAATTACAATGCTGAAAATGTTGTTAAGATGCTTAGTTGGTGGAATTTGATTGCTTACGGTTTCATGATTCAAAAAAGTGCTATGATCCCAAAGCAGGATCCCCGAGAACCCTTGGAAGGAACATTTGTAGACTGTTGTAATTAATATATATATATATATATATATATATATAAACAAACTTCACGTACCACAGCTTGCGTATACTTCATTTCCCTTAATTGTACCACTCTTATCAAAGTATCCGACTCCGACGACCATGGATGAGAGTCGAGGAAAGACACCACCCAAAGGAGCAACGAAGTGGAAGAGTCTTGAGCGTGAATGGGTCTTGAGAGAGGTTACGGATTTTGATCTTAAAAGCTAATTTTAAAACATTAATTTCTATTTTATTAAATATATATCTTATGTGGCTGATTTTAATATTAAAACAAGCTAAATTGAGAAAACGGTCTAGTGTAAAAAAATTTATTATTAAATTGTAAATGTAGAGTGAGTGAAATAGGAGATAGTAAAATTCAGATACTAAATTTGTAATTTACCCTAAAAACAAAAGTGAGAATAGGTGGTAGTTTAACCCCAAAAAAAATCCCACCTTCCCATGTCAATGGCAATCCAGCAATTCAACCCTTGCGTTCCTGATAAACCACCTTCGCATCTACTTCATTCATTAAATCTCTCATTACTCCCCCTCTCAGTTTTCACATGTTCTTAAAAAATCGTGATGATTTGCTTGATGATGTAGAAACTATAAGATCATTGAGCAGTTGGTGCGGTTTTCTGAAAACTTTACTCACCACCGCCGCCTCCTTCGCCTGCACCACTTCCAGCGCCACTATGGTTTTTTTTATCACTTTTACAAAGTATTCAGATTTTATTTAAATAATTTTATCATAAATCATTTCTTTACTTGGTAATAATTTTAGAAAGAATATGATGCTTGCATTGGGCTCTTAGCCTCTCTTTTTCTGTAAAGAAAAAAAGGTCTAATCTTGAAATACATGCAGTCTAATTCTAGAAAGCTTCTGTAACTTACCCTTTTCTTTATTGGAGATTATGTTGTGTGCTAATTTTCACTTTAATTTGTGGTTCAAAATATGTTCTTAAACAATTTGCATCCGCAAAGTTTTATTTTTTTCAGTGGGTCTTTCTCAGTTTTTCTGGATTTTTTTTTTGTGACTAACGATTTAGTGTAGGAATGTGATGCTATCGATTAATATTACGATTTCTCATAGGGATGGTTTATATGGGTTTTTGGCTTTATTATTCTATGAATTTTATCATTCTCTCTGATTATATCTTATCTGTAGTTACGATATACACAATGCATAGTCCTCTGTTGCTAGATGAAATTGATGATGCCTCTCTTAGAATTGTGCTTAACTGAGATATGAAGCTTTTCCTTTTTCAAGTGTTTAATTTTTTTTTTACAGTTTAATTAATTAAACTTTTGCTCATGTCTTTTTTGATGCACTTCATATGTCTGTTTATCAATTGTAGTATCTTCCACTTCTTGAATTTCTGCTTTGAAAGCATTAACTATTTAGTTGTCTGTGAGAAATCCCAACAGCTTTTCTTTATTAGCCTTGACTACAAGTTTGCAGGTAGGGATGCATGATCTTATGCTAGGAGCCGATCTTACAAAATTTTAGGGAGAAAAACAGATTATCGATAGGAAATACAAAAATAATATCTGAATTATATGAGAGTTTAAGGTCCCCCCCTCGGTCCATCCCTGCAAGTTTGTATGTGCTATCCTTACTGTTCTACTGGTTAATTTCTTCATTGCATTTGATAACATCTGTCTAATTTATGGTTGGATATCAAAGGATTTTACAGGTGGTCATTGACTAGGTGTTTGTAGATTATGTCGTTTTAGTTTTTGCTGTTGTTTGTCAAACTTTTCATCACCGGGCAACTCAATGTTATGTAGTTTAACTTGTGGTTGAATGCCATAGACTTGTCATTGTTATTGTTTCCTTTAATCTCTGAAGACGTAGATTGGTCCTTATGAAAATCATGAGCTTCAAAATTTGAATTCTGATGCTTATGTAATCTAGTGGCTGGAGTATTTTGTTTTCTTTGAATTACGGCTTCTGATGAAGTTGGTGTTGTTGATAGGCCTTTTAGGATTGATAGTTGAAGCTAGACTAGAGACTTTGTGACTGTTGTGCCTTTTTCCTTCTCAATATACACAGTAGATCATAACTATGTCACTCGGATACGAGTGTATGTGTCAGATGTAGGTATTGTTCAACTTCAACATGCCCATCAATGAGTCAGATACAAGTGTTGAACTTGGTACCGATAAAATATAGGGTTGGAATTATATAGGATCATGGTTTCTTCTTTCTATGACAGTTTTCAGTGTTTTAAACATGTGTTTTTGGTTTCATTGAGATCATATTGTCAGCCTTTTGCCCAATGATGGAACTCTTATTTTTGGAAGAATGGTTCTGGTTTTTTGTTCGTCTCTGGCTTTTGCACACCACCTCCCTTCATTCTCTCTCTCTCTCTCACTCAATATAAACATGCATGTCGTGTGCTTATGTATGTATATATATATGATAATTTCATCTTTGCTGGTCAGGTGGTGTGTGAAAAGCTATTGATGAATGCCTTTATGGTGAACTGTACATGATCGCAACACAATTATGAGATTCTGAGGGCTTCTTTTAGTTGTTCATACTATGTTGCTCCGACTCTTCATCTTTTTAAAAATATTCATGTTTGATGTACATATTATGTAATCATATTTTTGGTGTTAAACGTACATGGACTAAATTTCAAAATTGAGCACGGTAGAAGGATAAAAACTAAAATTTGACCGATATTTTTCTCAATTCTTAATGTTTTTACACTTGAAAAACATTATAATTTCTCTTTTATCTCAAACGATTAACATAAAATTCTTGCCTTCATACTATTATAGCAGGTTAGTGTCTTGGAATGTCTCAAGGTCATGGTCGGCCTCTAGGCAGCTCCAAGCAATCGGGAGCAACTTGGTAGCACCACGTGCGAACGAAATAGTCGCCACCAATGGACTCGAAATGCTTACTTACACAATGGGTATCGTTTTGCTGTTTTTAATGTGGGCATTGATGGCCGCAATACCGTGCCAGGACCGAGGTTTGCAAGTTCAGTTTTATTTGCCTATGCAGTTTTCTTGGGCTGCCACCATTCTTTCGTTGCTTGGTAAGATCATGGAGGAGTCGAGGAAAAAAGACAGGAAGAATTCATGTGGGTTATTGATGGAGATTCACTGAATCGAGAAGTGTACGCTGTTGTTGAACAAACTGACACTACCGAGCAGTTTCCAATCGGCGACGACAAGGAAATAGAGTTGAGGCAGAGAGTGGAGGAATTGGGGCAAGCTTATGGTGCAATGAAGGTTTAGAACCATTGGAGAAGAAGGTTAGGGAGGTGTTTCATAGTGTTGTTCATAGTCGAATCGAAGGGAAGGGCTGGACTCTTTAGGAAGGGGACACAATACTGAGTAAACAAGTTTGTGCTTAAGATCGGTCTTGGATTCGGATTATATGTCCAAAAGTAAGGTTGATTTAAACACAATTAGATTGTTTGACAAAGAGGTTGGATTTGGGCTCTAACAATCAAGATCCCAATCCACGCCTATCATACTTTTTTTTCCTTTCAATTTTGTAATCAAAACGGCTAACTCCTTGATTTTTTTTTTAAATAGTATGTGAAAATTATAAAATAGTATTTTTTCAGATTCTTAACGTATACATACTATGAAGATGCAGATGCTCGTTCAAACTCGAATCCTTTTCAGAGAACACATACCCTTCTACAACTGCTCAGCACGTAAGCTCTTTTGAAATAAAGCAATGAGCCGATCGAGTCATATAGATTCAGTATATAGATTCTAAGCAGCGTAACTGCTTAATTATTGGCTTAAAAAAAGAAACCTAGTTCTCTAACAAAACCACAATCCTTTAAGACGTATGTAAAGGGATAACCGTGCATGTTATTTCAGTTCATGTTGTACTTGCATTTCATGTTATTATATACTTGCATATATATAATTACTTAATGAAAAACTATTTCATTAATAACTTAAAAAAGAACAGGAAACAGACTCTGACTCCACCCTCAAACCATTTGCTGACAACAAGACCCATAAAACTTCATAAAAATTTATTCAACGAGTGACTAAACAGTAAACACAAGGGTAACTCCCACTCAAGAAAGCAGACCCTTCGCCGGAACAGCCACGCCAGCCTTCACAGACGGCAGAGAAGGAGGTGAGTCAGCAATTTCTTGGTCGCAGTATCCTTCAAGTATGTCACCTTCTTCCGTCGTATACCCCAGGGTTTCCATCATGTCCGGCCAACATTGATGGCTAATCGTATGAATAGCGTGGCAACATGCATTGCCGAGGTAAGTTTCACCGTTGAGGAAGAACAAGATAACTTCCCCGCTACATGATTGAATCTGGGTCAACGATTCCCAGCAACTCGGTGAGTCAGCATCCAATTTCAGGCGAGCTGCGAGGGTTGGCTTCGGCGTTCCCAGCGGCCGTGCATGGGTTAGAAACGCCATTTCTAGGACTAGAAAAACGGCGAGGGCTGAGGAAAGGTTGAATGTTTTGGCCATTTTTAAAAGTTCGATGATGGCGTTGCAGAACAGCGTTTGATGAGAACATGGTGAAGGATATTGTGGGGTTTTATAGATTGGATTTCATTGACTGTTACATAGAGATAATGAAAAGTTGATGTGATTAATTATTTGCATTAGTATTGATGTGATTTTGGGTTCGTTAAGAGATGGTCTTGATTATTGGGGTTTAAAATCTCCATTCAAACCATTCTCAAAGCCGTATTTAATTAGGTGCATATGAAGAGTTAAGTTTTAATATAGAATTTCCCGACTCTAACACGTTCGTGAGGTGACAGTGCTTGGATTTTGGAAGAACAAAACTGTGGTTGATGAATAATATTTTGTTTTTTTAATTATTATTCAAATTTACTGATTTCTTGATTCAGTCAATAAAGTTAACAAATTCTAAGTCTTTGGGTATTTAGGTTCAACTCTCAACTTGTAATTACGTGAGAGTTTTCACGTAGATATCTATAAATATATTTGGATTTATGCGTGAGATTAACACACTTTATGTTTGTCTAAATTTGATCTCACACGAGGTATACGCTTCAAATTTTGTCTAGATCCCACTTATATTTGTAAATAAATAATGTGAATTAAATTTTCATTCAGCTATACAATTTGTTTAACTTTTTAAAAATATTTAGCATTCTAACCCAACTCCAAAAAGTTTATAATTCTTGAGCATTATATTAAATCATTGAAACGACTAACAAATCAACTTATACCAAATAGCATTTGAAACCATACCAAGTACTTGATCTTGAGTTTGAATACAAGCAAATGTATAAAATACCAAAATAATTAATTAAGAGATTTACAAGTGACTTAAATAAAAATTTAAAATGAGTTAAAAAATTATATGAAATAAGAGTCTTATAAAAACATATGTTTGCTAAGAAATAATAAAAGATTCTAGTCTTTAAATGATGTTGTCATATAAACTTGAAATAAAATAAACTATAAGCATTCGCATGGAAAATAAAACATATCCAATTCCTAAATATATGTATAAATTTTTACTTGTGTGAATCTCTACTAAGCAACTATATTAGAGGAAGAAGATGATAATAGCAGATGTAATAGAAGATGAGAATAACAGTTGTTATAACCGTTTAGGCTTGGCTATCAGCCAGTTACTTGTACTCTTACATTACTTAATAGATAATTTGAGATGAAATAAACAAATGTGTACAAATTTAGTAGTCACATATTCAATTCATAAATAATAATTTATAAAAAAAAATTATACATTTTTATCAGCTAATAAGATTAATACTTACATCAGTTCACTTAGATTTTTTTTGGTTTTCAGATTTTTAAATAATATATTTAAACTAACATGACTTTGGGCTCTAATATGGAAGCCCAACCAAAAGGACAGTCCCATTCTGTCATAAAACCGGAAGACAATGATCAAAATTAGATTTAAGGAAAACCTCAGGGGGGTTTCTGTAAATTAATATTTCTAAGCATTTGTTTATAAAAAGAAGCAGCTAGGGTTTTAGACATTTTGTGAGCTTAGCAGCAGCCATCCACAGCATTCGCCGCGCGGCAGCAGTCTCAGGTATATTCTCTCTCTATCTCTCTCTCTCTTCTGTGTATCCGATCAATCTTCGGCTCTTTTAGCCACGTTTACATTGAAAATTGTGGAAAATAAGAGAATATAAACTTTCGTCTCTGTTTTCCTCAAGAACATGAATTGGTTTCACTTTGAAAATCAGTATCTTTTGTCTTAGATTAAATAACTTCTTTCGTTTTGTCTTTTGTTATGAGTTTATTCATTTTTTATGGTGATGAAGGTGGGGAAGAATGTCTCACAGAAAGTTTGAACACCCAAGGCATGGTTCCCTTGGATTTCTTCCCAGGAAGCGAGCTTCTCGTCACAGAGGGAAAGGTTATTTGTCTTTTATTTTTGTTAATTTGTTCGTGATGTAGCTGTAGAAAACTATAATTTTGTGTAAGCTATATTTTTTGTTATCTAAAAATGCAGTAATTAAATGATTATATATATGTTTGTGTTACTTTGGGTTGGTACAGTGAAGGCATTTCCGAAGGATGACCCAAGCAAACCTTGCAAGCTCACTGCCTTTTTGGGTTACAAGGCTGGAATGACGCACATTGTTCGAGAGGTCGAAAAGCCCGGATCAAGTAAGTTGATTTTGATTAAGTAACTTGCAATTTATTTCAGTTGTCCTTTCTTTCAGCTTTATAAACTCTTGCTTCAACATGTGTTGAGCTTTTTTTCTCTAAATTTTAATGCATTGGTTACGTTGATATACAAGGGAAAGAAATTTACAATCAATGCGTTATCTTTTATTAACTTCTGTGAAAACAGTGCATTGTAAGTAAAAAGTTTTCCCTGGAACTAGTTTTTATAGGCCTTGGGTTATTCTGATTTCAAACATTTAAATTAGTAATGATTTAGCTACTGTAAATTTGTCAAATATTCAACCTAATTTGTATTCTTTGATTTCGTATAGAGCTTCACAAGAAAGAGACGTGTGAAGCTGTCACGATCATTGAAACCCCTCCTATGGTGATTGTTGGTGTTGTTGGATATGTCAAGACACCTCGTGGTCTCCGCAGCTTGAACACTGTATGGGCTCAGCATCTGAGTGAGGAGGTCAAGCGTAGGTTCTACAAGCACTGGTGCAAGTCCAAGAAGAAGGCTTTCACCAAGTACTCAAAGCAGTACGAGAGTGGAGAAGGGAAGAAGGGTATTGAGGCTCAATTGGAAAAGATTAAGAAATATGCTACTGTTATCAGGGTTTTGGCGCACACTCAGGTTTTAACAATGTTTCATTCAATCAGTGGCTTGGTTTCGTTTATTTCTTTTCTTTTCTTTTTGTAATTGTTAGTTTCAAATGATTAGTTTTGAGACTTATGATTTCTTGATAATTTGCATTGTTACAGATTAGAAAAATGAAGGGATTGAAGCAGAAGAAAGCACACCTAATGGAAATCCAAGTTAATGGTGGAACAATCGCTGACAAGGTGGATTTTGCTTACAAGTTCTTTGAGAAGCAAGTCCCCATCGATGCCGTTTTCCAGAAGGATGAAATGATTGATATCATTGGTGTCACTAAGGGTAAAGGTTATGAAGGTGTTGTCACTCGTTGGGGTGTCACACGTCTTCCCCGTAAAACCCACAGGGGTCTGCGTAAGGTTGCTTGTATTGGTGCCTGGCATCCAGCTAGAGTCTCCTTTACAGTTGCCAGGGCAGGTCAGAATGGATACCATCATCGTACTGAAATGAACAAGAAGGTTTACCGGGTTGGAAAAGTTGGCGATGAGACCCACTCTGCCATTACAGACTATGATAGGTTAGTGTTATACACAACTCTACACTTCCATCAAATGGGAGTGTTTCAAAGACTTACAGTGGATTTTAGTTATTTCAATTTATATAATTGTTGAATGTGTACTGACTTCAGGACCGAGAAAGATATCACCCCCATAGGTGGCTTCCCTCACTATGGTGTTGTGAAGAGTGATTATCTGATGATCAAAGGGGGCTGTGTTGGACCTAAGAAGAGGGTAGTTACTCTTCGCCAGAGTCTGATTAACCAGACGTCTCGTGTGGCGCTGGAGGAAATCAAACTCAAGTTCATAGACACCTCCTCGAAGTTTGGGCACGGACGTTTCCAGACAACACAAGAAAAACAGAAATTCTATGGCCGGCTCAAAGCATAAATTTGCAAACTGGTGGAGTTTTGACTATCATATGATTTAGGTTCTGTTATTCCCTGAGAATAATTTTATTTAGTTTTGAAATGCAATGCACCAGTTGGATTAATTTTGCTTTATCAATTTGTGTTGAACGTCTGAACTGATGGAGGTTTGGAACTGGTTTTCCCTTATCAAATTATAACCAATCTTGGTACTTTGGTTTGTCCTTTTTCTGTGATTAAATTTGCTGCCTTTGCACGTTGATCCCTTAGTCTATGTTATCATTTAGATTTGGAGGTGAGTCCTGGGTCATTTTTCTATAGATTTTTTTTCTGTATTTTACTCATGTTGGGATGTGTTGGATTGGAAATATTTCTTCAAATGTGACTGAGCGGAGACACATAGCTCTGGTTGAGCAGCACCATGATTCGTATATTGTACGAGTAATGATTGAATGCTTCATGAAACCAGCTAAATTAAAGCTAAATAATCAATCATCTGACCAAGCGGATTCTTTTCTATCTTGAATCTTGCTTTGTCTCCGATTGATACATTTGAGTATCCTTTAGAATCTATTTCTTTATACTTTTTGTGTGCATAATTGTTTTTGGTGTTATAATTCTATTTAACGTAGATTATATCTATATAATTATTTTTTGGTTGAGCAACATTGCTAGTTGTGCAGCACCATGATTTGTATAAAATTAGAGTGTAAAGTGAAAAGCACTATACTTAGTTATTCTGTATATATGTATATATTTTTAATACTCTAGGGTGAGTGATTATAAGATATTACCTGTTAAGAAATTTTTTAACCAATTGATAACATACACATATTCTTCAAACGTGGTTATTTGAACTAAAAATCTTTGTAGAGATTATTATTTTTTTATCATTGAAGTCATTTGATGGATTCAATTAAATTATTGAAGTTATTTGATGGGTTCAATTAAATAAAATTTAACTGTGAAACAATATTTCAATATCGATGGCATATGTATCATGATCTAAAGCATCGGTGGCGACTGCATTGTATGGTGGAGGAACTGACATAGGCGTAGAGTGTTGGTGCTGCTGATGAAGAGCACAAGTCATGAGCAATTGTCGTCGCCTTGTACCAGTCCACCATTTCTTGTACGCGACAGCGACCGTTTCTATCGAGCCTGAGGGATTCCCTCCTGACGTGTGGCAGGTGGAACATATGTTTCAGATGCGATCATAGAACAAACATTATATAGTTTTGCTTCCCTTCAAGTACCAGCGAATTACTTTAGTTGATTTCAAATGTAAGTGATGTGCATTATAATTTTTAAATCTGGTTTGAGATTTTCTTTACTTACAAATAATATAATATTATTGTCTCTATTTTCATTTTATCAAAATAACAAAAATTCTATAAATATTATTGTGATAATATCGTGACACTATATGATATCAACTTATTTTTTAAAAATAGTTATTTTAATTGTCAATATTGATAAAAAAAACAATTGAAAAAATATTGGAATACATAGATGTAATTGAATTAAATATATAGATTTAATTGATTTTTTTTTCTAAAAAAACAAAAGTGATTCAATTATTCGTTTTAATTATATTGATCTTGAAATCATTTTATTGATCAAAATTAATAAACTTATCCGATGATTGTCGATGATAATTTGAGGATCCCATTCATCTTCATACTTGTTGTTCCGCTTTCTCTTCATCCTAAAATGTTACAAAAGAGAATGAAGAAAAAAAATCGGTTTAAAAAACACAATGGTGTACTAAGCCCCAAAAATATGCTCCAACAATTCTATGAAACATTCTTCAAGAATTCCCAACGAGAAAAATGAAATTGGTAATACAGGCCTAAGGGGAAAGGTTTTCCCTCAATGGATAGACTTCATTCTTAAATCGGTTAAAACTTCCTTCTATCCAAAACAATGCAATGGCCAGTATACAAAGTTACCCAAATCATTTACCAGCTTCTCCTGTTTTAACTGCAGAATTGGTTACGATTTCCGGACTACCACTTCCATTTCCACAACTTGAGGGTTTAGGATTCGATTGAATCATTGAAGCTCGATGATCTATAGCCATAGTAGAATCAAAATTCAAGGTAGTATGGGGTGGATCATTGCCCTCCATATTTTGAATGTCCTTATCATTTTCCTCATCATTATGCCATTGCGAGATCTTCGATAGGTCTTCGCCTTCCTCGATATTACACCGCAGGGACATCCTTAATAGGTCTTCACTGTTCTTTATTTCAGCGTCAACCTTTGGACGTGGATCTCCACCTACATCTTCTGCTTTAGCTTCCTCGGTACTTTGTAAAGTAGGCCTTGGTACCTCCTCCTGGACGATCGCCCGAAAATTATTCTTGGGGGGGTTTAACTTTGTGCAAAATACTTCATGAAAATTACTCAGGCAACCATGATCGTAAAGGTTGATTCTGTTGTCGGCCCTATGTCGAAAATTTTCATAGGTAGTCTGGAAGACATGAAGAAGGTACATTAGTTAAACTCCGAAATAAACTTGCTGAATTTAACAAAAAATGGATCTTTGTTCCCTGCAACACAAAATGCAAATCAAGGACTTGAACTTGTATCCGTAGATGAATTTTTTCCCATATTTAGTTTCCGAACTCTCATAAGTTAGGAGCGCATAAAATCAATACCAGACTCTGTCATTTCTTCTGATCCTAATAAAACGAAGATTTATGTAAACGCCTAAGGAAATAAATTCAAGCTCTATGATTAGAAATATTTGAGATCGAGCCTTACTTAAATCATCATATAGCAACGAGAGGTCATGTGAAAACACACCTGGTTTGTTCCAATGAGGTACAAGTGAAACCCAGTGAGTCCACCAACAAACCACAGAGCAATGAAACAATAGGCCATTAGGACAACAGACGGAGGAGATTCTTTCATTGCTTCCCAAACTGTTCTACGGTTATCATCCATCAGAACCTTAATGTAGAATGCTGACATGGAGAACACATAGATGCAGAGAAGAGCCGCCGAAGATACAAACATAAAGAAGAACCTGTAATTGCGCTGCTCATATACAGAATAGTCAGCTACTAAACAAAACACTGTTCAAGAGAAGCAAGAAACATCTGGACTCGTATGAATAGACAGGTTTATCAGATAAAGTGTACCAGTCCAATGCATTGCCCCACCCAAGGGCAGTGGTGATCGAAACGCTCAACACAATTGTTGCAAATGGAACAGTGGGAGCAACGGGGAGGTCGATAAAGCATGCATGTACTACAATACTTCACTCGCACCATAATTCCATTAACCATAACTTCTTTAGTTCGAGGGAACTGACGACCGGGTGTTTGTCGATTCCCAGCCTCAGCTGATACAGAAGAATCATGGTGAGGCTCCTCATCTGGGGGACGTGAATTGCGAGGAATGATTCCTGGGTCCCGGGCTGATGTGAGGAAAAGAATAATCAACACCTATCAAAATAAACTGCACTATTAAAATCAATAGCAACTTAGACAACCCAAAATAGAAAGTTAACAAAAAATAAAAGATAAATGTTATCAATACACACACACGTACGTAACCCTGAAAGCTAGAACGGGATACGGCTATTCAAGCCCAAACTTCTATGACAAATTCATTTCTAGTACAAACTAAGCAACTAATATCAAATGAAAGGTGTCCACTACATATTCCACCAAACAAATGTTCTAAAATTTGAAAGGTCAAATATCTTTAGGATTTTAAACATACAAGTTCGACCATGAAAATTTATAACAAAAACAAACTGCTAAAAATGCCAACCGTTAAAAATTGGCTCTTAGTCTTATCCATAACTTACAGTTCATATAAATTAATACAGAATTGTAACACTGTTCTAATACCTCTCAATCAACAAGTAAAGGGAGAAGATACGTACATAGATAGTAAAGACAACTGCTACCACCATAACTGCATATCCTGCATTATATGGGTAAAATGCATGTCGAAGATGCCTTGCAACAAAAATGCAAAAGAAGATAGAAGGAGCGCTTATCAGCAATAAGGTAAATGGCAAAGATCTAGCATCTGGACCAAATATTAGCCTACCACCAAGGAGAAACTTCTGCAAAATGCATATAAGGGAATTAAATGCTAAATGAAATACATGGATAATCTGTTAGGACTGGATACAACAAAGATAAAATGAAGAACATCAGATATGACATACTAGTAGAATAGCAAGTATATCTACATAATCACCAAACTCAGAAAAGCAATGTCTGCATTATCGTGGCTTGGAATTGCACCAAATTTGTGAAATTATAATTATCATTCTTCAACGAGGACATTTCTATCAAAATTTTGGCAATTTAGAATAAGATCATACTCTTAGTAATTCTCACAAAAGTTTCACCAGATTTCTCATAAATGATACGAAGTTCCTTTGAAGAAATCACACAAATAGAACTATAAAAACAAAAACAAAAAATGAAAAAATGGGCTACATGTGAAGCACAAATTCGACCTACTTTCATCAAAGTAATTTGGCACAAAAGCACTCAAATTCTACCTTAAAATTTTAAGGTTATACATTGGAACTTTACAATCCATAACTGGTTTTCTTTAAAACCCAAAGCTAGTTATCCGTGACGCCATAAAAGTAAGTTACTCATGTTTCATTAACCTTAGCAATAACTCTCTTTTTAACGTAAACATATCAATGAACAGTCGAAAATACCAAAAGAAATTCTTTATTTTATATATCCATGTTTTTCCCCTTTCTATCATAACAAAATAAAAACCAATAAGAAAGACAATTTAATAATAACCAAAGCCAAATATCCTACTATACCAATCAAATTCATACTCATTTTCCTACAAACCAAACAAATCTAACAATACTCAGACGCCAAAACCTAGCAATTTATAAGGAAAAAGAGAACGAAACAAAAGAATAATTGACATCCTTACATTTCTTCCTTTCCAAACTTCGTAAACACGCTTTTCCATGAAAGAAATTACCGCACCAACTCTTTCCCTGTTATAGCTTTATTCGACTACGTTGGAACTGAGTCTACGATTTGAAACTTTTGCGAGATTTTCATTTTATTAAGAAAAGAAAATATAACCCCTTCCAATGCAAAAGCTTTGCCACCCAACTGAAAACCATACTCAAGCGAGAGCCGATTAAATCATAAGTGCCAGAGTCAGGCCTTGGTTTCTTTCTTGGGTATTATTATTTTAAAGAAAAACAAAAGAGGGATTATTGTAGAAGAGAAGTGCCTGTGTTGAGGTGGCGATTGGCGTTCTGTTTGAGAGCGGAATGGGAATTTCGACGATTTTTTTTCTTCTTTCTTTTAAGGGAAAAGTGTATGATCTTCAATCTCTTCTAAACGGCAATAAACCGAAATACGATGTTGTTAAATTTGAGAGATATTATCATAAATGACCTTAAAAGCAATCAAATTCACCGTTGTGAGAAATCTATTTTAAAAATATTCAATTTAGTACTTATCCTATCAAACCGTTACTAAGCATTGAAGTGACTTTTATCTTGCATACTATAGCACTTAATTTATTTAGAAATTACCATACATATATGTATTTTAAAAAAATAAATTAAAAACGTCAAGTGACCTTAATGATAAAAGAGAATGTTATTTTTTTAAAAGTTTTTTGTTTGAGTAATTACGTTTGTAGAGTGTGTATTGTTATTTGATTAAGAAAGTTCTAAAAAAATAATAATTTACAATCACCTCAAACTATTAGAAAAAAAATATATTGACATAAAATTCATGAAAAAAGTTATATATAATTTTAAAATATTTTTTATATATCTAACAAGCTAAATTAATAAAAAATGATTCATAATTAATTTTTCTGCATGATAAAAATAAAAAATAAAGCACTAATCATAATTTATCTAAAGTTAAAAACTAATCATATACTCAATCCCTAATCTCTGATTTTCTTTTTCTTCTTTTGTTTATTTTGCGCCGATCTCCATTTGTCTATATTTTTATATCGATGATCAAACTAATATTTTCATAGATTCTTAATATGTTCAGTTCACTGTTAAAGAAAGGTAAAAATTAAAAATTCAAAAACATTATAAAGTTTTATAAACACGTGAATTTAATTAAACCGAATCAAATATCCGATTAATTAATTAATTAAAATTTAATTTATAAACAAAATAAATACTCAAATATGAATTATGAGAAATTTTAAATCTAATCCTACCTATAGGAGAGGGAAAAAGAGACCCTTGTGTAAGAAAAGAAATTACTCTTAATAAATCTAGTACACATAACATAAATAAATAGGAGGAAACAAAAATAAACGATTTAATTAATTGACCAAATACTTGCTCAACATTGAAGTAACTTTTATCCTATATATCATATAACTTGATTTGTTTAGAAATTGCAATTCATAAATGTATTGAAAAAAGTATATAACATTTTCTTTTAAAAGTTGGAATAATATTTTTAAAAAAAATTGGAAAAGAAAATTATAATTTAATTATAATCTATTTAATTTTTTTGAAGACTGTGTTTTTTAAAAAATTAAAATATTTCTAATTTAAAAATTAACCGATGTTTTTTACAATAATATTTCAAAATTTTAAAATTAAAAAAAATGAAAAAAAATCTATTTTTATATAACCATCATTATAGGGATGACATGGGTCGAGTTTTCGGTCAAAATTCGATTCGAAAATTAGACATCCTCCACCCGATCTGAACTTGATATGAAAAATATACACTCTTAAGTTGAACTCAACCTGTTTTTTTAGATAAAACTCGAATCGTATCCGATCCGACTCGAAATAATATATTTATAGAAAAGTATTACCTTTATTTCATAAAAAATAGGGATTTAATTAAAAATAATAATATAGAGAGAGTAATTATTGTAATTTTCTCTAAATATAAAAGGTGAAATTACATTTTTGGGTCATCCCAATTTGATATTTTGAACCTTAAATCCAAATTCGAACCGACCGAACATAACCTCTAAAAAAACCGACCTTAACCCGAAATTTTAAAAAAAACTGATCTGATAGGGTCGAGTCGATCCCTTGACCATCCCTACACCAATATTTGATTTATTAATTAATTAATCTAGATCTATTACTATAGAGGCGATGGTGATATTCTCAACCTAGTTTGCTCCATTTGCAAACATCATAATTTGAACTTTTGATTTAATTTAAACAATCTAATGTTTTTCTTATTAGACAATTTTATCGTTATAATGAAAAATTTTACATATAGTTTAAAATATTTGTTTATATATTTAACAAGCTAAATTAATAAAAAAATCCATAATTAATTATTTGTACATGATAAAAATAAAAAATAGAGCAATAATTATGCTTAATCTCTATCCCTAATCTCTCTTTTTCTATTTATTCTTTTGTTTGTTTCGCGCCGATCTTCATTTATCTACTTTTTATCAATATTTTTATATCGATGATCAAAGATACTTAATATGATCACTCAACTGTTTAAAAAAATAGGTAAAAATTAAAAATTCAGTGACATTATAAAACTTTATAAACACGTGAATTTCATTAAAGCCAAACAAATATCCAATCACCTAATTAATTAATTAAAATTGAATCTATAAATAAAATAAATACCATAATATGAAATAAATACATGCGTGATAAAATAAAATAATCCAAGTTTAAATGGAATTTTGGTAAAATAATGCAGCAAACAAACTAAGAATTAATTCCGTGGTCCAATTATAAAGTTCGAAGTTTTTGCATTAAATTTGGCTGCACTCATGTCATAATTTTATCAAATGTGTTAATTATATTATAGATTATTAACGTATTAATTATAACGCTTAATGAAAAAAAAACTATACTCTAAATTAATTTTAGGTGATTAAAAAATTTTCGGTAAAAATAAATATTAATATTTTTTTGTTATAATTTTAGATGTCTGGTCTGTCACAGCCGTTAAATTTAACTATCTGACGCATATTAGACTTATAAAATTTTAAAATCATTATTTTAAAATAAAAAGTTAAAATTATAATTTATTTTTAAAAAAAACTCAAATTTATTTAAAAGAAAAAAACATCTATATCCTAAGTTCTTTAATTCTACATTTATTTCAAATTGTTATCGGTCATCTTCATCCATCATCTCAATCATCGAAAGATCACCTATTTATTGATGTTGAATTGTTGATCGATTATTATCCTTACTATTATCTCAAAACGCTAAATATCTATTTTCATTTTTGTGTTTTCATACTTCATCCCCAATTTGGTAGAATTAGGAAAATAATCCAAGTAGAGCCTTTATTTAGCCTAATAGGGCATATTGAATTTTATTTTGGAATCTACGACAAATAATATAGTGGACATAGAAATTGTCATGTCGGTGTGACAAGTTTCATGAGATATATATATTTTAATATACCGTGAGGCTATTTAATATATATTAAAAGACTCGTCATGCCCGCGTGACGAGTCTTAATTAAAAAAATAAAATTTTGGAAATTTTAAAAAATTTAAAAAATAATATTTTAATGGATAGAGAGCTCGTCACGCCAGTGTGACGAGTTCCAACGGGTATAATTTTAAATTTTTAGACTATTGGGATGACCGATCAAGTGCCACCTTCACAATATTTTTTCTCAAAACCAGAATAAAGAGGTCTATGAGATTATCTTGTTCAATTCGGTCAATCTCGTGGCGATTTCGGTGTACAATTTGAGTCGATGACATCAATGATGGCGTCAAATACGTTGAATACTCCATCATTTTCATCCGAAGATGTAAATCAATATGGTAGAGTAATGTTGAGTACACCGGAACCGGAAGAAGACGAAAATGACGAAGGTGGACGACCACGACGAAATCGACGAACACCATGTTATTACTATTCTACCACTCCTCGATATCGATAAGAAATGCACAAATATAAGTAATAAATTTGTTTATCTGGATGTCATGACCGATCTCAATCACCATACAACAAGGTCATTGTTTTTTGTTTAGCCATCCATGCCTTGTAATAAGTCAGAATATAACCAAATGTATTCTGAATTGATGCCACTAACACAAAAACAAGTACTCTTGGATTTTTTTTCCACCAACAACTTGACATAGGAGCATATGACATCTGAATCTAAATGTCTGTGGTCTTGTGTCAAAGAGATCATTGTACATGTGTGATGTGCATTGAACCTTGTGACTTCCCACAACATCTTTTTTGTAGATATGATACTTGTATCCTCCATTTACAACCAATATCATGGTGTATACAGCTTACAAAATAAGTCTTTTGATCCAACTCCGCAACATAGAATTGAAGATGAGCTTTGATGCAATACTCTTTGATTGCCAGTTGTGCCTCTTTTTTTGTTTCAAACTGAAACCCAATAGCCAACTCAGATGAGCGTTTGTCTGAATAACCTGGGCAGCACATAACTATGACATATCATATATTTCAGGATTCTATATAGCATCGTAGGTAATGTCATGCATTGCAACTGGATGATGATACCGAGGCAAATCATGGTGACGTGTTTCAGGTTGAGAGTGTTTTTACCCAAAATTTTAGAGCATTCTGCAATCCTTAACATCTTGAAAGAGTTGTCTCCCATACATCAGCCTCAACATCCAAATCTTGTCCCTTTGAAGCAACCTAAAAAACATTAGAATCATCAACTAATGGTGTGTTGTCATCGTCTAGCAATGGAACAATATTTTCATCATCCTCGCTAAATTCAGCAAGGCTTTCACATAACCGTACAACAAGGTTATCATCAATACCACTTGCATGTGGTTTATAGGGTCATACTTCTTCTGTTCTTTGAGCTGGTATTGATGAAGTCGAAATATCAATTGTAATCGTGGTTTCGACATAAATCTCCACCATATTATTATTTCATGATTGATGAAGTCCAACCATAACAGCGACATCGTATTCATCATCAAGCTGGACTTTTCCATATGTGATTGGATTTGAGGAGAACATGTGCCGATAACTTAAACATGAAACATAAGCTCCAAGTTTTCTCTCAATTTTTTGCTTCATTTGGCGATGAGATACATCTACAATGAACATCATATTAATGGGTCTGTGTAACTTAAACACAACACCAACATTAGTTGTAGAATTTCGCCTTTATAATGGATAACTGTGAAGAATTTGTTGTTCATTGTTTGAAATGTATTTAGTTAGATGAAAGGAGTGTGTTGTGTAAGATATTAAAGATGATGTACACTGTTTTAAAAGATGAATTTTTTTACCTGTTGGAACTCGTCACACCGGAATGAGGAGTTCCATTGAATTAAAAAAAATCCCGTTCAACAACGGTCACCCCAACGATGCAAAACTTCAAATTTATACCCTTGAAATTCGTCACACCGGCATGACGAGTTCCATATTCATTAAAAAAAATTTACAATTTTTTTAAAAATTTCAAAAAAAATATTTTTTTTTATTATGACGCGTGACGAGTCCCTTACTATATATTAAATATATTTGGGATGTGAGACCCACAACCCATTCAAAAATAATCCAAAGAACTTATCGCGTCAGCATGATAAATTTCATGTCCACTATAGTATTTATCGTAAATCTCAAAATAAAAATCAGTATTCGCTGTCGGGTTAAATAAATGGACCGCTGGGATTATATGCCCAATTCCGCCCCCAATTCCATATCGAATTTGAGAGAGTAAACTATGAAATGCCAATTTGATGTGCACATCTGATTTTCTGGCTTTTGTCTTCCTGGTTACTATATCCCTTCATTTTCCAACTAATTTTAACATTTACAACAACAAAAAATTGAAAAATTTCCCTCGTCTCTCTCTTTATTTTCTTTCCAACTCTCTGGGGATCCAAACAAAATAATTAAGCCCACTCCGCTCTGTTTTACGGTCGCCGTCCTCATCATTTCCAAACAGTCCTTTGTCTTTCCGTCACTCTTGCGACATCTGTCTTTCCAAAACAGTACGATGGCCTGTCATTTCATTTCCATTTTGATGTGTTAGATCTGTTATTTGCTTTATCCATTTATTTTAATTACGAGATCCAACACTTTTTTTTGTTAGATCTAACTTTCATTGTCATTCTTTTTCATATTTACCTGATCTGGATCTGTGACGTGGTTGATGAGAGTTTATTTTATTTTGTTGTTATTTTTATTGTTAAAACAGTTCAACTTATTTCTCTGCTTCTTCTGATTGATCACTCAAGCAAAGCTGAAGTAAAACAGTCAGTTCAATTGTTCATTTCTTACCGTTCTATGTTTACTGTGTTTAACTATTGTGGAATTTTCTACACCTGTCTTTGATGAGGGAGGATCCAGATGTATAATTAGATGTGAACTATCTTCTGCATGAAATTGTATTTTGAATTCGATCCAAACAGGGAAAACGTTAACCATTGTTTAATTGTAGAACCCGAAACCATAAGTTGGAGTTGAATTCATATTTAGTGCTGGCCATAATCGTGATGATCTACTGAGCACAACGGTTTTTATGTCTATGGATGTGGTTTGCACTCCATGCTTACATATAAGAACGAGCAATTCTGGTCTCTTTTTGATATTCGTATGGAATTTGAGTTAGCTTTTCTCCTTTAATGGTTATATAGATCCGTTGTTGAAGCGGGCAATGCATCGGGGGCTAAAGATGTTTTAGTCAAGATCTAGGCATTGAGCTGGGTACATGGGCATCCTGACCATATAAGTCTGAAACTGATTTTGAAAATTCTGGTTAGTACGGCGCAAAATTTTTTAGCTATAAGAGATGTAAAGTCGCTCTTATGCTTTTCTCATTCACATCATGCAGAGTGTAGGTTATTAGTGGTTGATTGGAGTTACAAACTCATAGTTAGGTAAAAGGTCATTCACTATTCACTACAAGTCAAAGGTTCCTAGTTGTGGAAGGATACTATAATTTTTAGATATCTATTAGATAAGAAAAGCTAGTCTTCTGCTTTTTGTTTAATTGTGATTTGTTGGTGTATCCGGCTATTAGTGTGTTAGTATGAGTTACAAAATCATATCTTTATTTAGTTAATGTAGTTTCCTGATATCTTTTCAGTATGCTTTTGTAGACTATTCTTACTAGCATTTATTTTTATGATTTCAATAAATTTGCAGTGCTTCAGGTTTTATATAATTATTTTATTCTTATTTCTTGCTATAATTTTTGTAGGACTTATAGCCAAGGTTGTTGAAAACTCTTGGACACCATATGTGCATTGATGGATTACTTAAAGAACGTTGAGTGATGCAAGATTTGGGATCATCACTTGCAAAAAAACATAAAATGGCTCCAACTAATAAGTCTGATAGAAAATCAGTTGTAGATGCGTCTGCCTGGATGTTCAATGTTGTCACTTCTGTTGGAATCATTATTGTCAATAAAGCCTTAATGGCTACTTATGGTTTCAGTTTTGGTAACTTTCATTTAAACTCTTTTGTGCCCCCCCACAACCCAAAAAAACAAAAACAAAATAGACACCCATGTATGCCATTAATTGATTTGTAACAGTTGTCCGCTTTCTCTTGGTTAAGCTGATAACTGATAAGGCAAAACTTTATACAATTGGCCTTACGTAGAAATGAGCTTGATTGAATATTTCTGGTATATGTTTAAATGGTGGAGAAAGTGAAGTTCATGGCCTATGATTCCCTTCCCCACCCACCCAATTCCTTTTTACCTGTTCTAGAGGAAAGGAAATGGGCTGGAAGTTATGGAAAACAATTGAGTAATAAAATAATAAAAGGAGGTTATTGTAAGTAGAGATGAAGAGGAAGCCTTGACTCGGAAGCTGGAAGTAGTTGATATTGAGTGTAGGACAATTGTGATGCTAATATAATAATCAGATGCAAGTACAAATACGCTAATGATTCTGGTTTTTGTTACTTAATGAATATGTTTTGATTTTGCATTATTGTATTAAGTATGTAATAAACTGTCACTAATTCCTTTGTATTTGATTGCAAATTGTTGCAGCCACAACATTGACTGGTCTGCATTTCACTACCACGACCTTAATGACTGCTGTTCTAACATGGTTAGGATATATTCAATCTTCTCATCTACCCTTGGGAGATCTTTTGAAATTTGTTTTGTTTGCAAACTTCTCTATTGTTGGAATGAATGTTAGTCTGATGTGGAACTCTGTGGGATTTTATCAGGTAAAGTATATTATTTGCTAAATTTTACTAGTTGTGCTTTTTAGATGATTTGGAAATCACAATTTCTCTAATTCAATGACAGATTGCAAAGCTTAGTATGATTCCTGTATCATGTTTTTTGGAAGTTGTAATGGACAAGATCCGATACTCCAGAGATACAAAGCTGAGCATAGCTGTAGTTCTTCTCGGTGTTGGTGTTTGTACTGTGACTGATGTGAGCGTTAATACCAAAGGTTTCGTAGCTGCCTTCATTGCAGTTTGGAGTACTTCTCTGCAGCAGTATGTAAGTTGTTAATTCTTGTACATATAAATTGAATTTTCTATATAACCAGTGATATCATTTGTAGAACATATAATGCCTTGATTTATTTATTCTCGTGTTTATATGTGCAGTATGTACATCACCTTCAGCGAAGGTATAATCTTAGTTCCTTTAACCTACTGGGACATACTGCTCCTGCCCAGGCTGGAACACTGCTACTATTAGGTCCATTTCTGGACTATTGGTTGACAAGCAAGAGAGTTGATGCCTATAGTTATAACCTAGTATCTATTGTAAGTTTTCTACCTATTTATATACTTTGCATTATGAGGTTTGTTCATCATGGTGGTTCTTGCCATTGATTCAGAATGAGGTTAATTTACTGTTTCTGTAATCGTGTTTACGAATAAATTTGTTTGTGTTCGTGAATGCACATACTGTAATTCATGTGGTTACTTGTGTTTCATGCGACCTGCGGTTATATTTAATTTGCATTGCGTATTATATTGTTGAAGTCCGGATGCATCTCCACTAAATGATTTTAGGCTTAGCAGAAGTATTTGTGTTCAGTCTATTCTGATTGAAGAAAAACATTTAATTTTTAGTGTGCTTTATAATGTTGTTACTAGAACTTGGATACCAGTTTTTGTCCATGCAAGTATTTCATTGTTTTTCATGTATTTAGAGTATCTTTTGAGGGTTACATACCCTTATCCATGATCATCTATGCATCATATACAGGTGTCGAACATGGGTACTGCAAGGGAAAAAAGAAAGAAATAGTCAATGTTACATATGTTTATAGCATGCAGTACATTATAACAGATGTAGCTCTCCTTTCTGTCTCTTTACCTGCTTTATAATGCAACATTCGAGTCATAACACTTCGATACATTTTTTATGTGATCTCGCTGTGGCAAATTTTTGGTGTCTGCCTTTCCTTTTTGCGTCATGCATAGGCTATAAGTTATTTGTGATGTGTGCAATTCCAGTTGTTTCTTCCCGACTTTCGGTTTTGCAAGATTAGTCGCTCACAGATTTTTTTTTCTTTTGGTTGATGCAGATGTTTATCACACTTTCGTGTACCATAGCAGTAGGAACGAACCTTAGCCAGTTCATCTGCATCGGCAGATTTACTGCAGTGTCATTTCAAGTACTTGGCCATATGAAGACGATCCTTGTGTTGATTATGGGATTCTTTTTCTTTGGAAAAGAGGGTCTCAATCTACATGTGGTTCTGGGGATGATCATAGCCGTGGTTGGAATGATTTGGTATGGAAATGCTTCATCTAAGCCTGGTGGGAAAGAGCGCCGGAGCTTGTCTCTCCCTACGACCCGACAACAAAAGCCTGGTAGCTTATCAGATTCTAATGAACATGACGCGAAAGTCTAATTCTCCATTTAGGTAAGTTAAAAAAGCAATACAGGGGGTAGCTGATTTTTCAGGAAATTATTGGTTTATCCTTATGATTAGGATGGGGAGTAAAAGAAACAGCCTTAGTTTTAATGATTCTTATACTTGTTATTCTTTTGTATTGGGTTCACTCTGAGGGAATGGGTCATTTTCGGATAGGATTAGATGCTTTTTAAAATCCAGGAATATAATTTATATAATTTTTCATGCTTTTTTGGGTTCAAAAGACTATCATTTTCTTCATGTTGGATGTATCATTTGAAGGGATTTTAAATTGATTTTCGAATTTTATAGTCTTTTTACGATTTGATATTCAAAATGGAGTTTATAGTTGAGTACTAAATTTTATGTCCATTGAGCAATTTAATCCAGAGGCTTAAATCGTTGCATAAAATTCAGACATGGTTAGGTTGATTAGTATCAAAGTCTTGTGCTAGATCTATGCCCCGTCTGCTTTAGAAAAATATCCAGCACGTGTTATGATCGAATTCCTTTTTTTTTCTAGTTAGACATTTTATTTTTCTTTGTTTCTGTGTGATGCTTTTAAATATAAATTTTGGTAGAGTATTAATATATGGAAAATTCTATATAAAAATAAGTAAGTTAGAACTAAAAAATATTCAACATTTTAGGTTGACATTAATTTAAAATGTAATTTTTATAATATTTTCAGTTGTAATTTAAAATGTTACATTTTTATAATATTTTTAGTTATAACTAAAACTATAATAAAGAAGATCACAATTTAGATTAATTTTTTTTGTCCCTTTTAGCCATATTTTAATATGCGGCACCGCAAAACTCCTCATTAATATACAAGTTTAGGTTTTGAGTTCTATCCTTCCTTTCTTTCCAATTTATTTGTATTTTTCTTGATAAGATGATACACATGTCACTTATTATTTTGTAATTAAATTATTTTTAAAAGTTAACAATTTTTTAGTAAACTCTAATATTTATTTTTTTTAATGTTTTAATATTTTAAAATTTAAATAATTTTTAATTTTAATTCTTTTGCTTAAAGATTAAATAATCACTCAAATTTTATAAAAAAGTCAATTACACTTTTATGTTATGTCATCATTTACACATGAATGGTCCATTAATATTGAAAACTGCTATACAACTACAGTAACAATTAACTTTTTAGATTATTATTTTTTATTTAAGAGCTTAATTGAATGTAAAAAACGTTTAAGGGGTCAATTGATTTTTTCTAAAAGTATATAAATTCCTGACACTATCATTTTAATTATATTTCATGCCAGATTTGACAAAAAATTTAGATTGGTATAATATAATTAGTTTTACAACTCAATAAAAATATTTTAATTTTTAAAAAATAATTTAAAATTTTAATCATAATTTCAAAACTCTAATATAAATAACCTTATAGCATATGTAAAAGATGTTTTTTACTGTATCACCCAATTAATATAGACACAAGTTAAGAATTATTTATTTACCATTTCTCAATTTTTTTTCATATGACACTACAGCTTTATTGATTTTTTTTAAAAAGTAAAAACAATCGTGAGTCAATTAAGTTTTAGTTTGATATGTAGGATTATTTTTATAATGTTTTAAAATTTATAAATTTAAATATACAATATCTTTTGATTTAAACATATAAAATTGAATCTCATCGTTATTATAATATTTAAGAATTTATAAGTTCGAATACATTAAATATACGATATATTTAGTTTTAAAAATTTTAAAAATTATGAACTATCAAATAACTTCAATGATAAACAGAAATATTATTCTCCTTAAAATATATATTACCTTATAATCACCCAAATGAATCAAAGAAAAAATTATAAATCATTTTAAATATTTTTTAAAAAGGATAGTGAGTATGAATAGTTAGAATTTGAACTTGTTTATTTTTATTATAATTTTATTTTTTTAAAATCATGATCGAGTTGTCATCGATCATTGAACCAAATTTAATTAATTTTATATAATCATTGATATTTAACTTATTAATTAATATTTATTAAAATATAATGAAAGTTATTAGAAATAAATTTTAACTTAATTTACTCGATTTAAAATACTAAATTTAAAATTCAAAATTAAAATTTATTTAAATAGTTTAACTATTCGTTCTGCTATGCGAACTGCTAATTGGTCCATTAAATTAGGAACCAGGAATGGATTTATTTTTAACAATAAATGGGTTAAGCCCAAATCCATGAACCGTCAACTTTCCTTCCTCGCTCCTCTTTTTTCTCTCCGAACTTCGAAGATCGTTAAAAAAATAAACGATCGAAGCTAAATATAATGTCAAATTAGTTCATATTATTGGGGGAAAATGAATCTTAAATTTTGTATCATTTTCTCATTCCTTCTTCGCAACGTAATCGCCAGAGGTGGAGATCGAGGCAATCCTTTATCTTCAGCTTCAGGTTCTCTTTTCTCACTTTGCTTCAGTTTACAGCTGAACAGTTGTGAATTGTGATTCCTAATTTTCTTTACTTTTTGATATGTTTTGCATATACAAGTTAATAGAGTTATGTTGTTAATAAAAAAAGAAGCCCGATGATCTTTGAACTTTTATTTGGTTTGCCGGTATATTTTTGTTGCAATTCGGTGTTTAATTTACAAATGATTGATTTTGGTCTGACTGTTTCTCTCTCGCTCTCTAGATTTAGGGTCTCCAAATCATGGTTCCGTCGGTTCTGCAAGGCAGTTGTTCGAGGACAACCAATCTCGCCACTCGAGGTTTTTTTCCCTTTACTTTTTAAAATGTAAGTTGATTAAAATTTTGGGTTTTGTGAATAATTTGAGGATTTTTTTTTAATTTCAGAACTGATATTGCTCGTGGCTACATGACTAATTCTGAATTAGAGAAGGCGATGAAGGAATTTGGACGAAGATGTAGTCACATTTCTAGAATATACAGGTGATTATTTATATTTTTTTCTCTTTTTTCTGGCTTATGATCTTTCCCAATTTTTATGATGAAATCAAGTAGGAATTTTTTCATTAAAAAATTGATAGTTTTGTGGAATGAATGAATTGGTTTAGTGTTCCATGGAGGTTATATACTGATTGGTAATTTATTACTCTCTTTGAGGGCATTTTTAATATCGGCATCAGTATTGGAAAGAGTGTGCAAGGTTTCCCCCTGGTAATAGTTTTGTTTCAACTTGCTTCCTTTTCTGTACATACACGTCCTAATGATTTTTATTACACTGTTTTGAATCATTTGTGTTTGTATGGATTATTCTCAACAAGTGTTTAATGATTCTCTTTGTTTAGTTGGTGATAGAGATCTCTGACAAACCAGGCAAGGAAGAGCCTGAACCTGCGTTCAAGGTAAATGATTAAATGCTCTATTACCTATAAAGGTACATGGTTAAGAACTTATGTGAAATCATGGTTGTTTTACAAATGATTCCTTTATAACATGGTTAAAAACTTAGAAATTGAATGGAAGAAACTAATAAAATAAAAATGGAGGAAAAGGAAATTTGAAATGTTTAAACAATACGGAGTTTGAATCAGGCAGTAAAAAAAAGACAGTATGAGAGAGAAAAAGAGCGAGTTTTTTTGGTAGTTCGTCCTCTGGTGAGGAATGGACTGTCTTTGTTGACAATCTTAGTACGAGAGTTACTAGAATTGAGTTAAGAGAGATTTTTAACCATTATGGAAAAATATTGAGGGTTTTTATTCCAAGTTTTATGTCTAAACCAAATTATAAGTCATCCACGTTTGCTTTTGTGCAATTTGCGAAGGAGGTAGGTTGCAGAAGAGCAGTTCATAATGTAAACGGTATGCTGATTGATGGGAAGAGAGTCTCAGTGGGGATTGCAAAGTACAAGAGGGGCAGAAAAAGAGAAGCAGAGGTAAAAAGAAATCAGTTGGATGGTTTTAAGCTGGGTAGAGAGGTTAATGGTGAACTGCAGGCTGAGTTGGAGAAACCGAGAAGTTTGAGAGATGAAAGATCGTATAAGGAGGTTGTTTATGTGGCCAACAGTAGGAGCGTGGATCCAGGTCGTATGGTGAATAAGGGAGGTCAGAAGAATGCAAGTGGAATAAGAAATGTTTGGGATATGCATATCCCATCAGATGATTTTTGTTGGGTGAAAAACTCCTTAACAGGGGTTATCAAAGATCTCTTTCATCCTGATATGGTGAAGAGAGCTTTGGCAAAGGAGGGATTCCAGGTTAAGATAATAAGGTGGGGATATATCAGGAACGCCAGCATTATTATGTTCAATACAAATGAAGAGTTTTTAGAGGCATGGTCGAGTCTCCGAGAGAAACTATACTGCTGGTTTGATTGGGTAGATCCGTTGTTGAGTGAAGATGGAGTTCCTTTGGCTTATTGCTTGGTCGAGTTGGTTGGTTTACCGCTTCTTAGTTGGAGTGTTCCTTTTTTGGAGAAGCTTGGTGAAAAATGGGGAAAGGTTGTGAGTATCCTGGAGGAAACAAGAAATAGAGATGATCTTTCTTCGGCCAGAATGCTGTTGAGGGTTGCAAGCCCTTTTGATGTACAAAAATCTGTTATTGTGGGTTCTTATGGCTGATCCTTTAAAGTTAAAATTAATGTGGGTACCAGTTGTAATCCTAACTCTGAATATTTTGGAGTCCTGAGGCAGAATTTTTCATATAGCAGCTGCAATAACGATGTGTCAAAGGGGGACGATGGTAGAAACTTAGAGAAGGAAGAAGATAACAGGGAAAATTCAGAAGAAGGATTTCGGTCAAAGGTAGACACGTGGCTTCAGACCAGTCTAGAAAGGAGGATGTCAGAAGAAGATGGGGAACATTATTTGAAAAAGAAGTCCGTCACTCTGCCCAATAATAATGGGGTGTCAGACAAATTTGAATTTGATTTAAACTATTGTGGGGATTATGCAGGAATTGGGATGCGAGAGGCTGTGGACTAGAGTATCCAAGCCCATTCTGATTCAAATGGGGAGTCTCTTTCTCCTATAACTAAAATTTTCTCAGCGGGCCTTGCTGTGAAGTTGAATTGGGCCAGGGCAGTAAATAAAAAAAAGGATCAGCCTTTGTCCGATTTTCAAGAGCAAGATACAGATGCAGTGAGGGATGAAGCTATAGTTAACAATAGAGCTGTTCAAAAGAAGTTGAGAATGGTTAAGGATGTCAATCAAGTGATTCTCAATGCGGGTAGTGTTTCTTCTTTTTGTGAGAAGAAGAGAAATTCAGTGAATTTCGAGGACTGTGAAGACATTGAGCCTTTAAATCCTAACTTAATGTTGTCAGCTCCTAATCAGGAATCCTCACAGTTTTCTTCAAGAGGCAGAACGTTGATTCAGCATAGAAGATTACTTTCTTCTAAAAGTGTGCCAATAGAGAGGAGGAGAATGGCCAGCTTTAGAAGGTTTTATAGTAGATCGAGGGCGAGAAATCACTGGGTTGGAAATGAACAGAAAGAACTTTCGTCTAGAAAAGAAGATTTTCAACAGTTTTCTTCAGATAAAATGGGAAGTGGGTTGGAAAAGGCTATTAATTGTTCTGCTAATAATCAGAACTCTTCTGTGGTACCATTTATTAGGAATAGCTCTTCAGAGGTTGTGGAAGCAACTACTATTCCTGCTACAGGGACAGAAAGAACTAAAAGAAGGGAGAGAAGAGTTTAACTAGGGAAGCAGTGGATCTGGTTAATTCACCTATTGTCTTTTCACCTCAATTCTCGAAGGTGGTGGAGGAAGCAATGGCTACTTGGGAAGTTTGTCAGTTGTTAGGCCTTTTGTTCAAGGAAGGTAAGAAGACTTTCATAGAAAAAATTTTAAGCCTGGAAGATGAGTCTGAGTCAGCAAGGGATGGATGATTTGCAGAGTCTCACTTTTTTGCTATTTGGAGAGTTGGGTTTTAGTTGTGGGAGTGTTGTTTTTTGATGAATAGATTAAACATTTTATCTTGGAACATTAGAGGGTTAGGGAGGAGAGAAAAATATATTGCTGTTGCAAGGCTAGTAAAGAAGGTTAGACCAGTTCTGCTTTTTATCCAATAATCAAAGTTAGAAAAATGGCATGTATCGATTACTACGAAGATTGGAGGAAATTTCTTAAAGGAGGTGATGGTGTCTCCAGCACAGGGGTCAAAGGGTGCTTTGATTTCTATGTGGAATGATAATGCGTTCAAAGATACAAATAAGCATGTGCACAATAGGTTCTTGGCACTGGTGGGAAATTATATGAATGACCAAGAGGAATTCGCTTTTATTAATGTCTATGGTCCTGTTATTGAATCTGAAAAAGGTGAATTTTATGGGGAGTTGTTAGATTTTGTTCGTTTGTTGGATCTACCGGTTTGTATAGGGGGTGATTTTAATGCGTATCTTGATCCGCAAGAAAAAAATGGGAAATCACAGAATTGGCATACAATTGATATTTTCAGATCTTTTGTGCAACAGGAAAATCAATCAAATCTTATTGATTTGCCTATGTCAGGAGGGACTTTCACATGGTGTAGCAATAGAGAAGATTCTACATGGGTTAGACTAGACCGCTTCCTAATTAGTGGTAGTTTCCTAAACAATTTTCCTAAGATCTCACAGTCCCTTCTATCAAATTCTATTTCTGATCACAATCCAGTTTTGTTGGAAGATGTTAGTATCAATTGGGGCCCTAAACCTTTTAGATTTTTTAATTACCTTTTAGAGGAAAAAGGTTTTGATGGATGGATAGAAGACTTGGTGTCTGTTGAGAAGAAGAAGATGAATAATGGGGGGGATTTTTAGGATGTTACAGGCTGCTAAAAAACAGATTAAAAGATGGCCTGGAGGTAGTCACTTTGGGTTGTCAGATTCAATTTCGATGCTTGAAGGGAAGATACATGACTTGGAAAGAAAGTCTCAATGTCGAATCTTATCTAAGGGTGAATGGGATCAATGGGTTGACTGCAAAAAAGAGTTGTGGAGGTTGTTTAGGATCGAGGAGAGCATTTGGTATCAAAAAGTCCAGAAGTAGGTGGATTAAGGGTGGAGACAGAAATACTAGGTTTTTTCATCTAAGTGCTATGAGAAGGAATAGAGTAAACTCCATTCATTCATTGAAAATTGATGGAGTTTTAATTTCGGATGCGGGAAAAATAAAAGAAAGTGTGTATAATTTTTTCAAGTCTGCATACAACTCCAATTCGGCCTTGGAGGCAGAGGACTTGAATTTGGATTTTGCACAGTTAACAACATCTCAATGCGCATATTTGGAGGAGGAATTCTCGGAACAAGAAATATGGCAAGCAATTTCTTCTTCGGATAGTACTAAAGCTCCTGGACCGGATGGTTTTACCATGGGTTTTTACAAGAAATACTGGAAAATTCTTAAGAATCAGATTATGGAGTTTTTCTCAGATTTCTATAAAGGAAAGAAGTGGGTTCATGGAGTTAATCATGCATTTATTACCTTGATTCCTAAGAAAGGTAATCCTGAGTGTATTGAAGACTATAGACCTATTAGTCTTGTGGGCAGCCTGTACAAAATTCTGTCAAAAGTTCTTTCCAAGAGACTAATATCGTGTATCGATGATATTATTAGTCTGTCACAGTTTGCTTTTATTCCGGGAAGGCAATTGTTAGATTGTGCATGTTTGGCTAACGAAGGTATTGATTCTTGGAGGAAGCAAGGACTTAAAGGGGTTGTATTTAAAGTGGATTTTAGCAGAGCCTACGACACTGTGGAGTGGCAGATTCTGCAAAAGTTAATGATAAAGATGGGATTCGGCGAGAGGTGGTGTTCTTGGATCAAACAGTGCATTTCAACGGCTTCTACCTCGGTTCTAGTGAATGGTTCTCCTACTGAAGAGTTCCCTATTGCTAAAAGTTTGAGGCAAGGTTGTAGCCTTTCTCCTCTTTTTGTTTAACATGGTTGGGGAATTACGACATTTGATGCTGTCGAAAGCAGTGGACTTGGGTCTTTTTCAGGGGTTCTCTTTTGGAAACAGTCAAAACTCTTTTACTTTGTCTCACCTGCAGTTTGCAGATGATTTAATTATTTTTTGTCGAGATTCAATTACTCAGATAAAGAATGTTAGAAGAGTTTTGAGGATTTTCGGTTTATTGACGGGGCTCCAACTGAATTTAGCAAAAAGCAAGCTGTATGGGATTAATGTGGAGAGTGACATCCTTGATGTTTGGGCTAGGGATATTGGATGCTCTGTTGATTCATTCCCGACTGTTTACTTAGGTCTACCTTTAGGGGAGAAGAAGAACTCGGCAAAGCTTTGGGAACCGGTCATTGATAATTTCAATAAGAAATTGGCAGGCTGGAAAGCTAATTCTCTATCTATGGCCGGTAGGTTAGTACTTATTAACTCGGTTTTATCTTCCCTACCTATTTTTTTACCTATCCATTTTTAAGATGCCTTCTACTATTTCTCACCGGTTAAATTCCATGATGTCGATTTTTTAATGGGGCGGAGGGGATGGAAAGAAGAAAATTCACTGGGTGAGCTGGGATAAAATTTGCAAACCGTTGAGTGGTGGTGGTTTGGGTGTTGTTGATTTGAATGTTTCAAACCGAGCTTTGTTGGGTAAGTGGATTTGGAAATTTGCAAATGACAAAAATTCGATGTTGAAGAAATTCTTATGTTGTAAACACAATGTCAGCTGTCAGACCATGGATATTAACAAGGTTATTTCTCAAAATGATTCTTGGATGTGGAGGGGAATTGTTAATAACTTCATTAAGGATGATACCATTGGAGGTTGTCTTAGATCCCATGTAAAGATACAAATTGGGAATGGGAAATCTATATCCTTTTGGTGTGATACATGGCTTGGGGAGTTTCCTTTGAAATTTCTTTTTCCAATAATTTTTGCCCTTTCTACTAATAAAACGGGTAATGTTGCAGACTTTGGGAGTTTTGATTCAACCGGATGGGAATGGTGTGTGAAGACTAGGAGGAATCTTTGTGATTGGGAGGTGGAGCAGCTGGTAGAGCTGTTGGATAGGCTGAAAAATGTTAAACTTATTGAGTCATTGGATGATGGGTTGTTGTGGAATGGGTTGAACGTGGGGCTGTTTTCTGTTAAAGATTGTAGGAAAGCTCTTTATAATTTTAATGATGAATCTTTATTTTGGAGTAACTGTGTTTGGTTGGGCTTAGTTCCTCCTAGAGTAGAATCTTTCATTTGGCAATTGTCCTATCAAAAGGTTGCTGTTAGAGTTGAATTGTTGAGAAGAGGGGTTCCTTTAGGGGAGAACTTTCTCTGCCCACTTTGTAACCTGCAGGATGAATCAATCCAGCATCTTTTCATTTCATGTCGAGTTTCGTGAGAACTTTGGTATAAGATTATAGGGTACTGGGGTTTTCGGTTAGTTTTACCGCCAGACCCTCCTTCGTTGCTTAGTTCTTGGGCTGATGTGAATCCTAAATCTGCTATGTGGAAGTTTATTTCGGGGGCAGTCTTTTGGTCAATATGGAAGATTAGAAATGAGATCATTTTTGAGGAAAAGAAGTTGGATAGATTATCATTGTTTTTCACTGTTTGGTTAAGGTTAGCCAAATGGTATTTGGCAAAATATCCATTTATCCCTATTCAGGTGGATTCTTTAATTGCTGACCTTTCTTTGGCTGATAATCTAACAAAGTACATAGACATGAATAGGAGGGCGATTTGTTGGAGTCCTCCTCCAGTGGATTTTTTTAAGTTGAACGTGGATGGGGCTGTTAGTACGGTTGGTATGTATGCTGGAATAGGGGGTATTCTCAGAGATTGGAATCGGGATATTCTTCTCTTTTTCAGAAAGTGTCGGTCCTTATCCTACAATCCTAGCAGAGCTGAAGGCTATCAAAAAAGGAATTGATCTATTTGTTTCATCACAATGGGCTTCGAAGGGCAGACTAATTATTGAAAGCGATTCAAAGATAGCAGTGGATTGGATTAAAGACCAAGTTCTTACGCATGCTTTTCTATCAAACTTTGTCAAGGAAATTATGTCTATTGTTTCTGCTATTCAGGCTTTTGTTAGGTGGATTCCTAGATGGTGTAACTGTGAGGCCGATAAGTTAGCAAAGGAAGGAATTGGGCAATTTTTGTCGTTGCTTAGGCAGGTTTGTAAGCCTTAAGAGAAAAGTACCCTCAGGACTGTTTTTAAGTTTTATGTAGTTTGCAAGACTGTTTTTAAGCCTTATGTATCTGGTTTATTATTAATAAATTGATGCACTCTTTTCCTCCTTCCGCTAGTTGGTCCTAGCTTTAGGGCAGAGGACCACTATGAGGGAGGTTTTTAATGAGGCATCCTATTCCTATCAAAAAAAAAAATGTTGAAACATTAAAAGCTTTTATTGGGGGAATCATATATATAGCAAACTGGTAGTATAGAACCTGATGTTAGAAAGGAGTCAATGTACTAGCATCAATAGAAAATTACTCAATTACAGTAAATCTTCTCGAGGACTGTGCTGTCTTATGTGCTTTCAGGAGGAAAAGTATTGGATGTAACAGTCTGGAACCTAATTTGAAGTTGAATTATGGCTGAAGAAAGTTTCAACAGTAAAGGTTTAACAAAAATGAGCACCACAAGTTTAGACCTCTGTTTTCACATTTCACATTCTATGCTAAACACATTTTTTCTCCCCTTCAACAACTTTCTCTTGTTCATTTTTACTAAAATGTAACTTGTCCTTTATCAAACATTTCACCTATTTTTATGACAATTACTGAGAACGAGAATTTCCATGACAATTCTTTCCCATCTTGTCAGCATGGTGATTGTTCTTTGTATTTTCTATCAATGGTGATTGGAGGCTTAGAGTTTGTATTCCTTTCTATTGCATCAGCAAGGCTAATTTTTTGTTCAAAATGTAGTTAATTAACTGCTATGAACTGTTATTCTGTGGGTAAATTCAAATCCTGATTTGCTCGATATTGCAGTTTGTTGGTAATGTGCATGGTGATGAACCTGTTGGTCGTGAGCTTCTTATACTTCTTGCGAATTGGATATGTGACAACTATATGAGGGATCCATTGGTATTTTTCTATTCCTTTTACTGCATGTAAGTGTATTTCTTCTTTTTTCTCGCATGATGTTGTGAACAGTATTTATGTTCATTTTCCAGTGTTTTTTCTGTAATACTTCCTGGGTTTATGTGCTGTGGTTTTCTTACCTATAATCATGCTTTGCTCGTGGGTGATTGTTGAAGCTTAATGATATTTGAATATACTTTTATATTTTCAAGTCGTTTCTGAGACATTTTAGAGACATTCCCCTCATTCCATGGTCATTGGAAAAAGTGGTTGGCTTGAGAACTTAATTGTACATCTGAACAGCTATAAAACGTTTTGTATCTGCATTCAGTAATTTATTCTGATGCCTTTGACACAGTTAATCTTTAAAAAAAGGATGCAGTTATGTCCATACACACCTTATCCATAAAAGGATACATATGCAATCATGTGAGTGATTGGTAGGGCCCAGCCTACTATTCATATGATCACATTTTCTCAGTTAAAAAGCCAGTTGAATCTTCATTCATTCTTCAATAAAAGGTTGATCTTCCTCAATTTACAAGTATTACCTTGATGATACTATTAGATGACTCATGTTGATTAGGTAAGCTTTCTGTTTACATTTGTTTGGTTATGCATGCATGTCACATTCATCTTTAAGAATTGTGGAACATGTGCTGCTGTAATTTTTTTACCCTCATCATATTCAGTATTTTAAAAAATTGCTAACCTGTAGTATTTGTTGTTAGTACAGGTTGACTTGATTGTTGACAAGGTTCACCTTCACATACTTCCATCAATGAATCCTGATGGATTTTCTCTTAAGAGACGTGATAATGCAAATAATATTGATTTAAATCGAGATTTTCCTGATCAGGTACTCTTGCAATGTTGATATTAGTTTGAAACATTTGATTTTGAGTTGAACCTTACAAACCAGAAGCAATTGGATCTTATGAGACCATATATATCTAATGTTAAAGGGTTTATTTTGGTTTTCTGTAACTCAACCAACAAGTTCAAGTTAAAACATTCCTAATTGAATCATTGGTGTTAAGGATTATGCTCTTCCCAAATCAGGATTGATATTCTAATTTTTAGGATTTATCATAGTTTCGTAAGATCTTGCAGGAAGGTGGGATGCAAACTAAATTAGGAACGCTATGCAATGGTGAATGAGATGATTGAAAGTCGATTCACTACCTACCATTTTCTAGTCAACTTGACATGATAATAAATGAAATGTAAAAGTTCCTTTTAACAATACAACACAAATTCTCCATTTGCTCCTTATGACCTTTATATACAATAAGTTATATATCTGGTTTGTTAAATCATGGAAAACCTTTGTGCTTTCATATTTATAGATGTTGTTCTGACAGGTAGAATTTAATAAAAATTCAGATTAGGTTTTCTTATTAAAGGGAGAATTGGGAGCAGTGTTCGCATTCCTATGATTATTATTTGTTATAGAAGAATCTAAAAGGTGAAAGCACATCTTGATTTAGTTGGATTGATTGGAAGAGATAAAAACTTGAAATTAGAGGTTGATTTCAGATCCTAATTTTTAGGATCGGTTTTTAATTTATTTTTCATGGTGATAAAAGTTGTGAATGGTGTATTATAGCTATCATATATTCAGTTTGGCTTATAATATCAGAAAGGAATATGTTTCTACTTGTAGTTTTCATCCAAATTGTTGAAAATGATCCCAACTAAATATTCGTTTTTAAGCTCAGAATTCTATTGGATCCTGTTATTATGTGTGCACTCTTATTTTAGTGTCATAATCATTGTGTGTTGCTTTCGGTTTCTCTTTATTCCTAGATTTTAGTGGATTTACTCGTTTTCGCCATATTAAATGACCATGGCTAATAAAATCTGCCAGTTTTTCCACTGGAACGATGATGAGGATGCACGACAACCTGAAACAAAGGCAATTATGAGATGGTTGAGAGAGATACATTTTACAGCATCTGCAAGTTTGCATGGGGTAATATTTTGTTCTCGCTTCTCTTGTTGTGTATTTAGTAAACTCGGATAGAGTTCTTTTGTTATTGGATTTTGACAATAGCTGTTACTTTTTCTTTGTCAAAATTTTTAGATTGCTTTAAGTTCTTGACAAAAGGTGGTAAAAGACTGTACTTGAAGATAAACATGATAGGCATAGAAGAGTTGAATCACAAATGATACGGAAAAGGAGCTTCCTTTCACCATTCATTTTTCCTGGCATCATTTCTATTTTCCTTTATTTTGAATATGCAAAGATGCTTTTGTCACCCAACTCTATCTTTTAATTCTAGTGAAATATATATCTACATGTGTTTGTGTATGTATGAGTTGCTTTGAAGATAAATTAAGTGATAGTTGGAATTGAATGCATTAAGATTTATGACTTCGTTCTGCAGGTCAAAATAATGTTACATGTAATGTACCTCAATATTGATCAAACTCTTCATTTTTCTTACATAACCTTGTCTGACATCCAGTTAAGTTATACATCTCGCCCTATATGTATGTATGAGTTGCTTTGTGAGATAAATAAGTGCTAGTTGGAAGTGAAAGCATAAAGAGTAAGGCCTCTGTTCTGCAGTTCATGATAACGTTGCATGCAATGTACGTCTATACTGATCTGACTTCTTTTTTCTTGAAGTACCCTTATCCAACCAATATCCTCATCTGAACAAATTTTCAGACATGAGTACAGGGATATTACCCTCCAAACACATGGAGAAACTTAAAAAGGAAATTGAACATACCTTTCTTGGATATAACCCATGTCTGACACTTAAACCCATGTCCTAGCAACATAAATGTACGAGCATATATTCAACTGTAGAATCCTGTGTTTGGTGGCCAAAGTAAGGGGAATAAGAAAATTTTAACTATATACTCTGGCAAACCAAAGATATGGAAAACTAAAGCCTGCTTCCCCTTCATGTACATGCAATGGACTATGAATGTTTTATTGTTCGACACATATGCCTGTTCTCATCCTTTAATCTTTGATTTAAGCTCCAGTTTACTGATGCTTTTTTCAAATTGCTTACTGTTTTCTATTCATTTCTTCTTCTTCTTCTTCTTCTTTTTGTGCAAAAAAAGCAAAAAGAAAATAGCAAAAGTATCAACCAAACAGTGGCTTAGTGAGCAATGGACTTTAATTCTATAAGTTTTGTTATCATCAAATTTAGATGGATGTCATTCAGATCTAGTAAACGCTTTTATCTTCTAATGATGTACATATTAAGTTTTGTCTCATTACTTCAAATATATGGTGGTGTTAGAATGTGGCTATGAATTCGTTCTTAGTTAGAAAATATACATAAGAAACATAATGAGACTGCCCTTGTTACTAATTCATTGTTGACAGGGTGCACTTGTTGCAAACTATCCATGGGACGGCAGTCTGGATAAAAGGTGATTCTTCTTCATTATCAGCTTTAAAGTTGCACATACATAATCTTTCAAGTTCCTTATAGCTTCCGTCTGCTATTTAAAGATATTGTGTCTAGGTATGTTAGACTATCAGGTGTTATTTCTAGGCATGCTAGGCTTCAGACTTGATTCCTGTTTCAGTCATACCTGTCCATATCCTTTTTAAACAAGCTAGCAATTTAATTTTCTTGATTTGGTTATTGGATGCTTCATCAGTTAAATTATCATGGATTGCATATTTCCATGTTGTGGTTTTCAGGCTTTTGTTTTACTTCAGTTCTTTTTATTTGTCGATGTCAGCATATATTTTTATTTAATTATGCTGTAACACAATCTTTAATAACTTCCTGGTTGATTTCACCATGATCATGTCTGCAATAATGAATGGTTGTAGTTTTATGAATCCCCACACATTTTGTTTAATTCATAATGAGTTTCACTTGTCACAATGTTGCTGTTAGTAATGCAACTCTTCTATATATCTACTCTTTATGAACAACATAAAATTGGTTTCTTTTGTTATGACTGCAAACTGAATCTTTTGATTGCAATGCTGGATATAGTTTATTATATTCGTACGTGTTAAATCAGGAAGAATTATTATGCATGTCCTGATGATGGAACATTCCGGTTCTTGGCAAGCATATATAGCAAATCTCACCATAACATGTCTTTGAGCAAGGAATTTGAGGGAGGAATTACAAATGGAGCAGCTTGGTAAGCAACTTGTTTTCTGATTATGATTATAATTTGATTACCATGCAACTTTTCTTCATCTTTATGTAGTCTGCAGTATATGCCCATTTTTCATAACTTATTCTGTTATGTACCATTCAGCTAGTGTTCAACTTAATGCAGGTACCCTGTATATGGTGGCATGCAAGACTGGAACTACATACATGGTGGCTGTTTTGAGTTGACCTTGGAGATTAGTGATAACAAATGGCCTAATGCCAAGGAGGTTAGAATTTGTCTGAGTCATCTTTCACTTAATAATATTGAGTATGTTACCACTTGGAATAGGACTTGCATCAGAGTGTCTCTATAATTATGTTATATACCAGTTCTGGAAGAACATTTTCTTTTCTTTTGGAGAGAAAACATTTATATAATTGGTTAAACACCTCCACGCCCCCCCCCCCAAAAAAAACCGAAGACCCAACTGATTGGGGAGCGGAATCACTCTAGCACTCTTTATGCTTAGCTTGAATTGTATCTTTTAGTTTTGAAAGGTAGTGACCTTTTCTACTTTTCTTATTTTTCTTATAAAAGCAAGTAATGGAAAGATGGATAGGAGTCATACTTTTCACCTATTTTTTTTTGATTGGAATGGTAGGCCTCGTTAAAACCCCCTTCTTGATTAATGGATCACAATGTGCTCCTTAATCAGCGGAAGGAGGAAAGAGTGCCTAAAAACTTCATTAATAACCTCCAGTTACATAATACTTAAAAACTACCACACAGACTCCTTTAACAACATCCCAAAACAAAGCGAAAAATAACCTGAATCAACCAGAACAATGTATCTATCCAATACCCTCCTTTGCTAGAGTATCAGCCTCAACATTGGCTGACCTAGCAACCCATCTAATAATACCATTCAAACCTTTAAACTTATCACCAATATCATTCACTAAGTCAATGTAGACCAAAGGACATTGTTCTTTATTCTTGACCCAATCTACTGCTATTTTACTGTCAGATTCAACGATTAAACGTTCCTTAAAACGTTGTTGAATCGAAGTAAAGTAGGATAATCCCTTCTTGATTGCCAAAAGCTCAATCAAGATAGGAGGACCTGGACCAGCAGCCTATTTGAAAGAACCAACCACCGAACCATCCTCAACTCTAAGAATGCCTCCAACACCACTTTTCCTCCAGTCTGCCGTCACTGCCGCATCCACATTCAACTTTAAAAAGCCCTTTGGAGGGCGTGACCAGGGCACAATTAAGGTAATAGGAGAGCTTGAGTAAGAGCAACTATCCCCAAGTGATGGATCACTAATGAGAGAGTCCTTAAGAATATATACCTCCTTGAAGTTAGCTAAGAACCAAGACGCCAACCTACTTCTCGCCATAAAAAATAAATCAATCTGATCTAACCTCCCCCCATCGAACACAATGGCATTTCTCCACTTCCAGATTGACCATAGAACCACACTCGGAATGAAGGACCAAATTTTAGAATTAGGTACCAAATCATCCCAAGCAAACAAGAAATTTTGAGCATTGGCTTGAAAAGCTGAACAAACTCCCCAGAAATTCAAAAATTTGTTCCATAAAGATCACGCCACAACACAAGTAAAAAATAAATGTGTTGAGGACTCATCCGCCTTGTTACATAAAGGGCAACCAGCGTCAACAATAGCTGAAACTCCTCTCCTCTGTAACTCTAGTTTAACTGGCAATCTTTGAAGCACCACTTGCCACATAAATACCTCCACTTTCGGAGGCACCAAACCCCTCCAAACGTACTTCATCCAAAAAGGGTCTGCTATACTTGCAGTACAACATGACTTTACACTCGAATTGACAGTATAAACTCCTTCCCCATTCCCTCTCCAGACTAACCCATCAGAACAGTCATGAGAAAGAGTGATATTATGAATTAAAGCCAATAAATCAGAGAATTGAACCAGTTCCCAATCACTTAAATTCCTTCTCAATTGAACATGCCAAGACCAGCCTGCAGACCGAAACTCCCCAAACTCATTCAGCTTCCCATACTTATTTACCGAAAGAACAAACATTCTCGGGAAAACCAGATTTAGAGGGGTATCAAGCGCCCAACAGTCATACCAAAATCTGATGCTCCTCCCATCCCCCACTCTAACTTTAAACAAGCTTCGGAACTTTACTCCAAACTGATCCTGTTTGAAGTGATTATTGACCACCGATTTCCATATCCAAGAAGCATATGCAGGTAGTTCCTCATTAAACATCAGAGAATTAGGGTCCAGATTATATTTACAGCAAATAACCTTCTTCCACACTGACTCCCTATCGTTTGCAAATCTCCACGACCATTTCCCTAGGAGAGCTCTATTCATATAACTAACATCCAGAACACCAAGACCCCCATCATTCTTTCCAGCGCACACAGTCGACCAATTGACCCAGTGAATTTGTTTTGCCTCCACACCTCCCCATAGAAATCTGGCCATGATGGAGTTAAGCTTCGCCATCACCGAAGAAGGTATCTTAAACAGAGACATGAAATATGTAGGCAAGGAACTCAAAACTGTCTTCAATAAAATCAACCTCCCTGCCATTGACAAAGTCTTAGCCTTCCAACCTGCTAACCTCTTATAAAAGTTTTGAACAACCGGATCCCACACCAATAGCGAATTCCTCTTAGCACCAAGAGGCAACCCCAAATATTCCGTAGGGAAATGTCCTACCGAGCATCCAACAGCATTAGCCCACTGAAGAATCACTTCCTCATCAATATTTATCCCAAATAATTTGCTCTTAGACAGATTCAATTTCAGGCCTGACATAACTTCGAAAACACGTAGGATCCTCTTAACATTAATTACCTGTGTCTTCGATGCATTGCAGAAAATAATTAGATCATCTGCGAATTGCAGATGAGATTGATTAACTGAAGCCTCATCATAACCAACAATCAGACCACAAAACAGACCTGAAGATACTGCCTTACGTAGCAGCAGATTCAGCAATTCTCCAACAAAATTAAACAGCAGTGGGGAAAGGGAACAACCCTGTCTAAGACCTTTAGCTATAGGAAATTCAGCAGTAGGAACACCGTTAACTAAAACTGATACCGAAGCAGTTGTAACACACTTTCGAATCCAATTACACCACTTAGAACCAAACCCCATTTTGTTCATGACTTTAAAGAGAATGTTCCAATCTAATGAATCATAAGCCTTCTTGAAGTCCACCTTAAAAACACAACCCTTCAACCCTTTCTTCCTCCACAAATCAATTCCTTCATTAGCAATAAAAGAGCAGTCCGGAATTTGTCTCCCAGGAATAAAAGCAAACTGTGACTCACTGATAATATCGTTAATACAACATCTCAACCTTCTCGAAAGACAGATAGGATCTTGTACATCCCACCTACAAGTGAAATAGGTCTGAACTCATCTAAACCCCCAACATTGGAGTCCTTTGGGATGAGAGTTATGAAAGAATGATTTATGCCATGTTCCCAATCCTTCCCCAAAAAGAAATTATGAAAAAACTTCATAATATCACCTTTCAAGTAAGACCAGAATTTTTAAAAAAAACCCATATTCAACCCATCGGGCCCTAGAGCTTTATTACTATCACACGAGCTAATGATTTCCCAAATCTCTTCTTCCGTAAACTCCTTTTCTAACATTAAATTCTGCTCCATAGAAATACGAGAAAAATTCAACTCAAAATCCTCCACTTCCAAAGTTCAAAGTTGAAACACTGTTATAGGCTTTAAAGAAATGCTCCCTGACAATAGACTTGATAATGACGGGATCTTTGATAATTACACCATCAACATTAATAGCATTCAGAGAATTATTCTCCTTCTAATTGAAGCGCATGTATGAAAAAATTTAGAATTTCGGTCACCATCTTTAAACCACTTCTCTCTAGAATTTTGGCACCAAATTTGCTCCTCAATTCTGTATAGTTTCCAAAGATCATTTCTTAACAACCTCAACTCTGACGCGTTCCCAACAGCACTGGATGACTGATTTTGCTGCATCCTCCTTTCTAATTGGTGAATTTTGTCTTCAAGAACAGAAATGTCCACACGTGGAAACTGATTCCTATCCCCAGACCAGCTTTTAATGGCATACTTTGTATTCCTAAGTATACTCAAAATTCCAGCACTTTTCTTGTCTTTTTTAAATTCCTTAAATGACTCCACGACCTTCTCCTCAAACCCATCCTCAGACATTAAATAATTGAACAGCCTGAAAGGTCGCTTTCCCCAATTATCTCCCCCAATCTCAAACAAAATTGCATTATGATCAGAGATAGATTTAGGCAGTAAAAACTGATTGATCCCAGAGAATTCTGCAGAGAAACTAGCACTCACCAGGAACCTGTCGAGCTTAACAACAGTAGGCAAATCCCTATTACTACTCCAGGTAAAGTTACCCCCAATAAGAGGTAAATCAATAAGCCCCGTTAGCTGAATGAAAATACTAAAGATTTCCATAGAGTTTCTATTGTGAGCCCTGCCTTCCTTCTCATCTTCTGATAAATAAGCGTTAAAATCCCCTCCCACACAAAAAGGGATACTATACCCGTTTAAAAACAGTCCTAGTTCTTCAAAGAAACCAACCTTCTCTTCCTCCACAGATGGACCATAAACGTTTATGAAACCACACCTAAGATTATTGGATTTGAACTCCCCGAAGACAACAATAAACCTCTTGTGAATATGATGATCTTCTACCACAAAGGAACTATCATCCCAGCAACTTAACAAACCACCAGAAGAACCTTCTGCTGGTAACTCAACGAACCTCTGCAGCCTATTCAAACCACTTCTCCTTAAAAAAGATCTTGGTAAATTCTCGAGTTTTGTTTCTTGAAGAAATAGAAAAGTAGGATTTCTCTCCGAAACTAACTTTTGCACAGCTCTTTAATTCTCTCTTCTACCCAAACCCCTAACGTTCCACGACAAAATACTAAGCTTTGGCATGATACTCTAGATTAATAATGCCTAAACTCCAAGGAAAACATTCGACCTCAAGGAGCCCCACTCAAACCTTTCTCCAACTCTATAATTTTCTGTATAAAAGCTTCCCTCCCTTCTTTGAAAGAAATTCCCAATAACTTGCTAATTTCCCATGTAGCAATAGCTTCCTCCACCAACAAGGGAAACACTGATGAAGATAACGTAGAGACACTAGCATGATCCGTAGCATCCCTACAAAGGGATCTTTTAACTCTCCTGATAATTCTCCTCGGCCTAGTACCATCATTGTCCCTTGCAGAAACCCCAGCTGCCTCAGCAACTTCAGAAAGACAACCTCTTGAACATAAGTCCCTGCCCATCACATCATTTAACACCCCTCGGGGAACCTCCTTCCCTTCCTGTTCATTCTTCCAAGCCTGCACATTATTAATCCAAATCTTTCTGCATTTCGACCTGCTATAAAATATCTTGTGACTTCTGATAAGTTCCTTAGCAACCGGAGCAATCTTCATGGATATCGAGCTTACAGAACCTGCTTGTGAACCAGCTCTTGAATTTAACAACTTTAAACCAAATGCAGGCCCGTCTCCATCTTCGATACCCACTGGATCCTTGATTTTATCTTTTTGAAGCCCAACCTCCCTGTCAACTATATCAAGCGCATAGGAATCTCCCCCCACACTCTTCCCACTATCCATCCCTACAGACAAGCCTCTCGACTTTTCATGTTGAGTGGAGACAACTCTCTCGGTTTCTGTACTTTTACTATGATGCGAGCCCTGAACCCAGTCCTGAACCCTTCTACGGGTTTCTGACAACCCCTGACAACCCACATGGCCTCCATGCTTCACCTGAACATCCTCTGCGCTCCAATTGGAAGAGTGCTCCGCCCATGGCTCCTCTAGAACATCATCTTCAACGAATTCTGACACCTCAGGAAAGAAAACATCACCACCTTCCACCTTTATTTTGACCAGAAATTTCCTCCCATACGTTGTAATGGTAGTATGATCAGGAATGTCAAAAGGACTAAAGACCCTCAGGATCATTTGCGCCACTCTGCAGTCCACTTTCTGTGCAGTTTCATCTTTAATCTTAACTAGTTTACCCCACTTGGATACCAACCTAGTAAAAAAAGGAACCGACCAGCAGTTTAAAGGGACTCCTATCATGGAGATCGAGCAATAAGCTAAGGGAATGTTGTCCTCATTGAACACAGGCTCCAACATATCAAACCAGAAAGACAACTCTTCCCATTTTCTTTCCATCGCTGACTTCATCTCATCCACAGATTGGAACACGACCAAGCAAGCATTCTTAGCAAAGCCCCACCTTACAACCTTTTCACCTATTTTTATTTGCTTCTTAACTTGTTAACATCAGAAGGAAGTGCTTCTTTCTTATCAGACAAAATTAGGATGTCTCTTTTGTGTTTTTTTCATAAAATTCAAATTTCAGGACATAAAGGTGTTCCTCACAGCTGTCTGGATTGATTGTTCTTAGTTAGAACCTTAGGCATTGAGATGTTGAATTTTACGTTAACAGTCTTAAAACCAAGAGTTGGTTCTTTTGACTGTGTTTTGAGGCATTTTGTGGAGCAGCCTTTTTTAATGTGGTAAAGAATGTTTTTTTTTTGATAGGAAAAGGAGGCCTCATTAAAAACCTCCCTCATAGTTGCCTCTTGAGAAGAGGCAACTAGCGGAAGGAGGAAAAGAGTGCCTCAATATATTAATAAACCATAATTACATAAGATTACCAAACATAACAAACAACCAAGACCAAAACACCAAAACCAGAACACAATACAACAACCTCCAACATCAACCCGCCAACCCCATTCTCACCAAAACACAATCTCAGCACTCACTAACCAATTCCTGATTTAGCTAAACAATCAGCTTCCTCATTAATACATCTACTGATATAACTGATAATAACATTAAAATGCAACACAGTCTTCTGAATTTTCTACACCAAATCAACTAAGTGAACCGGGCAAAGATCTGGGCTGTTGATCCACTTCACAACAAGAAATGAATCGCTTTCTAAAATCAGATTCCCCTTATCCTTCCAAACTGAATCAAAAAATACATCTAACCCTGCTTTGATTGCAAATATCTCAGCAGTAATCGGAGAACAAGGCCTTGTCGCTCTAGAAAAGAAATCCAACTGCTTATTATCAGCATCCTTTAGGACTCCTCCAATACCACTTCTTCTCCAGTCAAAAGTAACAGCCCCATCAACGTTCATCTTAAAATAGCCCGAAGGAGGAGGGCACCACTTTAATTTAGGCAAACGAAAGTTAGAGGGGGAACGATGCATATCCGCCAAAGTTAAGTCACCCACAAGGCTGTCAACCTGAATAGATAAGTCATTGTTTTTAGCCAAGAACCATGAAGCCACCCTATACCTCACCAAAAAGAATAGATTAGCTTTATCTAGCTTGCCATTCTCAAACACTATCTGATTCCTGCAAATCCAGATAGTCCACAAAACAGCTCCCGGAAGAAATTGCCAGATAACCGAGTATGGCCTTAATTGCAACCAAGAAAGCAAGAACACTTTAGGATTATTGGGTAGTACTGAACAAACATTCCACAAACGGAGTAGTTTTGCCCAAATCTCCCAAACCAGCTCACAAGAAAAGAATAAGTGACTCACTGATTCTGGTTCCACTCCACAAAACACGCAAAGTGGGTTCTCTACACCTTTGACCCCTCTGCTTAATAAAACAGCTTTGACAGCAAGGTTCTGATGAATAATTTGCCAAAGAAAAACCTCCACTTTTGGTGGAACTAAACCCTTCCACACAATCTCCAACCAGGAAGTATATGCGTCTGATAATCTTGATATCATTCTAGAACAATTTTTTTTTTGGATAAAAAAGGCCTCGTTAAAACCCCCCTTCATACCCTACATGTTATAAACATAACATGAAGGGCATAGGAAGAAGGAAAAGAATGCCTCTAACTTTTATTAATGAGGACCATAATACACCTCCACACCTACATGACTAACTACTAACAACATAACCTTTAAGCCACAACTCTGGATACATAACGCACCCTAATAACTCCCTTAAAAAGAACAGCCAAGATATAACACCTTTAACCACAATAGAAACCCAAAAATCACCCTATACCAGCTTTTGCTAATTCATCCGCTTCCCAATTTGCAGCTCTCGAAATATGCCTTGTGATAATACCCTTCCTTTCCACACGAGTAGCTATATCCGTCACAAAGGATTTAAACAAACGAGTACTAAGGTCCGGATTTTTAATCCACTTTAGAACGTTAGTCGAATCTGATTCCAATATAATCCTCTGGCTTGGATTGTAACCAACTTCCTCAGTAAGAATCAACCCTCTTTTGATCGCCAAAAGCTCTGCAAGTAAAGGAAGACCTCCCCCTACCTTCTCTGAAAACGACCCAAGCACCGAACCACTACCATCCCTAATCAATCCACCAATTCCCCCCTTATCCCAACCTTTGACCATTGCACCATCTACATTTACTTTTAAAAACCCTTCCGGAGGAGGACTCCACCTAGAAGGAGATGCCCTCTTTTTCAAATTACCATTACAGTCTGCTAGTTTTAAGTCCCCCATCATGGAATCAAAAGGAATATGGACATCCTTAAATGAAGTTCCAAACCAAGAAACAATTTTGAACCTTGTAATGAAGAAACAATTTAAAACTTCGTTTTCCATAAGTTTGCTTTAATTGTATTTGTAGCGAATTTAATATGGTTTCCTTTTACTTTATGTAATTTGGTTCGGTGCCTCACGGTTCTTTTATTTATCTCGATGTTGTCAAATATAGAATCTCTTTTATGCTGATACTGATGAATATCAGAAATGATATTTGCCAAAATAGCTCTATGGAATTTAATTAGGTGTTTTGGTCTTTGTTGTGTCTAGTCAATGTCCCTCCTTTCAGCTCTCTATTTTCATTGTCAAAAAACTAATTAGCAAGAATCAATGCTGATACAATAACTATGAAAAAGAATCAATGCTGATACAGCAGTTATCATTTCCCTATTCTGCAGATGCTTTAAATAAATTCTTACATATGCTCGGTCTTTCTTCCATTTTTTTATTCTCTCCTAAATATATGAACCTTGTTAGTTTTGTATCATAAAATTAGATAGTTCTTGGGTTTTGTCAGCATTACTTTATCTTATTTAGCTTTCGGCCTGGTTTGAACAGTTAATTTAGATGGTGTTCATTCTTTTTTTTACTACATTTTGTTGCCTTTTCTCATCTTCTTTACTGATTGTAATCTGCAGCTTCCTACCATTTGGGAGCACAACAAAATGAGCATGCTAAATCTTGTTGCAAGCCTTGTAAAGGTAGACTGCAATTTGGCTTTAAAAAAGTCTATTGAAAATTGAAATATATATTTTTTTTCTTTCATCTTCTTTTTTGTATAAAAAAATATTTTTCTAAAATTATCTACTGTGTTGGAGGATTTGCAGATGGCAATCTTAAATATTCAAGAAAGAGGAATATTTTTACGGTTTGCTGTCTACTAATCATTGATCTATGTGACATGTATATTTTCAGACAGGAGTTCATGGAAGGGTCTTTTCTTCAGATAGGGGAAGGCCATTGCCTGGGTCGATCACAATCAAGGAAATAAATTACACGGTGTGTTCACAAATATATATATATATGGATAGGATCCTATTATACAATGTGAAACTCTTTTAGTTTTACACAAATTTAAGACTGTTGGATGAGTGAAAATAAACGGCTGAGATTAACAGTAGTAAATGAGAAAATATTCACTGGAAAAAAAGAGAGGAGTTAATCTCAGCCATCTATTTTCACCCGTCCAACGATCTTAAATCTGTGTAAAACTAAAAGAGTTTGCACTATGTAGTATCCTAACCCATACATATATATATGCAGTCATGATACAAACACATCTCCTCATTCACTATTATTTTCACACAAATCTTAGTGCAAGGATTCTGATTTGAAGTATTCAATTTTATTCAGTAGTTGGAATCACTTTGAATTTTATATATACTATGATCACTGAGAATCCATCATTTCTGCTTATATTCTACCTGTTATAGGACATCAGACAGCATTTTGGAATTTGTGAAGTTCTCTTTTTCTCAGTTCAGGATGCAAGTTATGCAGAATTTTGAGCACTAGGAACCTGGATTACCTTGATTATATTGATCATAATTCTGTTTTCCTTTATTTGCCAACCTGTTTTGGTTATTAGACCAGTAATTACTTTGCACCAATCACCTTAGAAAAGTGGAATTTGATATGCTTAGCGTTCTAAATCAATATCTATGCTTCGTATCTTAGCTTCTATCACCCTTCTCATCAGGGACCTCCTCCGTATCAAACAGAAATTACTTTTGATATGCCTGGATTTCATTCTTTTCTGAGAGATTCATTACGACAGTATCCATGCAGCTTGTGCTTATGTTGGTTTTAGTTGACATTTCTCCTATGATTATTGTTAACAAAATACACATTCTCGCTGCTTTTATAAAATTTTGACACAATCAAATAATCTGGTGATCTCGACTTCTAGCTGTTTTTGGTAACTTGTTTCTTGGTTCCCCTGATCATGACAGGTTCAAACTGGTAGGGCATTTTCTGATTATCATCGGTTACTTGTTCCAGGAGAGAGATATGAAGGTATGAAAATTCTTTAGTCGCAGTATGCAAGGTTCTTTTTGGTTATTGTTAGTAATGCTAGAAACATATAGAGACTGTTGGTGATCACATAGGAATGATTAGAAAAAAATGAGTAGATGGTTGAATCACAAGAATAGCACTATGCAGCTGAAGAGTCGTTAAGTATTGCACTTAGTTTCCGGAGTTGGTTGAATACTATGTTATTGAACTCCAATGTGTCGGACATGGGTATGGTCAAGATTTCTGGTGTTTTCAGAGGATCATATTCCCTTACTCTTGTGGACAAGTGTCGTACACGGGTGTCTGGCTCAAGTACTTCAAGAAAGTGAAGAGTGGGATATTGTTTTGTTGGCCATCTTTTTTTCTAAAGATATCATTCAATTAAAGCAATAACAACCTATATGCTATGAACTGATGAATGTGTTTGCAGTTATGGCTAATGTGCCTGGGTACAAATCAAAGACCACAAGTATCTGGTTCAAAGAAGAAGCCGTGAATGTAGACTTTATTCTTGATCCAGAAGCCACTTCTGAGGGGACTTTACAACGCAGTATTTGTGATTGTGATTGTAGCGGAAAAAGAAGGTTCCTTTCGATGGGGTATTTCTGGGGAATTCACTCTGAAGTTTATCTAGTCCTTATTGTTGTCCTTGCATTTCTCTGTCTTTTGCTGAGGCGGCGAATAAAATTTAACCTTTTAAAACACCGACAGTCGCCTAAAAGGTCAGTACCAGTGTGACCTTTCATATAACTTGGATAAACAACTTGAATAGAACATTTTTCTGCTTGAATTTGCAGATAGTATGATGCTTCTTTGAGTTTACGATGAACTATTCCTTGGTTACCTGTATATCTCAATTTTCTACCTACACGTAATAATCTGTATGGATAATGCTAAACAATGTGAATCTCCCCTTTTTACCGACACGAGGAAATGGTATTAGATACATTTTTGTGCTATATTGTGTTTAGCATTTGTTTAAGCAATTGTAAAAATGCCTGTTGTTAGAATTGAATCCCCATGATGTGTCTACCCAATCCATTATTACTCTGGACTTTACTAGTGTCGGATATGGGTATTTGTGTATCTTCAGTTTTTCTTTTTAAGATTTTCATTTATTTAAAAGGTCATTAGAAAAACCCATTAAGTAACTTGTTAAATGGAATGTTATTTTCCTTAGAATTTTTGATTGAAATAGTAGCATTTGTAGGGTGTATGTTGTCAATGATATTTTATTTACACGTGATAATCTTAAACTATTTAAGAAAAAGTTCTTAGAAGATTATATCCTCGTATACTTGCTTGAGTATGTGTCGTAAATGGATTTATTAAATAATATTATGAATTTCATTTACACGTGAAAAGATATTAGGAAATATATATGTATAAATTATATGATTAGAGAGCATTATTTAAATTGAAATCAATTAGAATATAATATTGTAAATTAACACAATTGAATTTGAATAGAAATTATAACAATATATTCTATTTTATTCGAATTTTAAAAATTTGACTCAATTAAAAAAATTTAAATAAAATTTGAGTGATTAATTTTTTATTAACTATCCACGTTGTATAACATAACATTATGTCAATAATTATTTTAAGATATCATATTAATAAAAAAATATTATATTAATTTCATCAAATTATATAATAATAAAATAAATTAAGACATGGATGTAGAAAGGTTTTAACCTAAGTATGGTGGAAGAAGGTTCAACACCTATCCATTAACTTATTCACTTATATTATTATGGTTAAAAATAATAGTTATGTCAAACAAAGAATGTCAACCTGTATTCTACTTAGCTCCTTGGAGTAAATGTCATCACGACTACAGTTATTATTAAACGTTAGGAGTAAAATATATAGTCGTGAATTTCTGATGTTTCAAAATTCATTATACAATAACTTAATAGAACCTTCATTCTTCCTTAGTTAAGTCATCGCATATTAAATATCATTCAACACTTTATTGCATAAATCAAAATTCAGCTCATACCTTAATATCTCAAGTATGTCTTCTTGGCCAAATCTTTTCTTTGAGGATGGATAAATATACATAGGCCACCTGAATAACAAAATCAAACATGGTAAGCCTAAAGAAAATATTAACTTGTAGTCTGCCAATAAATACTGATGAAAGAGAAGGTTGTGATGTTAATTGTTCAAAATTAAATTTTAAAGCTTTTAAAATAAGTTAAAACAAAATGTTAGATAATATTAAAAATTTTAAATAAATTTGATTTTTTTAAAATATAAAAAAATATTTATTTTTGAAAAATATATATATATATATATATATATATATATAAATAATAAAATTGTACGGTAATAATGGTTCGGATTTGGGGGAAAATGGGAGTGGTGTTTCTGGGCTGCTCTTGCTCGTCTGCTCTGGTATTCCAACCTCACCCTCCATCACCTGTGCTTCCATTCTCATTTCCTTTCACTTTCGACATGCTTCAATCTTGTATTTTTCTTTCTTGTTGACAGTGGACTTGGAAGAAACGTTCGTCTTTTCCTTTGAATTCCAATGCAAATTTCTCCAAGCGGAGGGTTATTAAAGACCCCAATCAAGCTCTTAAGGTCCACTCACCATCCTTGTCTGCTTTTTAAATTACCTGAGAATTTCGTTTGTGATGTTTGAAGTCTAAACCAAATTATTTGCTTTCTCTTTTCATTGGAATGAATTTTTAATCTCCTAAATTGGCTATGGTTTAGAGCAAGTAAATTAGAGATGAGGGGCAAAACAATAATCAAATGAAGGTGGCATAGTTAGGTATTGTGAATTTTTGAATGGCAGACCACTACACTCTGTGTAATTGCCAACCATTTTTGGTTTAGAGAATGCTTACTCCGTTGGAGTGTTAGATTTCAATTTCATAGCAAATTAGGTCTGTTGTCGGCACTTTGCACTTTGATTTAGGGTTTAGACGTGTTCGACTTGGACGATTCCCGGCAATACATGATCTGGATTTGAATACTTGCTTCTTCCTACTGATCACTTGCTAGATGCTAATTACCCCGTCTTTTACCCTTCTGCTTTATTTTATTTTTATTTCTGTTGATTACTTATTTACGGGAAACCAAAAGCTTATTACAAGAGGATTGAATTTGAGAGGTACAGAGAAAGAATGTGATTGAAAAAAGGATACTGAGATTCTGAGAATGAAATGATTAATTACCCTTCCTCCTCTACCAAATAAGGGAGAACTTAGCTTTTTCCTCAAATCCCCACCATTATTACCAAAAGTTTTATTATTTTTATTTTTTTAAGAAAATTACCATTTAAAAATAAAATATATTTTTCAATTTTTTATAAATATTCTTTTATATATTTTTTTAAAATTATTATTTAGAACAAAATTTTAGTTATAATAAATGATCAAATGATATATATGACCGTGTCACGTTATTTTTCTAACGACAATTAACGAATGTGTATTCATTTTAGTCTTAATACAATTTTTATTGTCTAAATTATATCTCGAAATACGATTTGATGCCTAAATAATTTTTTTACTAAAAATAGTTGTCTAACATTTTCTCCGTTATACTTTTAGATGTCTATCGTTATATTTTTAAATTTTTAGTAATAAAAATATTATTTAAAAAATTTAAAAAAATCAAACCACCCCCGCGTCGTCCCTCTCCCTCCCATCCTTCCACCTCTGACGACAATGGGTCACCACCGATCGGATTTTTATTTGGAGCAAGACGAGGAACTCAGCGGTGACGGCTGTGTAATGTGAGAACGGCTGTAGCTGTCGAAATCGTTGAAAAACAACAATGAAAAATCTTGAAATAGATGACTTTTCGTGGGTTTTTAATGATGATCGACGCAATTTCACGGTGGGTAGAGGACTGAATTTTGGTGACGATGGGAAGAGGATTTTGATGATGTTAACGGTGACAGTCATCGGATCGACAATGGTTCATCGGTGGCTGAAGACGTAAAATTTGAGGGTTTTTTGGTTTATTTTTAAAAAATTATATTATTAATTTTTTTAAAATAAAATATTTTCTTTGAAATTTTGTATGTATGAAACGTGTCAGATAACGGTTAAATTTAACTGTCGTTACGGTTCAAGTACCTAAAAGTGTAACGTTGGAAACGTTAGACACCTACTTTTAGCCTAAAAAATTCTTTAGACATCAAATTATATTTTGAGATATAGTTTAGGTACTAAAAAGTGTATAAGTCTTCATTTTATTACAAAATTAAAAAATTAATATTTATTTTTTAATTTTTAAAATCTAACTGACTAAATATATTATTTTAGTATAATTTAGTGATTATTTATAAACTTAATTTAGAAAACATCCAATAGTAAGTTACAGGAAGTGGCAAGTGTTTAAATTTAGTTTTTAAAATTTTAAATATACTTGGTAGATAAATGTTATTATTATTTTTATTATTTGTAGAAATTTTATTTCTTATTATCAGTACATTGAATAATAATCTATTATTAAGTTTGAAATATAATATAATTCTTGAGTTTGACAAGTTCATTCAAATTAATTTCTGGTTTTCCAGTCAAATTAATCCTTGAATTTGATAACTTTGATCAAATTATCTCTGATTTTTTTTAGATCAAATTAATTCTTGATTTTTGGGGTCAAGTTAGTCCCTAAACTTAACAAGTTTGATTAAATTATTTCTGAATATTTCAGATCCAATTAATCCGTAAACTTGACAAATTTAGTTAACTTAACCCCTAAGTTTCTTATAACAACTTATCAAAGGTCAGTTTAACTATAAAAATCAAGAGTCATTCTGATCATAGAAAGTCAAGGGTTAATTTCATTAAGTTTATCGAGTTTAAGGGTCAATATGAATGTAAAAAGATATTAGCGGTCAATTTAATAAAAAATATAATTTGACCAAACTTGTTTACTTAGGGGCTATTTTTATTATAATTTTTTATATTTCTTTTATTGTTCTTCTCCAAATATTGTAGTTGTCCATTCAATAATCTCGTCACCAGGAATAATGAAAGATTTTAATTTAAAATATAATTTGATTAGAGATTGAAGTAAAATATATATTTCATAACTCAATCATCATTTTGGTTCCGTTTTTGTCATTATTTTTTTTATCAAAATCATCACTAACGTTACATTTTGATTTTATATTGATCACCTGTCATTAAAAAATTAACGGTGGTACTAACGTGTCACTATAAGGTAATATCGTATCATAACTAAAACAAATTACATCAATAATTCTGTTAAATTTTTAATGGCAAATGATCAAAGTAGATCCAAAATGTAACGTTAATAATTATTTGAAAAAAAATAATTGAGTGACCAAAATAAAATTAGAGTGATAATTAGATAACTATACGCGTAATTTATCCTAAGAATTATATATTCATTTTCTTTGCAAGTTACACACTGAAAATGAACATATAAACTGTTTTATTTAAAACTGTTAAAGATTATTTATGTACCTTATCCTTTATTATTAATACACAATTTTAAATAAAACAGTTTATATGTTCATTTTCTTTGCAAGTTACACCCTGAAAACGACAGCTGAGCTTTGTTCAATCGTATCAATATTTGAACTTGTTTAGAGGATCTAGCTTTTAGTGCCGTTATTTTTCATGTTTGTTTATTTTAGAATAATTCAAAGTTGAATAATTCAAATATTGAATGATTCAAAAGTTTTGTATGAATTAATTTTAAATGTGACATATTTGATAATTATTCTGAATCATTCGAATCATTCGAAGGTGAAAAACAAACAGTCTGACTGAAACAAACAAACAGCCCCTAAATTTATTATTCTTCAGCTTTCGCTTTCTTCAGTAATTTTTCTTGCGCTTAAATACTTGAAAAACTTTGCTGTGTCAGCTTGCAACTTTCCTTGAAATGATCTCCCTCCGGTGAGTACTTTTAGTGTTCTGTGTGAATTCAATGTTCCTTGCTGGTTTTATCCTTTTTTGGAATGCTCTGAAATGGGTTGTGTGATTATCGGCTTCTTATTACACGCATGGTGTTGAACGAATCGAACTCCTTTCCGGAGTTATTTGAAAGTCGGTTTTGATTGAAGTGTAAACTTTTCGAGGGACTTTGATCCTTTTAGCCTTCATTTACTTTCTTTTTCCCGTGGTGTTTCTTTCTGGGTGTTCGTTTTCTCGAAATCTTGAAGGTTTTCATCAAATGGATTCTTAAGTTCTTTGATTTTAGTGTTTCTGAGACATGCATTGTATTGTTTGTCTTCTTTCCAAAGAATATAATTGTTTTCTATCCCATTTTATGAAGCTTTCTCTCAAATAGACTTATGTTTCATCCGATTGAATTTTGTAGTGTAATCATGTCGTGTTCAATATTGTCGGTCTACACTCAAAAGAGATAATCTTTTGTGGGGTTTGATAACAGATTAAGGTTAGCCAATCTCAAGTTCTTTCGGTTGATAGAGAAATGGCTATAAAGAAAAACGGGTTCATTCCAAGTTCTGCACCAGAAGAATTGAAGAAAGTTTTGAAAGAAGTGGCAGCTGAATGGGGAGATACGATACAAGATATAGAAGAATTTGATGTGATTCCACTGAAGGGAGCAATGACTAATGAGGTTTTTCAGATAATCTGGCCTAAAAATCATGGAGATCGTCATCTCAAGGTGTTGGTCCGGATTTATGGTGAAGGTGTCGAACTGTTCTTCAATAGGAATGATGAAATTAGGACCTTTGAGTACATGTCCAACCACGGTCAAGGACCTAGGCTTCTTGGGCGGTTTCCGAATGGAAGGATCGAGGAATTCATTCATGCCAGGGTATATAAAATTTTCTTCCAAAACTTGTCTTTGATGTCTAATTCTTGCAATATTATGGTATATGTTAGAATAACCACATCTTATCTACAATTTACAGACGATGTTTCATTAGGAGTCAATTCTTTCTTTCAAAACTAGATCAGGGTCATGCGGACGGATACCTGTAGAAAAGGAAGTTCTTGGTGCCATCTAATGGTTACTTCATGTCGTTCTTCTGCTTCTTCCTCTATAAATGATTTGCAAGTTTTCTTTTGACATCAACTATCCATTTGTTTAGTTTTTTTTACTTGGTCAGCTCTGATAACTGATTTTAACTGGCGTCAACTTGTAGATCTAAGTAATGAAATTTTGGTGGCTTTTTCAGGCTTCAAGCACTTTTATCTCATTTCTCGTCTTGCCACTTTCGCTCAACTCTTTTTCTTTTGGATTTACCAGGCGCTTTCTGCAGCTGATCTCCGCGACCCTGAAATATCTTCTCTTATAGCAGCTAAATTGAGAGAGTTCCACAATCTTGACATGCCTGGTCCGAAGAATGTACTTCTCTGGGAGCAATTGAGGTACTAATATGTATTTGTCATATTGGTGCTTTTAGCTTTCAAGTTGAAAGTATCTTATCCCATTTTGCTTCTACACAGGACTTGGCTTAGTCAGGCAAAGAAGATCTGTTCCCTGAGAACTACTAAAGAATTCAGATTGGACATTCTCGGGGAGGAAATCAGCTTCCTTGAGAAAGAGTTAACAAAGGGCTGTCAAGAAATTGGGTTTTGTCACAATGATTTGCAATATGGTAACATAATGATGGATGAAGAGACAAGAGCAATTACCCTAATTGTAAGTTTTCAGTTCAGTTATTATCAGTCGCAAATATGGCCTTTATACTGTGCTTTCAGTTCTAGACTTGACTCTAGCATTTTTCTTTAGCGTCAACTTCCTTTGAAATAGTTAGTTAAACATGCCTTTGAAACTATGTCCCCAATACGCAATCCGAAAGTTGTTTTGTTCGACTAAAAATCTTACACTCTTTAAGTTAGTAGTCAACATTTCAATATATATGTACTAAAACTGAACAACTACTTACTGAGTGTATGTGCGTTCTTGTGGAAATTTGGCTGCTTGTTTTATTGGCAAAACTGTTTCATCTGCGAAATGCCCTTGGAGTATACTAATGGTCGGCCAAATCAGAATGAGTCAATTGAGCTGTTTATCTGCTTCTTTAACTTCATGTTTCATTTATTGAAGTGTTCATATCAATATAACAAGTTAATATATGTATGAATACCAAAAAAGGTTAATATATGTATTCATGTATCAATATATAGTATAGACATCTTAAAATATTGTTTATTTCTAGATTTTTGTAAACTGAAATTGCAGATGAGGTCTGTATGGCGACTACATTTATAAGAAATTGCAGCTGAAGCTTCTTCACTGAGTATGTGAGAAGCCAAGGGACTGGGTCAGCCTCTTTCCCTAGGTTCCAATTTATCTCATGATAAGACTATTTATAAGATATGGGTTTCATAATTTTTGAGCCTTTGATTATATGACGATTAGACCTGTTCAAGGGTCAAGTTACCTGTCTAAGCCGAAATGCCCATTTTTTTCAATATTAAATGGCTTAGGTTAGTCATACACAAATACAAGTGGGTTTGAACCTAACCCTTATTATCTTTAATTATGGTTTGATGACCTTTCCATGTTTTCCTGAAATATGTGTTCTCTTTTTCATACTATTTTCTTAATTTATTCTCATTTGCATTACCTGACACATGAACTTTGTTGCTAATAATCCCCGGTTTTCGCATACAATTTATTTCTCACTTCATGTAGCAAGTAAAAACGGCATTTCCGGGATAGAGAGATGAATGTTACAAGGAATTACTTATTCCCATTTTGCAGGACTATGAGTATGCAAGCTATAATCCTGTTGCTTATGACCTTGCAAATCACTTCTGCGAGATGGCTGCAAATTATCATTCTGAGACACCCCATATTTTGGACTACAGCATATACCCTGGTGAGGAATACTTGTAATTTTAGAAACTTCCTGTAATTGGTATCGAAAACATCGAATGCTTGTTTGGGTCGAATCATATCTGTTCCTTTTGCATTTGAACAACAGATATAAAGGAGCGCCGAAGATTCATCTCTTCGTATCTGGCATCTTCTGGTACCTTCCCTTTCACTGCAAACTGTATAGAAAATACAAATATTCTGAATTTGTTTAAACAAAGTCTGGTTTTCTGGCATAAATATATCATTCTCTGCACTTTCTGTGCCTTGAAATTTATATGTTGAATTGGTTTTAAAAATGCATGTTTGACTGGATTGCATGCATGCAGGAAATGAACTCAGTGATGCCATAGTGGAGCAGCTACTCATCGATGCTGAGAAATATACTCTTGCTAATCATCTGTTTTGGAGCTTATGGGGAATAATCTCGGTAGGTTTTTCTGCACACCGTTTCACTGCATTTCCTTTAGCGTTACAGAGTTTTTTGGACCGATCCTGTTATCGTATGTACAGGGTCATATAAACAAGATAGACTTCAACTACTTGGAGTATGCACGGCAGAGGATTCAACAATACTGGTTAACGAAGCCCTTGCTCTTGGGTTCCTGACTCTCAGGGCTTAGTAGCCTCAAAATGCAGCCATAGATTTGTACAGGTTATGTAGCAGTATAAACCTAGTGTGTCGATGGTGTCCTATCGCTCTTACTCGGACTTGGATGTCTTAAATATATATATCTCATATTGTGTTCGGCATGGGCATGTTAAATTTGTTCTAAAGTTTTGTCATGTATTTAAAAGTACACTTTTTTTTTTTCAGTTTGTACCAACTATTTTTAATTTTTTTTCTTAAACTGTCTTTTTTTATTATTTTTATCTTTTTTTATCGGCAAAACAATTTTATTAGATAAGAAATTGCAGCCAGCTTGGATATATGCTTCGTTAAAAACCTCTCTAATTCTAAGTGGAGGAAAAAAATACATATAACTAAGCCAAAAAGAAAACACAAAATACATCTAATCACCGCAGCACAACAAGCACCTAAAGTGGCCAAAACAAGGAAGACACAATGTAGCAACAAAGTAGAAACTCACAATCTAACTAAACCAACATCCAGCGCCACTGATCTAACATCAGAATACATAAACAAGCCACCAATTATCACAAGCAACAAGTACATCACAGCAGAAGAGAAATGTAGGACAGACGAAACCGATCAGCCAACAGCAGACCAACTCTCCCCCAAAATCAGACGAAGCAGGCATGGCAAACATCACCAACAATTGATCCAAGCAGTCAAAGGACCAGCCTGGACCTCACAGCTTCGTTGAAAAAACAAACGCGCTCAACAGACAGCTTCAACTTCAACCAGCCAAACAATCACGATTTAATGACCAACACGCTAACGAACAACATACAACCAAAACGATAAGATAAACAAACAATACCAAATAACTACCACCACGCCTTAAAAAGATCAAGCCTTGACAATCCATAATTTGCCAACCAATCTGTCAAAGAGAAGAGTTATAAAATCGGTGGTAGTCACACTACACAAAATACCCCATTCAACTAAAGCAGCTGCCGTGCAATTGACTTCGGCCACCTGAGAAAAACTGTCCCCTTCTCGTTGGCTTACTTAACCTCCATCCTCCTTTTTAAATCTCCCGAACAAACATCCACCATTAATCCCGTAGAAAAGTGACCTATAAAACCATGACATGTGGCATGTCATTGTTGGACGTCGATAATTTTGGAGTAAACTAAGACAAAAATGATACTTAAAGGGTAAGTTGAGATGAAAATGATAAGTTTAGGGACAAGTTAAGATGAAAATGATAATTCAAAATTAAGCTAAGAAAAAGTTTATATTTCAAAGAAGAATCCTGAATAAAACCTTAAAAAGTGAGGTGGTTAAGGAAATTCTATATGTGATATTCGTGAAGAAGTTTTGAATTAATTACTTTTATCCGATATATTAATAGATTAATTCGGACTGAGTACTACAGAAGCAAGAGCGATCTCCCAAACTCAATTTATTTCATTCGCAAACGTCAAGGTTTAAACCCTCGACCTTACTTAAGGAATCTAATGTCTTATTCCACTAGACTAACCAGTTGTTGGTGCACGAATCAACTTACCTAAGTGGTTAAAAGAATTGTTGTTGTTCATTTTTTTATAAGAAGTGGAGGCCTCATTAAAAACCCCCTCATGATTAACGGAACATCAAATAGTGTTCCTTAATCAGCGGAAGGAGGAAAAGAGTGTCTCAAAATTCATTAATAATAAAAGATTACATGAAGTTAAGACAAACAATCCCCTTACAATAACAACCCGAACACACCAAAACAACACCCAATAAACATTTTTTAATCTTGTCCATGCTAGTGCTCATGCCACCCACGTGAAGGTGGTTGATGCCCATACCATTTTGTTGCATCCCAACGCACAATGCCCAGCAGCCCTGCACCACACTTGCAGCTCGATTCCCCATCACCCATGGCCTGCTGCTCCACGAGCACACAAAACAACAGCTGAGCAAACCCAAACCCTGCCCATACCTTGCTGCCAAATACACATCTACCAACAACTCTAAATGACTAACCAGACAAAAAGCCAAAATTTGGCCCGAAATACAACACAATACAACTGTAAAGAAGCCAAATATAACAACTGACACAAAACATATAAACCAAATTCAAACACTACAGCCGAGCGCTTGCACACGAATAATTGAACAAAACAAACTTCAAAAAAAACTCTAACCGCCAATCAACCACTAGAAACTCGACTTGACATCGAATACCATCCGAACCTCCAACTCCAAACTCAAAAATAAAATTCGAGTCCCTGAAAACTGGTCACTACAAATTGTATCTTTCAATCCTTCCACAGCTATAATGTTCCGAAATCAGAAACACTCGTGAGCCTTCAAGATCAGACACCTCTTCCTCTCGTTGCACCTTACTCTGATAGCTCTTGCTGCGGTAACCTCTAGACTTCCTTTGGGGAGCCTTAAAATTCTCTTAAAATATTTGGACGGAGTTATATTTGTTGTCAAAACCCTCCTTAGGTCTCTTGATCTGCCTGGCCTTACCCTTGGGGAATGCGCAAATATTTGTAAGCCCCTCATTAAACACATCCTCCACCACCTTTGACTCAACTCGACCATCCAACATGGGGAAATCTTTAAAATAATCCTTTGAACCCTCAAAAGCAGGTGCAGGTTCACAACTTTTCCTGTAGACATCTTCTTTCTCTCTTTCCGCGTGAACCAGCAGTTCCTCATTTGAAAGGCCCATAATACTCCTACCCTCCATCTCCCTTGACGCTAAACGGACATCCAGGATGGGAAAATTAATTAAATAATCCTTGATCCCCTCATTAACATGTGCAGACAAACAACTTTCCTTATAGACATCCACTGCCTCTCTCTTCGCGTGTGCCAGCACTGTCTCGTGTTCCCCCACTTCCTCAATTTGCGATTGAAACATCCCCTGACCTGTAACGGTACTCCTCAGACCCATCATCAAATCCTCGCCTATGTTCTTTTCCTCCTCGCCCTCACCCGACAATAGGCTGCCACAAGTTCTACTCCTCATACAACAGAAAACACTGCCATCTTCCTCAAAACACCTCTCGGAAATCTTCACCTCCGATCAGTTCACGTTTCTTCCTTCTTCCTCAGCACATATCTTCGACTCGGGAAACTTAAATGGGGAGACACCAATGAGCTCCCCCACCTTGGATAATGGGGAGGCAACTGCCTCTTCCATCGAAGACGAATCAATCCAGACAGATTCTGGGTTGAAACATGGCTCAAACTCGGAAACATGCACTTTGAAGAGCCTATCCCCGACTTTCAAAACAATGAATTCTTCCACTCGAGCTTGACTGTTCGTGATAATCTATAACAAGGCCCTATCAAACGAGCCGGAATTTAAGGTCCCTTCCTCAATAGATATAAGAACTCCCCATTTGACTGCAATATTTATGAAGGTGGAGAAACTCCACACAAAATGAGGGATCCCTTTGCACGAAAGCCAAGCCCGACGGCTGCTGCACTGAAAATCTTCCGACCAAACTTCCACTTTGTCGAAGCATTTATTCAGCTCCCCAATCTGATTAAACAGAGTATAGTCCCTACTCTCTGCATCTTCAAATATGATTAAAATAGCTAACCCTCTTAACCTCATAATTTTCGAACCTACAAGGCCTTCATTGTGCATAATAACATCCAACTCTTTCATTTTAATAAAATTCCTGCACCATCCTACCAAGCTATCTTTGAGAGTTGAGAGCTTATCCTTGTCAACATAACCAACAATGGGAGCCTCAGAATGACTAACATCCTCCGCTATACTCTTTACCTCGACTGGATATGAACCATGTTCGAGCACCAGCCTTGTAAGAGTGATTAAACGTTTATTGTCAAATAGTTGAGAATACTTAGAAGTTATACTACTTTATAATCAACTTTAACTTAATAAAAAAAACCTAATGATTGATGTATTCGTGAAGATGTTAATGAGTAATCAATTAATTAAAATAATTAATATTTAAATTATCAAAATCAATATCATACTGATATCAAATTCGTATTTAGTACTTTAAATCGAATTTAATCAAAATTGTGATGAAATTAAATTATTTTTTAATTAATAATTTTAAATTTATATTTTTATATAAATATATTTATACATATGTAATTAAGTTACATTTACATGCAAGAATCAAGCACTATCGTTAAGGAATTGTTATTATCTTTGAAGTCTTGTCATTCTAGGTTTGAGCACCAAATTTGTAGAGATGTATAAATGTATAATGTCAAATGGTTAAAAGTCTTTGAATAAATATTATATTATATTCCCTCTGTATTAATAGAAAAAAAAATTATATTTACATATGGTAATGCATTGTGTAGGTGTGTAGATGTACTTCAAAAGAAAAAAATGAAAAATGCATATTGTCGCGCCGTGATATATATATTTGATTAATCAAAGATTATTATTAGTATCGGATTTAGTGATTCTCAACAATTTGATAATGAAAATTCAAACATTTTTACGGTCTGTTGTTTGAACCTAAAACTTCTAGAGATAATAATAATTCATTTAACCATTTAGATAGTTTGATTCGTACAACGATGTGATATATAGGTGTATATGTATTAAAAATGTTGCAAAATATATAAAAATGAGATAAATTTCAAATGATAAAACAAAACATAATAATCCTAATATGTATTAATAAAAATAAGGTATTATCTTAGTTTTAATTAAAATATACACTATTCTGCAAGCTATTAAGATTTAACCCAAGGTAATACGTCGTTAAATAAAAAAGGGTATTACATCGTTAAATAATTAGTTGCTAAGATTGCTTCTTTCAAATGATGTTCCTGGATTGAAATAACAAATCACTCACCTGAACTGATACCCTTCTCGGAAACTTCCTCGTTCTCGATTTCAGCATCGCTATACGTGAGAGCACGCTGTAGTTTCCTCGGACAGAATACCTCAACCTCGGTCATATACACAGCAGTAACAGGGCGATGATCGGAAAGTCTAAACTCGGTCCGCCGATAACTCAGTTGCCTCATTCCTTCACCGTACGAAAGAATGCGGTCACACCTGCATATTAGAAGAATTCATAAGATAAAAAAAGGACCAACAAAGCATAAATCTTATAAAATCTTTGCTTTTTAAGGCATTACCATGATGGAGTTCGCCTCCCTGTCTTAGAATCCTCCCCATAGTACTTCTCCGAATTTACCTCGTATTTGTATGTGGGAGCAAAATTTAGAGCACCCTCCG